AGGGGGCGAGCCCCTCTCCCCCCCCCCTTACGGGTGCCCCTTGGCCGCCCCTGGGCCGCCCTTTGGCCGGGCGCCACGTCCTTGGGGTGCGTCGCTAAATGACGTAACGACTACACTGTCAGATAAATTGGCACCGAATTAACGAATGGTTTTAATTAATGAAATGCGCGCGCGTAGTAGTCTTGTTCCATCCCCGAAAAGCCCCCCTCCCCTTTCTCCCTATTTGGCGCTCCCGGCTCAGCCAATTATCAGAGAGCGGGACTCGTCGAACCGCCCCCTCGGCGAGTATAACGCCAGCGCCTTTGATGAGGAGGTGCTTATAACTCTGCGCGTCCGATAGGCCCGACCGTGTGTGTGTGTGAGTGTGAGTGTGTGTGTGAGTGGTGAGAGAGAGAGAGAGAGAGAGAGAGAGAGAGAGAGAGAGAGAGGAAGGGAGGGGAGAGGGTCTGTGTGTGAGAAAGGGGCCGTGGGGGAGATGGTCCACCCGACAGCTCATACAGCAAAATCCTATCCCCTCGGATCTGCTTCCCCCCCCCTTCCCCTCCGGCACCGGCCGGCCCCAACCCACCCCTACCCCTGCCTGGCCCTGCCCGGCCCTGCCTGCGTTGAGTCATGTGACACTTTAACGGGGCGCTGTTTCTGCGTTGTCGCCCCGTTCCGGCTTTTTGCAGTGTCTTGTTGGGCACACTCGGCACGGCCGGAGCCTCTCTGCTCCGCGCTGCTTCGCGCTGCTCCGGGCGACGCGGCCGACGAGCGACTCTGAAGGTCGGGGCGCGACGAGGCGGCGTCGTCGGGGGCGTCGGGGCCCCGGGCGTCGGGACTCGCGGCAGTGAGGCGGCGAGGGTGCACGCCGCGCGGGCCGTGGCGGGGCCAGGCCGAGCCAGGCCGAGCGGCACGGAGGTTGTCGGAACAAAAGACGGTTGAATGGTGGCGTTTAATATTCAAACGGCAAAACAAAGACCGCCGACTCGTCCCCTCCCCCATCCTCTCTCTCTCTCTCTCTCTCTCTCTCTCTCTCTCTCTCTCTCTCTCTCTCTCTCTCTCTCTCTCACTCGCTCGCTTTGTCTCGCGCCGCGTGTTGTGGCGGCCAATTTTCGCGAATGTTTCTTGGGCGAATATTGGCGGGAAAATCGAGTCTAAGAAGAATTGCCTTCGACGAGCCGACAAGTGTGTTGGGGTGCGCCAGCTTGGCAACACTGTAAAAAGTCGGCGGGGGAAATATTTTAAAAAAAATCAATAGTGCACGTTTTAAGACGTCTGTAACAGGCCGCATGGACAGAGGTTTTGAAACTCAAGGTTTTAAACGTTAAAGTTTGAACTTCAACTGAAATTTTTTAAACTTCAACCCCAATGTTTAAATTGGGGTTTAAGTTTTTGAACTTAAACATAAATTTTTGAACCTTGACTTAAATTTTTGTACTTAAACTTTTAAACTTAATCAAAAACCCTGTGCAAAAATTTGTTTTTTTGTTTTTTTTTTTTGGGGGGGGGGAATTGGTTCCTTTTTGTCCTGAGTGCTCCTTGTTGTTGACGCGGACGCTGGCGGTCTTGAAGCGCGCCGCGGTCGCACAGTGGGCCAGAAGACCGGTGGAGGCGCGTTGTGAGCTCTAGAGTCGCTAAATGGGACTCGAACGGAACGTGTGACCCCACCAACCGATTGCTCTCGGCGAACGGGGAATCCATTGACGGGGTCAGACGTTCGGTTCGAGTCCCGTTTAGCGACGCTGGAGCTCAAAACGTGTCCAGAGTCTTGGCCGCCTCCGCCGGTCTTCTGGCCCACTGTGGGTCGGCCTGGCGCAGCGTAGCGCAGCGCGGTCGAGGCGCAGTCATGCAGGAGAGTAAGCACGCTCTTTGACATGGCGGGCAAGGAGGGGGAATGCCGGAGTCAATCGGGATGTCACTCGGGCGGCTCGGATTGGCCGCGAGGCCAGTCTCTGCAGAGTCTGTCTGTCTCTCTCGCACTCATGGGCCGTACGTCCCGTGAAGGTGCGAGAGAGACGAAGCGACGGACTCTCGGAATCAGTCTGCTGGTTCACCTCCCTGCCTCCGAGCCACGGCCTCGCCCCGCCACCGTTGGCCCCGCCGTGCCGCCGTGCCCAGAGGACCGATTTTTCCCCCCGACTGACGTTCCCCGCGGAGCGGCGCGCAAGCGGAACCCTCCCTCTCGCTCTCTCGCTCGGCCTGGAGCGCCTGGAGCACGGTGTCCGTGCGTCTGTCTGCCTTTGCGGCCGCACAGTGGGCCAGAACACCGGTGGAGGCGGCCAAAATTCTAGACGTGTTTTGAGCTCCAAAGTCGCTAAGCAGGACTCGCACCGAACGTGTGACCCCACCGATGGATTGCTCGTTCGGAGAGCCATCCATTGGTGGGGTCACACGTCCGGTTCAAGCTCAAAGCGCGTCCAGAATTTCGGCCGCCTCCACCGGTCCTCTAGCCTACTGTGGGCCGGGCGCCGCCATGGTCTTCTTCCCCGCGGAGCGGTACAGTGTAGTACCCGCGAAAACGCAACCCGCGTCCAAACGATAACTTTTTACGGCGAGTTTGATCACTGGTTTTATTCGCGCAAAAACAGCAACAAAAAGCAATCGTCTGAAGGCTTACGTATGGATTTTGAACACGGCCGGTCGATATGGTGGGACGTGGCGTGGCGGGGCGTGGCGGGGTGCGGTGGGGCGTGGTGGGCGGCCGTAACCCCGGCTGCGATCTCGCGGGCACCGGACCGTTCAATTGCCTGGGAGCTCAAGCAGCCTGGGGCGTGGCAGGGCGTGGCGGGGCGGGGCTGGGCGTGGCGCCGCCGGCCCAGGCCCACCGCAGGCATGGCAGGCCGGGCTCCGCGGGTCCACAGTGGTGTGTGGCTGTACACTGTACACGCGTCGTGACGTGACGTCAGCGCTACACTGCACTGCATGAATATGGTAATGGCCTGGGGACTGATTCCGAACGGCGTGGCGCTCCGCCTCCCTCGCGTCGCGCGGGGCCCGCGGGGGCGCGAGAGAGACGGGGCGACCGCGTTCAGGGTGCCCCCCGCGAGGCCCACCGGGCCCACCGGGCCCACCAGGCCCACCAGGCCCAAGCGGGGCCCAAGCGGGGCCCACGCACGCCGCGGGGGGCGCGACCAGCCCTCGGGATGCCTATTTGCCCCGTGAATAGATCCGTGGCCCCCCTGGGGGTCCCCGAGCCGTATACAGTGGCGTGCGCACGCCCCACCGCACCCCGCCCCGCCAGTCTGTAGTGGGGCGATTTCCCATCGGCGTCGGCCATTCTCTCCAGAGCCGCAGCACCCTTCTCCAGGGAATCAAATGGAATCCGTCACCCCCCGCCCCCCGCGCCGCGGCGTGCAGTGTCGGCGAAATGTTAATTTGTGCCGCTTTCGTCCCTGTTTGCTGGACATTTCCGCCGATCCATTTGCGTGTTTGCGTTGGGGCCAAGGGTGGGCACCCGCCTCGGCACCCGGCCGGGCCGGGAGGGGGGGGGCGAATTAAAAGCACGGTCGCATTCAGGGCCCCGCTTCGAGTGTGTGAGTGGGTGGGGGGCGTAAGGTCATATGGAAGATAGGTCTGCGCAACCGAGATGCATGCTGGGAGACCGGGCAAGCCGGCAGGCAGGCTGGCAGGCAGGTAGGCGGTCCTCCGCTGCGGCCGGCGACGGATTCGGGAGGGATTAGCTGCCCGGTCTCCCAGCATGCATCTCGGTTGCGCAGACCTATCTTCCATATGACCTTAGGGGGGCGTGCCCCATGTGTGTGTGTTGGCGTTGGAGCCGGGCGCCGCACTTGACGCTGGCTTGACCCTCCCTACAAATGAGCTGTCCGCGGCTTGCGGTTCTCCTCCCCCCTCCGCGTGGCGTGCGGTGGGGACGCCGTCACCGTAACGATGGGCGGGAAAACCAACAAGGATTTGGGTCTCCTTTATCAGCTCACGGCGCCACCTTTGATACGGGCCGGCCCCCGCCAGGCCCCGCCAAGCCCCGCCAGCCAGCCGTGCTGCCAGCCCGGCCAGCCCGGCCTTGATGGCTGTGAAATAATAACACGGATCGTTATAACGATGTAATGGAAAGGCAGTGCCCGCTGTGCTTGCCCGCGCCGGATCGCCCCCCCCCCCTTTCCCCTCCTGCTGTCAAGAAAAGAGGGGCCTCTTTTCGGGGGATTGATTAATGCGAGTGGCGCCCTTGGATGGCCTTGGAGGTGATCATGAGCTCATTAAAAGCGTCATTTTGCACCGCCTGTCTGCTTAGCCGGCACCTCATTTGCTAGTCCTTTTTTCGCGTCGCCCTGTCTATCCGCTGTATCTTATACCCGTCTATCCTTGTGAGCGTCTATGCGCCCTGTTGTCACACTACCCGCGTTGTCTGTCTATCCGTGCTGTCTGTCTGTCTATCCGTGCTGTCAGTCTATCCACTTTGTCAGTCTATCCGCCCTGTCAGTCTATCCGCCTTGTCAGTCTATCCGCCTTGTCAGTCTATCCGCCCTGTCAGTCTATCTGCCTTGTCAGTCTATCCGCCGGGACGGACTGGCCGTTTTCATCAAACTCGCTGCCGTGCGGTCTTGTCCCCGTCAAAAGGTGGCCGCTACCTCGGTCGAGGTTAGAAGAGGAAAAAAAGTTAAAAGGTTTTCGGGTGAAAAGCGGTGGACAAAGTCAGCGGTGGGCCAGCCAGGCCCGGCCGGGCAGAGCGTAGCGTAGTGGAGCGGCGGCTTGTAAATTGCGAAAGGACTTTGCAGGCGGGCTCTCGGGGAAGGGGTGAATGTAAATTGGCAACACGACAAATCCTCATCAGCAGGGAAGGAAGGCGCGTTTACGGGCGTTTCTTTAAACCGGCTCGTAATCCGGACCGCATATTTAGGGACCGGAAGTCGAGGAGAGGGAGGCTTCCGGCCTGCTGTTGACTCGGCGAGGTGGGCCGGGCCAGCCGGGCTATCTGCAATCAATCGCGGAATTGTATTAGCATCGTGTTTGCCTGTCGGAATGGACGAGTGGAGAGACTGACGGTGCTTTGTCTGTTGCAGGTGATGGCGGTGCTGGGGCCCCTGCAGTGACTATGGGAACACAGGGATGGGCATGCGTGTGGTCACATGTCGCCAGCTGCTGACGGTCGCCTTCTTACCCCTGTCGCTCCTACTCAACGTCGTGGTCCCAGGTGAGTGTCATCTCTGGGAGCAAGATTTGCAATCCCCTAGTCTTCTCCCTCGCCGCTCCAAAGCGTTCTTTTTCTGAACCCGCCCTCTGAGATGAGTCCCTCGCTGTCGCTCCGTATATTGATTCCCAGACAATCGTCTGTCAATCCCCCTCTTTCCAGTGTATGTCAGTGAGTAATTCAGCCCGTTGAATAATGCAGGCGGTGAGCGCACCGCGCCCCACCGACCCACCTCGGCAGTGCTTCGCTGCTTCGCACCCCGTGCCGCAGGAAAGACAGCGCGTTTGCACCCAGTCCCCACACAAGTATACGGCGCTGCGACAGTTTGACTCCATCCTGCCGTCTGTTACAGCACTGTCGTTCCAAGATGCCCAGCACATTACCGCCATCTTGGGAGAGTCCGTCGTGTTCAACTGCAATGTGGACTTTCCCGAGGACCACCCTGTGCCCTACGTCCTCCAGTGGGAGAAGAAGGTAGGAGGGACGGTACGGATCAGCCACATTTCTCTCTCTTTTTGTCTCTCAGTTGGTTACAAAAGGTCGGCGTTTGTTGCCCCATGATGGAAATGTCTTTTTATTTAACTTAAGCCTCGATTGGCTGGTAAAATCAGTCCAAGTTCCACGACTATAATAGATCAAAGTTTGTCCGTTTTATTCGGTTTAACCCCCTTTTGAATCTTGAAACTTAAATTACTGAGTAAAGAGAGACAGAACTGATGATATGTGGTTGGTTGTGTATGTGTGTGTAATCTTATGTTAAGCTCCCTTGCAAAACGATTTTATCTCAGTCTCAAAACTATACTGCTCTACACAAAAAGTAACTGTCTTATCCATTTGAGGTAAACTTATTTTGCAATGGGGGCTCAATATAAGGTGTTTCAGTATTGTGCCATTCTTTTTTTAAGATTAATGGTAACTTTTTTTTAAACCCTCACATGTGTTGGTTTTTTTTCTGAAAATAATATAAGAACGATTGCACGTTTGATGGTGTACACATACTTTCAAAAGCATGTACACTCGTGAAATTCCATGTTCTCCTTTTACCTCTGAACTTTTCATGTGCTGAACTATTGATTTCTGTTAAAATGTTCTTTGTCTTCTTTTTCCACCTTCTCCTCTCCCTTCTTGTGTACATATACGTTGTCGGTGTTTAGTGTAAACAAATTGTAGCTAGAACCTAAAACAAATTAACCTTCGCTTTCATGTCCATGTCTTCAACAACTATTTCTTCATTTCCTCTAGCAAACACAACAAACATCATACTATTGTCATTCTTCTTCTCACTATATCTTTCATGAACTATGGCTCGCAACATCATCTATTGCGCTTCAAGTTGCATGCAACCACAATACCCCGTTTCAGCCAGCTTCCCAGAACACCTTAAACAGCGGAGCAATAACCTCTTGGTACCCTCACAGATTCTCTGTTGCCGTACGCCGATGCTATTTTAGCAATCATCGCCCTGTGTGGCGTCCCCTTATCTCGGCATCTAGACTAGCTTGTCTCAGTTGTGTGCACTGCCGTAATACTTAAATTTGACAATGTTCAGGCTGCAATATGAACAGCCGTTCCATTATTTGGTTTGGAAATGTAAATCGTTTCGCAAATCCAAATTGCCAGTTTTTGTTCAGCTCCAGGACACAATTTCAGCGGCGTAACAGCTCATTGAGTGCTAGACCCGCACTGAAGTTGGAGCTTTACTAGTTACTACTTTCACCTTGGTAGCATGCAACTATAAAATGTCAATGTAGACTTAACTTTCCTAGGAGAGGCGCTTGAGAGGAGTTGTTATAAAATTCCAGTCATGTATGGCCATGGGACAGCAAACGTCAAGGGAGCTGAGTACGAATTCCCGATCAGTCGAAGCTCACAATGTTTATCAAAGTTTCTGATTTGCTATTAAATTAATTTAAGAACAGTGAAAATTCACGTCATAACATAATTTTAAGTAAAACATGTCTTATTTATTATTCTAAATATCCTATCGGGCGTTCGTATTCACCGCCAAAAAAATGGCGGCTTCCTCGACCCTTGCATCCGACTTGTATGCACCGTTGTGGAGTTGCGAGCACATAGTGTCCCTGGATGCCTGATCTGCGACAGGGGGAGGATATTCCGGTGTACATCTGGTATGAGAACTACCCCACGCACGCGGCCGAGGAGTACAAAGGGCGTGTTTCGGGGGTCAACCCAGAGTCCAGCTATGGCCAGGCCTCCCTCAACCTCACAAACATTCGCGAGACGGACCAGGGCTGGTATGAGTGCAAGGTGGTGTTCCTGAACCGGGCACCAAACCAGAACAAGAACGGCACCTGGTTTCACCTGGATGTCCACGGTGAGTGTCAGGCGCCACGGGGTTGCACCTATACAGTGCGCACACCCTCCGGGCGTGTGCGGCTGGGTGCCAGCCCGGCGAGTGGTGCATGGTGCGATGGGGCGGCGGAGGACAGCGTGGATCCACTTCGAGCAGCAGGCCTTCCCTTGTACAGGACCAAACGCAAAGTATTTTGCGCACCTTTTGGAAACCCACAGCTCACGAAGGGGCAGCCAGAGCATGTTGTTAATCCGGGACCTTTCCTCCTTGTCCTGAAACTACGCAAAGTTTCTCAGCGTTTGCATTCCCTCGCGTAACTTTACCTTCCAGATCCCCATCCCTCATTTCGGCGATGTTTGCCCTCTTTGAATCACGGCGAAACAATAATATTTTGCTAAACTGGCGTGGCCTTGAATGTCCTGTGGGTCTTCTACCGGGTGGCGGTAAGGTCTGCGTCTCGGGGCATTTCCTTAGTCCACGCCGCCCCAGCATGGCGTCTGAGGCTGCCAAACCGAGGCAATCGGGTAGTACGGTCGGCCTGATGGGTAGCACAGATTGCACAAGCAGTAGACTTGGTCGCTCTTTTTGTGGGCATAGTGTCGCATATCCTTGCGGTTTGAAAACATCGTCCGACGCAGCTGATGTTTCTAAGAGTTCCCCCCTCTTGCGGTGCCACTCTGACTGTCAAGGACTCCAACTTGGTAGTTTCAAAGGACAAAGCCCGGGATACGCCCAGTCACTAGTTCCTCTTCATAGCCATTGTAGTGTTTGTAGTTTGTCAGCGCTTTAGGCTCACTCACGCTGACGTCTTTTCCAAATTGCCTGAGGTACTTCTTTCCGAAGTGCACTTCCAGGTGGCTCTGGTGTCTTTTAATGTAAAAGGGTACGTATCGATGTATGCATGAAGTGGCTGTAGTCGACCTCACACCACTTGTTCTTTGTTCAGGATATGCGGCACTAGGGACTCGAGACATTTAGTACTGCTTGAAAGATGACTAGCCAAGGCTTGCGTTGATGTGACTAACTTCTTGACTGTAATTACTCGTATAGCCTGAATGAGAATATCCCTGCATTTGGAGCTCAGGTCTCTCTGGTTGTATAGCGGGTCGATTTTGATTTTCCCAAGTGAGCGCTGATTAAGGACCGCACAGGACGGGTCCCAGCATGAGCGCCGGTTGTTTGACGAGGAGGGTCCGAACGAGGGTTTCACAGCACTCACACAAGGCCGCCGTGACTAACCGCTTGGTGGAGTGTTTGAGCCCGTTGACTCCTATCCTTGACACCCCGCCTATGACTGCGGCGAGGGCTATTTGTATCGATGCCAGGAATTTGGATCAGGTTTGTTTCTTACCTGCTTGAGTTGAAGTACACTTTTTGATCCAAATTCCTGGCGTTGTGGAGTAGCTTTGTGCCGTGCATGTGGTCTGGTTACCGGAAGAAGACTCCCGCCGTCGCAGATCCGTTCACAGCCTTCTAAACAGTCGAACCGACGATCCGAACTTAAAAAAAACTAACACCGACAACCGTCTCTATGTACAAACTGGGCAGAGTTAGCGTGTACAAAAGCGTCCCCTTCCCAGTGAGTGGAAAAAGGAGCCAAGCAGGATGGCTGTCGTCCGATTTGGTCTTACGGAGCTTGGCTTGACAGGGGTTGGGGTTGCCGGTGTACATCTGGTACGACAACTACCCGCCACACTATCATGACGACTACCAAGGTCGCGTAGCGTTGGTAGCCACGGACAGCAGTTTTGGTCGCGCTTCGCTCAATCTTACTAACATCAAAGAGACGGACCAGGGTTGGTATGAATGCCAAGTTGTCTTCCTCAATCGTCCCCCCGCGCAGCACAAAAATGGCTCGTGGTTTCACCTGGACGTGCATGGTGAGTCTCCGGGGTCTTTTTTCTATTTCGGTTTCTCAACAAGATTTGTAGGCAGCTTTTAGTTACGATTCCTCCACCGCGAATCGATCTAAACCAAAAAGTAGTTATCTTAATCATTGCGAATTTTCATGACTTAAACTTAAATAGCGGGATTTATTAGTTTTTTTTAAGTGGCACTTTTGGCCGTAGTTGAAACAGTTCCGATGTTTGCAATATTTGTAGCTCATAAGTTATTCGCCTCTAGGCGAGTACAAGTAGATTCAACTCTATTCGGCATGCCACAAAATTTATTCTATTTTCAAAAAAAGTTGCTAGTTGCAAACCTAGCTCCTTTTTCCGTCTATTTGCTTTAGAGAGAGACCTTCCTTTTTTCATATTTCTTACTTTGAAATGATATAAATTTACGGCAGCCGAAAGCGCCCATATATCAGTTGAACAGAAATCTTTCGCCCTGCCGATTTTGCCAGAACACGTATCCGGCTCTGTTGAATAGTTGTGTGCATGCCTAGAGACACAATGTGTGTGTGCATGTGTCTTGTTTCGCCTCGGCGCTGTGCTGTTGTTACGCCCATGGCTAGCTAGAAACATTTTACTCGTCCAGTTTTATCATATTAACTCCAAAATTTTAAAATTTTGCACTTGTTGAGTTGAACGAAGTTCCTTAGCTATGACATAAGCTCCTTTTTGGCGGCACGTAGTTTCTTGTTTTGTTTTTTAAACGACTTTTCGCATGCGTTGGCTGTTAGACCCCTCCCAGTGCCCCGACACTCGCTCACTTTGAGTCATGACTACTAGGTCGCCGGCAGCAACTTGTCTCACTCTGTCACTCGTCAGGTAAGACACACACGTGAAACGCCTTCCTATCTGTCTTTCCTCAAAAACACACCCTTTTCATCTGTCTCCATGTTCCTGGCACGTTTCAAGCGCTTCCTTCGGAGACACAAGCGGACGAACTCAGCGAGCCAGTATGAGTTGTTTTTAACAAAGTTGGTTTAACGTACAATTTGTCATCGATTGTATGTGGAACCCATGTTTTTCAGAACAACTGATTTTGGCTGGGCGTTTCTGTACTTCCGTTTAAATCGTCCGGTTCCTCCGCATCCGCCCAATAATTTTTTATGTCCACTTTTGTTTCAAAACTGAAACAGAAATAATTTCGTTTTTATTTCGAATACCTTTTGTGTGCCGAAAGGCAAGGGCAAAACTTGAAAGTCTGACTGTCTGCTTGCTGTGTACTTTGCGTGTCCCTCCTATCCATTCCCGCATGCCTCCCACACACCAAACGTGCAATCAGTCGAGCCCGGCCTGTGGCGACGAGCAAGGCGAGTCTGGCCTGACTGTCTACCTTACCCCAGGGACTCGATGTGCCCGTGTACATCTCGTACGACCACTACCCGCCGCACTACCACGACCATTTCAAGGGCCGCGCGTGGGGCGTGCACAGAGGCTCGCACTACGGCCTGGCCTCGCTTAACCTCACCGCCATCAAGGAGGAAGACCAGGGCTGGTACGAGTGTAAGGTGGTGTTCTTCAACAGATTGCCCAACCAGCACAAGAACGGTACCTGGTACCACCTCGACGTTCACGGTGAGTAATATCCGCGCTCCCTCGGAACCACCGCAACGACCACACGACATCCGACAGTAAACCCGCGAAGCGTGTTTTATATTAATTAGACTAGTACGCTGGTAGAGTTGTAGAACGCAAGACTAATCCATCTCGCATGTCAAGCTAGATTTTTTTTCTGTAACACGCGTACCGTTTGTAGTTTGGGTTTTATTATGTTTGGTGAGTATTTCGTGCTTCGACGGACGAAATTACCCGCTTCTCTGCATTTTGCCTGGAATACGGTTAAAACGTTAACGGTCTAAAAACTACAAGAATTGATTTCCACCTAGTAAGACAGTTAAATTACATTGTCACAGTTATTTAACCTTGATAATTCACTTGAGCAAAATTAACTGGACCGAAATTAACTGGAAAGACGTGGGAGCGTTTGGACTGACTGTTCTGACTGTGTCGCGCAGCCCCTCCGCGGTTCAGCGTCACCCCCGAGGACGTGATCTACGTGAACCTGGGGGATGCCATCATCCTCAACTGCCAGGCCGAGGGCACGCCGGCGCCGGAGATCCTGTGGTACCGGGACGCCAACCCGGTGGACATCTCGGCCACCATCGGCATCTTCAACGACGGCACCGAGCTGCGCATCTCCAACATCCGGCATGAGGACATCGGCGACTACACGTGCATCGCCCGCAACGGCGAGGGCCAGATCAGCCACACGGCCAGAGTCATCATCGCAGGTCAGTTTCGTTCCTTTTTTTTCAAAACCATTCTAAATGGTTTTCCTTTTCGGATTTCGTTTTATTTTTTGAGTGCAGCTTTAAAACGTTACTATGCTCTGCAAACAAAAGTGTGTACATAGTACACTCTTATTTGCAGCATGCTTCCAAGTACACTCTTATTTAAAGCATACTTCCAAGCACACGCTAAAATATGTTAATATCACATAACACTCTATAGAGTGTGCCTGGCATGTACACGCTTAATAAGAGTGTACCTTGCAAGTACACGCTAAAATACACTTGATACGTCCTATCTAAAGGCATGGGTCAGTTTAAATGCATTTGTCAGGTACACTCTTATTAAGCGTGTTCATGCCAGGCACACTCTATTTTAGCGTGTGCTTGGAAGTATGCTATAAATAAGAGTGTGCTTGGAAGCATGCTGTAAATAAGAGTGTACTATGAACACACTTCAGTTTGCAGAGTGGATAATTTTATTCCTCAAACCCTTTTAGATTGTAACAACATTTTACTGCTAAATTTCTTTTTTTTTTAAATTCCGTTATATTTCTTTAGAGTATAGTTTGAAAACTGCACTGATGAGGATTTTTATCTTGCATTCCGTGCTAGACAAAGCTGAGCAGGATTTCTTTTTATTGCGGGTGGCGGTGCCTGAAGTTGCCGCGAGAGGTTTGTCCCGCTCGCGCGCACTGATTCCGAGTCAGCTCGCGGCATGAAAGGGACCGAGTTGTGAGCATTTGTGAGGATGATCGTAATCCGATCCGGCCGCGCAACAGGCTGAGCGTAACTACAGTGGCGCAACGGCGAGGCGGCGACCCACTGTGGGATTCGTGCTGGAATCGCGCGCACGGGCAAAACCGGCCGAGGCGCGCCCGAAAGGCCGGCAGTGCACTCCTTCCGAGACAGTGCTTTTGAGCTCCAGAGTCGCTAAATGGGACTCGAACCAAGCGTGTGACCCCACCATTGGATTGCACTGCGAACGAGGAATCCATCGGTGGGGTCACACGTTCTGTTCAAGTCCTGCTTAGCGACTCTGGAGCTCAAAACGCATGTAGAGTTTCGACCGCGGTCTTCTGGCCCACTGTAGTGACCCGGCGGTTCCGCGGACGCACGCGTGTTGCAGGGGGTGCGGTCATCATGGTGCCGCCGACGAACCAGACCAAGCTGGAGGGCGAGCGCGTCGAGTTCACGTGCGAGGCCAAGGCCATGCCTGGCAACGTGACGGTGCGGTGGTTCCGCGAGGGCGCCCCCGTGCAGGAGGCGCTGGAGAAGCGCGTGGACATCCGGCGCGACGGCTCGCTCATCGTGAACCCCGTGAGCGCGGACGACTCGGGGCTGTACCTGTGCGAGGTGACCAACGGCATCGGGGAGCCGCAGTCGGCGTCGGCGTACCTCAGCGTGGAGTGTGAGTTTTCGTCGGTTTTGGTCGGGGGTCCGGGTTCGGTCCCCACCAATCTGTTTGTTAAAAATGTTTTTGTTGTTTTCGGCAGACCCGGCCAAGGTGACGTTCACGCCGACCGTGCAGTACCTGCCCTTCCGGCTGGGCGGCGTGGTGCAGTGCTACATCAAGGCCAACCCGCCGCTGCAGTACGTGACGTGGACCAAGGAGCGCCGCCTCCTCGAGCCGTACCAGACCAAAGACATCGTCATCATGAACAACGGGTCGCTGCTGTTCACGCGCGTCAACGAGAACCACGGCGGCCGCTACTCGTGCACGCCCTACAACGCGCAGGGCACGCAGGGCTCGTCGGGGCCCATGGAGGTCCTCGTCAGGAAGCCCCCCTTCTTCACCATCGAGCCAGAGGCGCTGTACCAGCGAAAGGTGAGTCCACCAGCAAGAAAAAAAATCGATTTCTCTTTTTTTTTGTTGAAAAAGTGGGTATTTGAACCCGGGACGCTGACTCACTCGGCGTGTTTGCAGATGGGGGACACGGTGGAGATGCCGTGCGAGGCGCAGGAGGCCGAGGACACGCAGAAGCCCAAGATCACCTGGCACAGGGTAGGTAGCGTTGGTGGCCGTAGCCGCGTAGCCCCTGCGGTCGGCGGGGTAGGCCCGCCCGCCACACTCGCCGCCTCGACGGGCGGGCCTACCCGGCGGTCGGCAGGCGGTCGGCAGGTGCTACAGCGCGGTCTCTGCTTGCAGCGCGATGGCAGCCCGCTGCCCAAAGGGCGCGTCCACATCGCGGGCGGCAACATCACCATCGAGAACCTCCGGAGGACGGACTTCGGCTACTACCAGTGCGTGGCCAGCAACGAGGTGGCCACCATCGTGACCACGACGCAGCTGGTGGTGGAGGGCACGCAGCCGCACGCGCCGTACAACCTGTCGGGCAACGCGTCCGAGTTCGCCGTCACGCTCACCTGGCTGCCAGGCTACAGCGGCGGCCCCGACTACAAGCAGGACTACACCATCTGGTGAGCTACACAGCCCGAAAACAACAAAAGTTGCATTCACTTATGAAGAAAAAACTTAATCTATTTTTAAAAAACGCAGGTACCGGGAAGCGAACGTGGCCAACTGGTCGCAGATTCCAGTCACCCCGCCCGGCAGCACCCAGGTCACCATCAACCACCTGACGCCGGGCACCAAGTACGAGTTCCAGGTCATCGGCAAAAACGCCCTGGGTGACGGAATGCTGAGTAAAGTGATCGAAGTGCGAACACTGGGTAAGTGTCTGGCGGACTGCCTTTTGACGTCATCTTGACGGTGGGGGTGTCGTGTTAATGCGTCCTCTTTGCTTTTCCCCTTTATCGCTACGTTAGGAAGCAAACCTGCAGGTAAGTCTCAGTGGAAGGGGGGTGGGGTCTCGCGTGGTTTGTGTCCTCCTTGTTTACTGTAGGGATTGCACCAGTGCTAATTTGTCTCATGTTTTGCAACCCCCCGATAGGAAAACAACCAGGTACTATTCATCGAATCGTTTTTGTAGTCTAACTTTCCCAGCTGCATGGAGTCTGTAGAGGTTTATTATCATTTAAGTTCATTGGCCTTTGCCAAAATAAGGAATGCGTATTTTAACTAAAGTAAATGGATTTAGTTCGTACTTGATTTTCGGCATAGATAGATTCTGGATGTTTTAATCATTTTGATTATTCAAATGAGCTCCAGTTATCGTTCCTCACCTTAAGTCCTTTAAATTTTTGACCAAGTCGCCAGTTGTTATGGCGAGTTGATCCGCAGCTGGGTTTTCTCTCTGTATCCCTCTCCCCTGCATTTTTTCTCTCTGCTTTTCAAGAATGCTTTTCATGGCCCCATTTCAAGCAAAGAACTTTCCTGTCTTGTTTGGCTTCGGTGAAATTGACCATGTCTGCCCTTGCCTTGGGGCTGCCCTGCAAAAAAGCATTTAACGACTGTTCCTTTTCTAATGCACCATGCACCATTTTGGACCACTTAACCTGTGCCCCTTTCCCCAGACCATAAATAAAACGAAGCTCGATGGAACGCCAGATCAACAATTCTCGGAGTGCTGCTATCTTTTGCATTGTGCACGAGCTGCGTTGCATGCGAGTGCGTGTGTTGTTTGTCTCTTGGCAGCCGCAAGCATCGCAAGTCAGATGGCTGCTCCGTGCTCGAGAGTGTTTTGTAGAGCGTAGCGTTGATTCTTGAAGCCGATGACGGTAGAAGCTGTCAAATTGTAACGTTTGGGGGCTTCTGGTGGGAGGTTGTCTCTAGCTGTCTTCCGTTCGACCTAACCCGTTCGGATACCTCTAGAGAGCGTCCACAAACTACGTAGTTTTTGTGAAGGGAGTGTCAATACAACACACCTCAATTCGATTGGGAGATTGAAAAAATGGGGGGAAATCAACGAAGCTAGACCGCGTGGTTCGTGGACGACTTATAGATGGCCCTAGACAGATGTGTACTCAGCTTATACGAGAACGTACTCTGTACTCTGCTTTACTGCTACTTGTTGGCTGAGCCAGTTAGATATCCTACTTGTGGAGTGTACTTCACTGTTCCATGGTTGTTTTAATCGCGAGTTTTATGCTCGTACTTAGAGAAATTCCTTTGGACCTTAACTTTTTGTGTACAATCTTAGAATCTTATCATACATAAATCAAATTAAGTTTAGTTTTTCTTACAAGTGATATGCACTCCGCTTGGTATAAAGTTTCTTTCTTTCACTAATGTATTGCCTCTGGTGTGTTTCTGTCTGTCTCTCTCGCACACTTGGCAAAATGGTGGCAGATGTCGTCCGTCCCCCTCCAAACCCCTCTGAAAAGTCGGAGAAAGATTTCGAGCACTCTCCCGACGATGCCGGTAAGGTTCTTTTCTAAGGGTAATTTGTGAAAGTCGAGTTAGTACCAACATTTTCAGTTAAGCTTTTCTTTTAATTTCACACCGGCATTCGGTAGATTCTTTTTTATGGACACTAGATATAGTTTCTGCGGGTCCAAAGCTTTCCCCATCACGTTTTACCGACCCCCCGTTCGTTTTGTTTTGTCATTGTGTTTGTCCCCATTGCTTGTGTTCTTTTGCCACTTACACGCTTGCCTATTTTTTTCATTTTTTGCCTGCTGCTGTTTTTTTCTTTTTTGTCTTTTTGTGTGTGTAGCTGGAGGCCCGGCGCCAGGAGGCGATCGCCGTGATCGTAGACGTAGCGGACGGAACAGGAGTGTGCCTAAGCCTAAAGGTGGTCTATCATTGAGGTTTGGGGGTGAGAGGAGAGGGAGGGGGGTGTCCGCAACTTCCTGGACAACTGGCCGAGCCTCGTGCATCGGCCTGCGAACGCATCGCGATTTCATGTTACAGTACTCTGAGGGCTCCGAGCACTCCCACGTCCGCCTTTGAGTGCACTTTTTTTCGCTTTTTTTGTCACTTGCATGGCTTTATCGATGATTTTTTTTGTCGGGTCCGCTTTTGAGCGACTGCGACCGATTCCTATTTCGGGTGTCTCTCGTTAGGGATAGCGACCTAAGTGTTGGCTCCCTCTGGTTTCGAGCTGACGGCTACTGTAAATATGTCCTGTAGATTGCACAAATTGCACCACCAAAACTTTCGCTTCCAACTCTCTGTCCTCTTACACTTTACCAAGTGTTTTATACGCTCCCGTATCGACACGAGCCCTCACTAAGATTAATTTGATTTTATTATTTATTAATTTACTTATGATTTGTTATAATTTCGTCGCTTTCAGGCTGCTTTATTATTTTTTGCTTGTGTTTTATTTCCCTTGCAGACGTGATAGACTTTAGTGTTGTTGTCTTTCCGACTGATTCAGCAGGCCTGCCCGCCATCCCGCCTATCCTCAGGCCCAGAGGTATGCTTGAACGTAATACTCTTTAAAAGTGTAACACTGCACTGTGTGCCAGTCTGTCCCGTGTACCCCTCGCTAGAGCCCTCGCTAGCCAGTCTGAGTGGTGACAAGCGCAGGTCCTGCTAACCTCCACAGACCTGATTTTTTAAAAACCGTGAGTGAGTTCGAGTGTGCGTGGCAGAAGGGCCTGACCAAGTCGTGTGTTCGTCGGCGCAGGACCAAAGCCAGGGCCGCCGCGGAACCTCACGGTGACCGAGTACCCCAACGGCTTCCTCATCTCGTGGCAAGCGCCCGTGGAGAAGGCCAACCTGGTCCAGTACTACACCATCAAGTACCGCACGGACGCGCAGTGGAAGACGCTCAACAAGCAGCAGATTCGCTCCGAGGAGACCTCTTTCCTCGGTGAGTGCTCGCGAAAAAAATCCCTGGTAATTTAATCATATGTACAAACTTCTTCTCTCATTTTCGACCTTTTCTTTTCCACTTCCAGTTAAAAATCTTGTGGGTGGCCGCACCTACCATTTCCGAGTGCTCGCCAACTCGGTCAGCAGCTACGAGGCCAGCGACGAGGTCAAGTTCCCCGTGCCCGCGCGCGTCAAGCACAAGGCCATCACCGCCGGAGTAGTTGGCGGCATTTTATTTTTTATTGTTGCAATAATCCTTTCAGTGTGTGCCGTCAAGATTTGCAATAAGCGGAAACGGCGGAAACAGGAGAAAGGTGAGACTGTCGGCGAGTGACCGAGCCCCGCGGAGTTTGAGTCAAGTTATTGATTGTTTTCGCTTCCTGTTGCAGCCTACAATATGGTAGCGTGCCGCATAACAGACTCAAGAAATGGTGGGCAGCCACCCGGGGTCAGCCAAGTGCCTTTGAAAAAGTGAGTCAATTGTTTGAGAGGGGTTGAAGGGTGCAACTATTGTCTTATTCAATCTTTTCTCTCCTACCCTGTTTCCTGGACTGAGATAATTCAAATGTGTATAGTGACCGAAAAAAAATTGCAACTTAAGTATTTGAACCTTGGTCTGAAGATTGGAAAGTAATCCACGCGGCTATACGGTTCCCCTCTTTCTGGTTGCGTTGTCTTGGGGGACCTTACTGACGTAACCCGGTGGCTTTGGGGTTGTTGACCCTCGTAAAAACTTGAGTCTCGTTCCTTCAGGTTGGTGGAAGTGTACTCTTACCGCGCCTACGGCCTGGAGGTGTAACCTCGCCCCTTTAGTACGTAAATCATACCGTGAGCAAGCAGGCTGGTGCCGAACTGTGCCTCTCGGGCCTGTCTCTCTCGCACTCCAACGCGACGCCCCACGAATGCGAGAGCGACAGAGAGAGGGACACTGTTTGAAATGAGCCCGCTAGCCGTTTCAACACGGCGTCGTCGGGTCGATGCCGTGTCTTCGCGAAGCGGTCTCGCTGTCTTTGAGAGGGTGGCGGTGGTCATGGTGGTGGTGGTGGTGGTCATGTAGAGCCGTAGTGGTGGTGGTGGACGTCTAAGGTTCGCCGGATCAAGTTGAGGCACAAGTTGCCGTTGACGACGGTCCCCGCTTGCAGTGTAGCCTTCCTTCTTGTCGCACCTGTTGGATTAATGCGTATCCGTTCCTCTCTGTTTTTGCTTTTCCATCGTCCCCAGGAGGAAAAAAGGTGAAGAGCTTGGAAGCCACTGTTAACGCTGTAACTACTCGTTCTGCACATTCTTGTTCGCTTCTTTGACTTTATCGCTTGGAGCTTTTCATTTCCGCGTTCGTTGGATTTTTCGTTTTCTTTTCCTTTTCAGTTTTGTGTTTGGTTTCTGTTGGTTTTTAGTTTAAAAGCGAAATCTCCACTTAACGTTGTTGTGTGGATATTCAAAAAGTTGTATGGTCTAAATAGTCCATTCTATTATTTTCAATGCATGTATTTACTTCAAATTACATGCCTTATTATTTTTACGTTGGTTTTTGATTGTTGTTTTTTTTTAACGAGTGATTTGTGCCAGAGTTGTTGAAGATTTCTTTATGTTTCTTTTTGTTTCCTTGAAAATTTTGTAGTTTAGTCTTTCACTTTTTTTGGCCTCATGCGTCACTCTTGAGTTCGTATCGTCAGCCGCTGTGTGTTTTAACCCAGCTCGCCAAGGCAGTGGTCTCTGGTTCCCCCTTCACGATCTCCAGTCCCGAAACCCCAGACCGGAAGTCCCACTGCTTGTCCCTCTGCCCGGAGACCGCTGTGATTGGAGGGCGCCTCGCTGTGGCTCGTCGTGACCGTGTTCCGTGTGTTCCAGAAACCGACAAGGCGGAGTACCAGGTTTGACCTCCCTAGTGGACGCGGGCCGCTGGCTGCTGAGCGCGCTGGGGCTGGGCCTCGGCCTGGGCAGCTCGCGGGCGTCGAGCGTGGTGGGCGTGGCGGGCCTGGGCCTCGGACAGGGCCTCGGCGACGTGGACGAGGTCGACGGCCCGGTCCGCGGCCACGACGGCCTGGTCCGCGGCCACGACGGCTTGGCGCGAATCCACCGCGCCCCCGACGGCCGCTTCGTGCTGGGCGCCTCCAACGCCTCGAACCGCAGCAGCGTGAGCAGCTCGAGCGACGACGGCGGCTTCCTGTCGCGGGGCCGCGCCGTGCTGAGCGTGGCGGCGCTCGCGGGGCTGACGGGGCGCGCGTCGTGGCGGCGCCCGCTGGTGCGCTGCCCCTCGCAGCTCAGCATGCGGTCCGACGGGTCGGGCGAGAGCGGCGCGCACCCCAGGCTCACCACCGCCATCGTGCACCCCACGCACGCCCACCACCACTACGCCAACACCGTGGCCGCCATCTACACGCCGCGCACGCCGCGCACGCCGCGCGTCGTGGCCAGCTCGCCCGCCGCCACCACCTCGCCCACGTCGCCCGCCCTGCCCTGGTCGCCCGCGCTCAACTTCAGCGACCTGAGCTCGGTGCGGACGCAGCGGACGCCCCCCAGCTACCAGCAGCTGCGCAGCGTGCACGAGCGCTACGCGCAGGAGCTGCCCTCGCTCACCGCCATCCACGAGCAGCAGCAGCAGCTGTTGCTGCAGCAGATACCGCGGCCCCGGCCCCGGCCGCAGCCCCGGCCGCAGCCCCGGCACGTGTTCCTGCCCATCCCCGCCATGTCGCCCAGGCTCAGGCCGCGGTCGCCGCCGCGCATCCGCATCCCGCCGGCCAGCGCGGCGTGGGGCGAGGGGCCGTCCTCGCGCGCCACCACGGCCACCACGGCCACCACCGCCTCGCCGTGGAACACGCCCACCGCCCACCACCAGCCGCCCGCCCGCGCCCGCCTGCCGCCCAGGCACGTCCGCCACGCGCGCTCCGCGCCCGAGCTGTCCGTCCGCGCGCGGCCCGCCCGCCTCGGCGCCTCCCCCAACGCCAGCGGCCTGGAGACGTCCCCGGAGAGCAGGTCCTCGTCGTCGGGCTTCGGCAGCAAGAACACCAGCTCGCAGCCCAACCAGAGCGGGCTGAGCGCGCTGAGCGTGTCGCCGCCGTACCGGCCGCCGCCCGCGCCGCCGCAGACCATGATGACGGCCTCGACGTCCACCTCGCGGCTGGGCCTGGGGCTGGGCCTGCAGGACTGGATCGGTATCACCGCGGGGCTGCCGCAGCGGCCGTCGCCGTCGTCCTTCCAGGACAAGCAGGGCTGCGACGTGAGCGTGGACGGCCACTACGAGTTCGACACGGTGTTCGTGGGCACGCCCACGCGCGACGACCGCGGCCTCAGCGACTCGGAGACCACCTTCCATGCCACCATGGACGAGGACCAGGACGCCAGCCAGTCCAGCGACTCGCTGGCGCGCCGCTCCAAGCACGACAAGCACTACAACATCGAGGCGCGGGTGCAGGCCATGAAGGAGGAGTTCGCGGCGTTCAGGGAGCGCCAGGCACGCCGGCGACGCAGCCCCCAGCTGGAGAGCGTGTGCTGACCAAAGATCTCAAAACATTGCTGGACTTCTCGCGCCCCTGTGGGGCCCCACGGGGGGCAAAGTAATAAAATAATAATTGTTTTATTTATCTAGGTAACAAAGTTATTTGCGCAATTGAATCAAAATTCGTATAGAGTTGACTATACGGAGCGATAATGCACAGTTTGATACTTTTTCATGTCGATGCTCAGAAACAACGCCTGGACTGACGGACAACTGACGTACTTTGAACGATTTCGGGCCGTGATCCTCGCGGCGTGGTGTTGACGCCCACGTGACGCCCACGTCGCGGTTTGACGCCCTGGCCATCAAGTGCACTGCCATTGTGATGACTGACTGGTAGCTAGCGCTCAAGAGGTACCGACTTAAGTGGAACTAGTTATCAACTAGTTATAAAAGGAACCCTATCATGTAATTATCCAACAATGAATTCTAAATTATGAGTAAAATTGATACTACTAGTTGTTAGTTGATGAATGTGTGTGTGAATGGCTTCGCCTAGTGCGAAGCAACAGACTATGTATTTGTATGCGTTTTATTAAACCCTTCACTGCTATGAGGATCATGCAGCACCTCTGTTCTATTAGATGAACCATTATATGATATTCTAAGGAGCTGAGCTCAAACTAGGAGACTACTTCAAATCAAATGAATTGAACATTTACTCAAATTATGAAGAATATGGTATTTCTTGTTGACAACGTGGGTTTGACTTCTGCCAGCTCACGTAGCAAAACACTAACGCTTAACCTTTTGACGATTTGTGTTCATGCTTTGAACTGTTTTTGGGTGATGTCTGATTTTGTCAAATTGACGACTTCAATGGTTAACTTATTTATTTCCGCACAATGTTTAATTTATATGAACAGTGATCTGTTTACATCTTAATTGTTATGCTCTCATGTATTTACAAGATGTTGGAAATTATATTTATTGGACTTTGTTCTGAAAGTACAAAGAGTCAAAGTACTCAATTATTTTATAGTAGCTTTGTTCAAATTATTATTACTTTTATTATTATTAATTTATTTATTTGTGTACAACAAAGTCCGTAGAGGCTTTCACTATTTTGTTGGTTCCTACCGTTACTCACTTGGTACATTAATGCCTTACTTGCCACGTTGTTTGATACTCAATTAATTGTTTATGCAACCTGTTATGTTTTTCTGCCATTCGTATCTCTACCCCATTTCATTTGTGTGTTGTGTGAATGTGTGTTCATTTGGCTGAGGGTACCCATGTCAATGACTATGCTAAATGTCCTACCATCTGTCTTAATTACATTTCCTGATATACTTGGCTGAGCATACCCATGCCAATACCGGGTCTGTATTAATCAAGTCACGATCTTTTTTTTTATATTTTACCTCGTGGCTTAACAAAATTTGTATATAAGATTTAGATATAGGTAAGTCCCTGTTATGATCGTTGAGGAAGATATCCTCAGATGCTGCAATATTACAGATATATTCTAAATTTTTTAAAATCAAACACAAATATAGGTCTGCAAGTAATGTATGTTCTTAAACTTGTGTAAATATATAATAAAAATGCAACACAATTTAGTACTTTATAAATACACATCTCTCGTTTTTACTGCGCCTCCTTTGCCGTTCGACCACACACACCACACGTAGCCGGTTTACCCGGCAATTATAGACCACACCTCTCAATCGAGGTGGCAACACACCAGATAAGATAAGGGCGATGCCCTGTGGGAGGGCGTGCTGCAGGGACACAACCTACACTGATGTCATTTCTCGATGACTAGCTGAAACACCATTCTCTGCGCTGCAAAATCGGAATTCCCTGGGAATTTCACTCAAATACTGCGATCGGCATGGTCTCTGCAGTCGTGGGGTAGCGCCGGAGGCTCCAGCAGGGCTCCGGCCCTGTCGGCGGGGAGTATCGCCGCGGCCCGGAGCATCGCGGCATCGCGTTTCGGAAACAGCCCGCCAGGTCGCTGTGTCCGCTCCGAGGTGTGGTGGGGGATATAAACTCCCAGAGCGGTCGTGACAGCCTCAGTCGTCAAGCAGCGCCTTCGCCGAGCCGAACCCAGCCCAGCACGCACTCGGTGAGCATCTCCGCGACCGTGACTCACAGAACTCGCCGGTGGGTCAGCGCGACGCGGAAGGGCCGTTTTGCAGTGTCATCGTCGTCACCCTGGCTAGTGTCGTCAGATTGGGCAATGCGTGGCAATGCGCGCAGGGGTGTGTTTGTGGTGTCGCGTAGCCAAGCGGAGCGGGTGGTTGTCGGTGGCGCTGCCCTCGTTGCCCGAGCGCGCCCGCCCTGTTGCTCTAGTGCGTGACCCAGGGGATGTGCCTTCCGGGGTTCCGGCCATCGCGGCCGTCGCGGCTCGGACGAGGCGGCCCGAGATGTGGGCGGCGCCGCGCGCGCAGGGTTCCTCGGTTTCCAGGTTAGGTCCGGGTTTCAAGTTCGGGTTTCGATCGCGGCCCGGGGCTGGCCCTTATCTCCGCGTATCTCACGCGGGGCGCGGGGCGCAGGGAAGGCACTGGCGGGATGTCGGCCCACCAGTCCTGCCTGGCCGTGCCTGGCCCTGGCCGGGCCTGGCCGGACAAGCCGGGCCCACGAGGTGGTTAGCGTGGTCATAGGAAGTCCGTTCCAGCGGGCCGAGGCCCCTGGGCCCCCCTGGGCCCCCCCCTGGGCTCCCCAGGCGTGTTGGGCCCGTTTCTGGGGCCGTTTTTAGCCGACTGGTCATGGGGTCGATACCGGGCCAGGCCGGGGCTGCCGGGGCCGGGAAGGGAAGGGCCCTGCCGCCGCTGCCGCCCTGCAGGCTTTGACAGCCGCGCGGCGCTGCGCGGTGCTGCGCGGTGTGAACGCGAACGCGGCGTTGCGCGCCCGACGCCCCGAAATTGGACCGCCCTCCCTCAAGGTCACGCGGTGGGCCCGGGAAACGCGGTCGGAGCACAGTGGGCCAGATGACCGGTGGAGGCGGCCAATAGTCTAGACGCGTTTGGAGCTCCAGAGTCGCTGAACAGGACTCGAACCGAACGTGTGACCCCACCAATGGATTTCTCGTTCTGAGAGCAATCCATTGGTGGGGTCACACGTTCGGTTCGAGTCCCATTTGACGACTCTGGAGCCCAGAATGCGTCGGCGATTTTTGACCGCCTCCACCGGTCCTCTGGCCCACTGTGGGGCGAGTTCGTTATTTTGGCGCCGCGCCGCGCCACACCGAGCGCGCGAACTCCACAGACACAATCAGTCCGCGGATTGCCCGGACTTTTCCTGACCGAAAATAACTTTGTGCAACTCTTGTTTCCCTGGCCGTGGGCGCCGTGGGGCGATGACGTCATCCTCTCGCAGTGACTGGCGGAATCGCCGTCATCATTTCGACCATTCTAACGATGCTAATGGCGGCTTGTCTCCTTGCAGTAACCATGGCCCCCGCCTACAAGCTCATCTACTTCCCTGTGCGCGGACGCGCCGAGCACCTGCGTCTCATGTTCGTGTACGCCAAGGTGGCCTACGAGGACGTCAAGATCTCCAAGGAGGAGTGGGAGAAGCTCAAGCCTTGTATGTTGACAGCATAGCCAAAACAAACAACTTGAAAAGAAAGTTAGGGCTGCTGTTTGAACCCGGGACCTTTTGTTTTCTTTTTTGCAGCGACGCCCTGGGGCCAGCTCCCCGTGCTGGAGATCGATGGCGTGATGGTGGAGCAGTCCATCCCCCTGGCCCGCTACCTCGCCAAGCAGTTCAAGCTGGACGGCAAGGACGACCTGGAGCGCCTGCAGGCTGACGTGTTCGTCGCGCACCTCGACGACCTCAAGAACCGTGAGTGTAGCCAGCGTGTAGTTAGATTCCGCTGCCCGCACTCGTGGAGGGTGCCACAGTGGGCCAGAAGACCGGTGGAGGCGGCCAAAGCTCTAGAGACGCATGGGACTCGAACCAAACGTGTGACCCCACCAATGCTCTCCGAACGAGGAATCCATTGGGTAGGGCTACGCGCTCGGTTGCCTGTTTAGTGACTCTGAACCTCAAAACGCGTCCAGAGTTTTGGCCGCCTCCACCGTCCCACTGTAGGCCGCCTGCAAGTCCACGGTAGGCCACCCGCCGACGCGTCTGGCGAGCTGGTGGCCTACTCGCCGGGCCTTCTCGCGGCTTTGCTTGACTGTGGGTCTCGCTGTTTCAGAGTTCGGCACCCTCCTCAGGGAACAGGACCCCGACAAGAAGAAGGAGATCCTGAAGAACCTCCAGAAGGACGTGTTCCCGGCCTTCTTCGAGAAGCTGGAGAAGCGCGTCGCCAAGAACGGCTTCTCCGTCAGCAACTCGGTACGCCTGGAGCCCTGTCGGTCGCAGTGGGCCAGAAGACTGGCGCGGGCGGCCAAAACTCCAGACGCGTTTTGAGCTCCAGAGTCGCCAAACGGGACTAGAACCGAGCGTGTGACCCCACCAATGGACTCCTCGTTCGGAGAGCAATCCATTTTTGGGGTCACCTGTTCGGTTCGAGTCCCATTTAGCGATTCTGGAGCTCAAAACGCGTCTAGAGTTTTGGCCGCGTGCGTCGGTCTTCTGGCCCACTGTGCCGCATCTTCTCGCCGCGGCGCTAACCCGCGCTCGAGAGACTCGCATGGAGAAACTCGGCGCGTGGGGTATTGCCGGGTCGAGGCTTTTCCCCCCTGTGTTATTACTATCGCTGTGCATCGATTTTAACTTTCCACTCCTTGTTTTCAGATTTTGTGGAGCGACATTCTTCTCTCTGCTCTCCTGGAGGCCTTGATGATCAAGAACATCCTGGGCGACGACTTCGCCACTAAGTACCCCAACTTGGTCAGGGTCAAGGACACCGTCTTCAACACCCCCGACGTGAAGGCTTACCTTGCCAAGAGGCCCCACACCGAAATTTAAATCGTGGAATAGCAGTAGTTTCAATTATTTTATTATTTGTCAAATTTCATCCTTCATTCTTCATCACATCTTTGTTAAGAAAAGTATATAATAGTTCACTGTTATTTTGTAATGGTTGGAGTTACTTGAAATATACTGAAAGGTCACCTCCATAGAACAAACTGGCTCTTGTATTTTGTGTTCTCCCCCTTTTTCTCGCCATCTCATACAAATCCTCGGAAAAATTGCAATAGAAAAAATAAAATGATGTGCCTCACCTCAGACGGCAAACCAACAAACCAATCAAAATCTGGCTCAGGTATTGGCATTTAAAAGGTAACCGAAGGAGAGGTCAGTGACAAGGGGTAGATTTCTGCAAGCCAAGGCCCGAAGGGACCGAAGGGGGCATGCGGAGATGCTGTGGGCGGGTAGGGTGAGGTAGTGGGCCCACTAGGGTGAGGGCAGGGTGAGGGGTCGAGGAGGCGGGGGCGGGGACCGGGAGGAGAAGGGGGGAGAGAGGGACACACTAACACCAAAGCAGAGCAGACCGCTGGCACTGTACTCGCGGCGCAAATTGTGCGCCAAGTAATTTATGAACTGAATCTGTGATGCTGTTATCTAGTGCATTGGTGGTGTTATTTTTCCTGTGAATAGTCCTTGAGTGTTGTCTGCGATATAAGCAGGCATCCAAAACAAAACACCCAACTCGACCTGAACCAACGGTTTGGGTGCCTATTTTGCTGCTTTCCAAGGAAGATCCCAGGAAAATGTCTCGAACTGCAGAAGAGCAGCTGCTCTTGGAGGAGCGTATCCAGGCAATGAAGCGGAAAAATGAGGAACTGCGGAGAAGACATATGGTAAACTAAATTTTGGGACAAGTTGAGGTTATAGCCGCCACCAATGCTCTTTGCACTCACCTACTTGCCTTTCTCTCTCCGGGAAAGGCGTCATGTTTTACTTGTGACGTGCTTTGCTCCTTATGAGACGACTGTCTCTAAATGTTGTGCTGTTAAAATTTTTGCCTCACTTGTTTTTATTATCCTTTCATTCATTGCTTGCAGGAAGTAGAAGCTGACAAACAGTCCGCAGCGAAGCAGAATGCTCTTGTCAAGATGAATGTCCCTCATGATGATGATTGGGTGCCTGGAAGGGTTGTTGATAACCCTCGTCAAGATCGTCCTCAGCAGGACAATGACCCATCATCCCCATCGGCTCAAGACCGTAGTGATGAGAGAAGCCAGTGGCCTGATCAACGCCGCAACCGCCAGTTTGAAGAAGGATCCCCACACCCTAAGCATAACTCGCAGAACTTCTCTGGAAGACGTGATTACCAAGGCAATCGTCAGAGGTCTGATGGAGATTGGTCCTCTGGCAATGAAAATCGTCGTTCTGGGGATTGGCCTAATCGCTCCAATGATGGAGGAAGGCCAAGGGAGTGGGGCACGCAGGGCAGCCGGGGATATAGGAACAGTGCTGCTTCAGGCTCTGGGGATGGCTCCAAGAACTACCCCACAACCTTCACTTCAAAAGTGTTCAAGAACAGTTCCATGGACCCTGATCGAGGAAAGCGCCCTGGTTATAGACTAGCTGAGGTACGGAGCCATTTAGCCTAGTCTTGAAATAGGTTTCAACATTCAAGCGTTCTTTGTCTAAAACCCTGTTTTTCGTTTTATTAGGGCGATGGACCTCCACCAGATCCGTCCTACTCATTCCTAGGAGATTCTATGCGGGATTCCCCGGAGTCAGGCGGGGGAGACAAGCGAAGGGGAGCTCCAAAGCGGGGCTTCCCAAGATCACGAGGGAGAGGAGGTCAATCCTGGAACCACAGAGGCTTCCATGTAAGTTATTTTTATTTTTGTTGTTGTGTAATATGTTAGTACAGTTTTCCAACTTGTATTTATTTATTTGGGGCTGATTGCAGGATTCAGCAAATGGTGACTTTGAGGACCGTACTGAAACCCAACCTAGGAATCAAGATGATCCCAAGCAAGATGCATGGCGGCGTGAGCGAAGCAAAATTGATCAAGAGCGTATTAACCGTCAAAAAACCTCTGATGGGAATTGGAGTAGAGAGTGGGACAACAATAAGGTTTTGCAAGAGTGAGTGTATATTGGCGTTTTATCTTATCTTATCAGAAAAAAAATGTATCACTTAATTTGCTGACAATGTCTTATAATTGCAGGGGTAGTGACAGGCCTCATCGCTGGAGAAGAGGAAATCAAAATCAAAATTATGGTTATAGTCAACCACGAAGAGGTTTTCATGACAATAGTAATAATGGTCCAAACCAGAGCTACGGGCCCAGGGGTGATACTTCCACAGTTGTGGAGAAAGCTGACGGCACAGATTCCTCTCCAAGGCCTCCATTTGGTCGAAGAGGACGCTTCACACATCAGCAAAGGTTCAAGGATAACACTAGGTTCAGCAACGGGTCTGCTCAGCAAGCTATCCCTAATGAGCCAAACATTTCTAAAGAAGCCAGTGGTAAGTTTCATTTTAGGTGCATTCTACATTTTAATGAAGTTTCTGTGACTATGAATCAAAAAATTCCCTTTTCCTTCCCTTAGATGCGGCCCTCATTGAATCCAATGTCACATCAGTGGAAAAGCTTCAAGTATCTCTGGTCTCTGACGCATCAAGTGGTCAGATGAGACGTAGTGTTGAAGGTCAAGGAGGCAGCCTCCGTGTCAGTAAAGATGATGAATCTTCCGACAGTAAGTTGACTTTGGCAGAAACTTTGTAGTTATCCTTAAAACATTAATTTTTCTTAACATTTTCCCTTTATTCTTCTTAATTTTTAAAGGTAAAACAGTGGACCAAAAGCGTCAGCATAAAAGAGTGAAAAAAGGAAAGCGTAACAGAGTTTTCTCATCAACAAGCACTGGCACGACGGGTACTGCAGAGGACGACAACCAGTCTTGGGAAGACTTGTCCTCCGATGAGGAGGCTGTATCTGTTCTTGCTGAACTTGAAAAAGTTCCTGCAGCGACATGGCAAAATGTGTTGATGTCTCCTCAGGCCCTGAATCACTGGACCCTGTTCCTGCTCCAGGGAAAGAGGATGAGTTCCTTTGGGATGATTTTCATCCTGCCGGCTTCCAGGACAATGAGAATGTCACTCTGCATTTGACGGCGGAGGCAGCTTATCAAGCTCTGCTGGATGGGAAGGCCAAAGAGATTGCAGCGGGTGCAGAGTGTCCGGATGGTGAGGCCAACATTTCTCCGCAACCTCCTCAAGTGTCATTTAGGCTTGACACGGCATGCCTGGAGGATAGCGGTGATGAGTTAGAAGGGGCCAAGCTGGATCCCCTCCTTGTTACCACTCAGATTGTGCAGGCTGAAGTGGACTGTATGTCTTTGTCTTCCCTCCCCCCTGATACATCATTACCCGAGGAAGTCTCCCAATTCATCAAAACGATTCGAGAGGAAGATGGCAACAAAGTGACTGAAGCTGAAGGTGTAGTCAAACAAACTGGTGATGTATCTGCAGAGGAACTGTCAGGCCCAGTTTCAATTTTGGATGTACCTCAGAAGGAAAAGCCTGCAAATGAGCTTTGTCTAGCAGACAAGCTAAGGATGGAGGAAGCAGGTTCTATCCAGCATGTTTCTGAAAAATCTGAAGAAGGAGTGCCTCACAGTGGAGCTGCATCAATGTCAGAATTAGAAGCTGATGCTAATCTCAGGGAGCAAGATCTTGAACAGGAACCAGAAAAGAAGGATGATTTCAAGCAGGATGTAGGGGAAAAGGAGGACCCTCAAGAAAAGAAAAATGATCTTAAGCAGGAACCAGAAACAAAGGATAAAGCACAAGAGGTGGAGGAAAAGGAAGGTCCAAACGCAGTTCTTGAAAAGACAGAAAATGTTCAAGACCCCATTCTTGCCGGTGTTCCCGCTGGCATTGAGTCATCCAAGGAAACTGCTGTAAGTGAGCTAACAACTAAAATGGAGTCTGAGGAATGTGTCAAAGAAGCATCTGCTCTGATGAATGATGTTGAAAATGTATCTGAGAATAGGTCAAATACTGTATCTGACAACAAGGAAAATGGTGATGCAAGTGATATTGCAAATAAGTCCTCCATTGTTTCTGATGAAGCAACTCTCTCTGCCAAAGAGAAATCCGAAAGCAATAAATCGTCATCTCCTATAAATTCTTCTGAAAAAGTGCCTGTTGGCCAAGAGTGTGACAGTCAAGATGTGAAAAGTGAAGAATCCGTAGAACAAAATACTAGTTCGTAATGTTTCTTTGATGAATTTTGCTTTTTTACAAAAAGCCTGTATCATCTGAATGAAATGGAATTTCTATATTGAAACAGTTGCATCACGGCATAAGCAGCTAAATCAAATTTAGTTGTGATGTTATTTGTTATCATGTTCCTTGTGCGTTTAATTTGTATTCAGTAAGTATCATTTTACTTACTTGTTTCAATTTTTAGAATTTATGAAATTTTATTATGATGCATATACTTATATCATATGCATATGACTCTGATGTTGTGTAATGAGTATTTTTTTGTTTTGTTTTATTTCACCCAAATGCAGCAGTCTCACTGTTAATAACCATTCTATGTTGAATCATTTGTTTCCTTTCAAACAATGGAACAAAGACAATAGCTAGTGGTACTACTTTTATTGTGTTTTATCAAGATTAACTTATTTTGTAGTTTTAAACAATAAGCTTATGCACTATATGTGCCAAAATGATTGCATGTTATGCAATTACAGCACCTGTTGAAAATAATGAACTGATATCAAATTCAAGTAGAGGAAATCTTGGCAGTGTTGGAAAAGTGTGGTCATGCTGATGAATTTGTCATTCCCGTCCTATTGTCTTGGCTGTGATCAGTGATTTGTATGTCTATTGATTGCAAAAGATCAATTCAAAGATTAAGCTTTTGCATAATTGACAGGGAACCGCTAGGTATCATCAATTTTATCTATCTAAAAGGTTTTCTGTTCAATGCCAAATTGCTAAATTTTTCCCTAATAGGTATTGAGAATCTATATTGTTTTGTCCGTTCGTCTCTTGAAATTTAACGATGTGTCTTAAATACTTCCATTGAACAACATTCAAAGAACATGTCTTTTACTGTGTATCGTATTGACTTCACTCTCATCTTATTGCTAGGTGTTCTTGAACCTCTATCCATAGCCCTTTTCCATATTGGAGACTTACAATTTCATATCTTACAAAGTGAAGTTCTCAGTATTCTGAATACTTCAACTGTGACTGCTCTTTTTTATGCATTGATAAGCTGTGTTTCCCTGTCCATTTCTGGATTTTTTGTGCTTAATCCTCAAGTCTTGCCTCAGAATTATAGATAAGAGAGACAGTTTTCATTGAAATTGAAAATAGTTGTGACTTAATTTGTCAACAAAAAGAGTGCAATTTCTAATATGCTCATGCTAACCATGTCAACTATCTGTGTGTTTGGGTGGGTGGGTGATTGATTGTAACATTTCTTTTTACATTGAGAGTACCATTATTTTATCTCTCAACTGTAATTTTGGTCTTGCTTCTTCAAATGTACCAAAAACATAATAAATTGAGTCTGTGATTACTGGCTAGGCTTTTAAGGAAACAAAAAGGAACATTGTCTCTCTAATTTGAAAAGAAATACTACCTGTACATGCTACAAAAATATGTTGACTTTTTCTCTTTTCCTTCTCCTTACTGAAGAAATGTTGAACTACTAACACTAAAAAAATTAAATAACCAAACCAAACAGAATGTACCAAACACCATTGGGCACCAGGGAAGGGACCTGGGAAGGTCTCTACCATCTCGGCCACCGAGCCACTGCGAGTTAGCTCAATCAATCTTAGAGTGTTGGTACCGGGTTTGGGAGTAAGCAGAGGAAAAGATTTTCTCACCTGGGAGTCGAACCCATGATTTCCCTCCACCGGCTGACTCCTCTACCCTCTCGGTCACGGGGAAAGCCATTTTCACACTGAATAGAATGAATCAGAGACCATTGGGCACCGGGCTTATGTAAGGGGAAACAGTGAGGAGAAACACAATAATGAAAATTTTCAGTTTTATTGTAGAGTTACATTAAACAAAACAGATAGACATACAATCTTGGATATGGTCCCTTCATTCCTTAAACCCTGTTAGAAACTTGCATTAAAAGGTAAGACATACATAAGAAGGTGCTTAATTTGATTTAATACTTATGAGAATTACCCACAAGACAAATAAAATAAAAAAAATTAAAATAGAAAGACATCTCCATGTTAGGCAAAACAATGGAAAGGCTTTTGTTTCACCCTGTAATCCAGGCATTCCTTATGCGATTGCATAAGTGTTCCACATTGAACTGGCATAAACTTAGAAGTAAGAAATTAACCAAATTAAAGACAAAAAAATTGTTACGTAAAAATTGGACGCACATAAACAGAAGAAATAAAAACTAGGGAAGGTGATGATTGAAACAGTTTGAGCAACACAAAGGTGATATAATGATACATGACTTTACATTAAATTAAAATGAAACGTGGGATTCTCACACCAACAGTGGGTCACTTCTTCTTTGCCTTAAACACCACAATGATCCAACACAAACATTGAGAGAATGAATGGAATAGTGGCTATGTTTCATCACAGCCTTTCATCCTCCTCCTAAAATTCATACCATACAGAGACAGTCTCACCACAAATAGAGCTGCCCATCACTTGAAGAGCAAGCAGGGTTCAAGTCACATCCGCACTCATCTACACACACACACATGCACACAAATACAGATAAACAGCACCATAACTAAAATAAGAATGTTTTATCACGTAATAGCTTCACTTGTTTTCATTGATCAGCTCTTGAAGGAGCAACATTAATTATTATTATCAAGAAGTCCCCGAAAAGAAACACTTTCCTTTCATGACATTAGTCTTTAATCCAAAGCAAACTATTTTTAAACCAAATTATGTCTTCCTCTAGGTTGTCACTTACAATCTTTACCTTTCAAGGGATATTTTGCTTAAGAGCACCACACAACTAGAAAAGGAATCTCCCGGGGACAAGTAATAAAATGAGAGTTTGGTTGGTTTATTATCACAATTTTAGCTCATTTACTTAACATTGTATCAAAACTGGGTATCAAAAGTGAAAACGAAATAATTTTGAAAGGCTAACAAGAAAATACTAAGTATCTACACAGTACAGAGCTATAATTACATCCATATACATATCAAATACAATAGAAATGACGATAAAATAAGTATGTACAACTGACTTTGATCAATCTGTCAGACTAAAAGCAACTCAGCAAAACTTTAAAAAGAAAAAAAAAGAAAAAAAAAGTTAAACTGTGTTGCATGTGCAATGCAATTAAGAGAGCAAGATGGGCACATGCCTCTTGTTAATGAACTTAGTGTGCTGCACGCAGCTTCCAGCGAAGGAACACAAATGCAGAGACTCTCAGGACAATAAAGATGAGGACCAATGCAATAATGTCGACACGGAAGTCTTTGTCCAACATGTCTAACTCCTCCAATGTGGTAGTTGGGTTTTTGAAATGGCAGTAGGTCTAGAAAGAAAATCAAGGGTGAGTGACTCAACTTTAGCGCCATAGTGCAGTGGAAAGAGATAATAGATTGGCCCTACATACCTGTGAACACTTGAGCTTCTCACGGGCAAAGCCATATGTTGCCAGAGCAGTTCCCTCAAAACCATATCTGATGTAACTCAAATATGTAATCCACCTCAGATAAATGGGTATGGCATCAAAGCTGACGAAGAAGCCAGAGAATAGAAGGAAGGGCACTGACATGACAGGAGCCAGGAACACACCATTCTGAAACAATAGAAAACATATGTTGGATCAAAAATTTTGTTACTTTCCGAGAAATTCAAATCCTTTTTAAATCATTGTAGTTTACCTGCACATTCATGGCTGCACCAACAACAAGACCCACACTCTGAGCAACAAATGCAATGAGAAGACATGCTGAGAGGAACATTGCAAATCGCTCAAGCTCAGGAGGTTGAGATGTCATGAAGTACACAATTGTGACATATATAACACAGAATATAGTCTGCAAATTCAAAGTAAAAGTTAGTAAACAAACAAGAAAGCAGTGCAATCTTAAAGTTAGCAGTCTTTATTTATCAAAATGCACCACTCACCTGGAACGGTAAATCTGACACTGTTATAGCCAAATAGTAAGACCTTAGTGAATACCAGCGATTGAAGCTTTCTTTAAGTAGCACAGGCATTTCCAGAGGGACTGTAGAAGATGCAGAAAACAAATTTTATCAGAAATAGTGAGCATGAAGGAATGAATGATCACACAAACCTGTGAGGCAGGGTCACTGTACTTACATGACAGAATTGTGATAGTCATTGAGGTGTACATAAGGAACAACATGTTGAAGAAAAGGAAGCCCAAGTTACTAAGTACTTTCGCACCATCGTTACCAATGTTATAGTAGAGAGCACCAATCAGGAATCCAACCAAAATGTGAGCAAACAAACGTAGGTACATAAGTGTCTGCAAATACAAAGAAAAAGTATAAGAGGAAGTTGGTGAATTTCATTTTGTTAACTAATGTATCACAAACAAAACTTTCATTTACTTACCCAATCTCTTCTGCTGAACAAAAGGGTTCTTTTAAGTACAACCCAGAACTGTTTCCACTCTGAGACTGGATACCTCCTCTTAGTATCAACAATTCCACTGTCCAAAAGTGAGGCATTCACATTATCTGCCTTCTCATTTGCTGACAGGTCAACTGGGATAACCACTTGTGAGGCATCTCCATCTGCAAAAGAAGGTGGTTACGTTAAGAGAGCAAAACTAAAATGTAACAGGAGGTCGTAGACATATTAAAAATTATGCTCCACTCACTGATTCCATTTTCCTTTTCATTTGATTTAAATGCAGCTAGCATAATGCCGTTGCCTTTCTTTTCAGAAGCGACCTCTTTGTCATCCTTGTTGAAGACGGACACAATGTTGTTGCCGTTCTGAGCATTGGTCAGCTTTACATTGTTGCTGGGAGTCGTGGTGTTGTTGAGAGCTTCAATGGCAGGGAATGGCGTTCCAGTGCGGATGTCATTTTTGCCGTTTTTAATAGCAGTCACCAGCTTGCGGATGTTGTCACCATATTCTCCGCATGAAACTTCAATAACTGTAAAACAGTCAAGCCATTAGAGCCAAATTTTGGTTTTTGTACAAATTAAGCCCTTTTATTCCAATCATAAAAAGACAAATGTATGAGTAAAAAACAAGAGTATTTGCTTACTGAAAGAGGCTGGGTTATGGTAGCTCGGGCAAGCTAGACCAAGTTTGCCCAGGAAGGGAACAAGCTGTTGGGTAGATCCCTGGTACACGCACTGCCCCTCAGCAAGAGTGTACAGATGGTCAAACATCTCAAAGAGACGAGCAGAGGGCTGATGAATGGTGCAGATGATTGTGCGTCCTCCACGAGACAAGGACTTGAGCAGGGAGATGCACTGGAAGCACGATGAACTGTCCAGACCACTGAAAAATGAAAATCAGTATTAGTTCACATTCAACTTGGAAAAAATTGAAGGTCAGAGGCAACGCTCGTTACCTGGTGGGTTCATCAAAGAACATGATGGGTGGGTTATTGACAAGCTCAAGGGCAATAGAGAGACGTTTCTTCTGCCCTCCAGACAAGTTGCTGGTCATGGTTTTCACATGCTCAGACAATCCCAGAGTCTCAAGAATTTCTTGAATCTGAAAAAAAAAAGACATTAACAAACAAATAATTTACATATTGTCAAACAGATAATCAGAGACTACAAACAACATCATGTGCTTTTAGTCTGTATCTAACTAGGTGCATCCTATCTATCCTATCTAGGTGCAATAACTACTCCACAGGACCTACACCTTACCATAATTTCATTCTTCATTTGAGCAACTTTCCTTAAATCTACTTTACTACCATCCTTCAGTGTCAGCATGAAACAACACATAATCGTTTACAACAAGTGTAGAGACCCATTAGCCAAACACTTCCAACAGATCACAATTTTATTTTACAAAGAAAATAAAGGGTTGCTTACCAACTCCTCCTTCTCTGATTTGGACACTTCGGAGCCCAACTTGAGAGCGGTGGCCACCTGCATAGCTTCTTCGACTGTCAGGTTTGCGTGGAGCTGATTATCCTGCATGATGTAGCACGAGAGCTTGCGGAACTGGCTCAAGTTCCTCTCTTGGCCGTTGATTGTGATGGAGCCATGGATTCCGGAGGTCCTAAAGTAAACACAAAATGGAAAAGAGAATTAGAAAAGCAGGAACCAATCAGTGATGCCTTTTTTATTCACTTTTAGCTGAAAGTAGAGGGTCCTTATCACCAAGGACCATGGCACCTGGAGCACCACAAGCTGCCTACTGCATACACATCAGAATTATTATTACATTTGGAACTTTATGAATCTGAGCTCGCAAATACTTCTATTATGGAAGAGTTGAGTAAAAAAAAATCCAAATAGTAAAAATCTCTGCTTTATTACTTCATCATTGTTCGATTTGCTGCTCTTGTAAAAGGTATGCTTCAAATGAAGACCACAACATCACCGCCTCCTACTAGGGCATTGTGAAAAATAAAGATTTCTTATTATCGACATTCTGCTGCACTCCAGCTCTTACAGCCCTACACCCCGGCCCCCGGACCACGTCAAGTCTAACGAAACCGCAGCTCCGCCGCGAAGCTACCGCGGTATAGAACTGCTACACGCTCAAAAGATTTTCCCATTGAAAAAACAGCTAAAGGCCTGATTAAGTAATATAAGATCATGAGCCAGACTTATTTTGGTGCGAAAACCACGCTGCACCACGAGCAGACAAAAATCTAGGGGAACCGTTGGCTTGTTTTGCCAGTCGGAGACGAGCTGCCCTATCGGTCTGCTGGCATCATCGGTAATCCGAACTCCGGTGACACCGCCGGGGAAGTCTGGCGACTCCGTGTTTGTCACCGTCTCTCTCCCACCCTTCCGGAAGGCTCCGTGAGTGCGAGAGAGAGGACGCAACGAGAGCACCGTCCGGAATCAGCCAGCGACAGGCGGGAGCAGAGATTTTTTTTTACAAGAATAGGAAGTGTGTGTGAGAGTTACACTCCGCTCGAGTTTGGCTGCGAGGCCCGCCTGGAGGAGGCACAGCCGAGGCAAAGCCTGGGTGTTGGCGCTGTCATGAGCCCCGCGTCCCACAGTGGATTGGCCAGAAGATCGGAGGAGGCGGACAAAACTCTAGACGCGTTTTGAGCTCCAGAGTCTTTACGGGACTCGAACCGAACGTGTGACCCCACCAATGGATTCCTCGTTCGGAGAGCAATCCATTGGTGGGGTCACACGTTCGGTTCGAGCCCCATTTAGCGTCTAGAGTTTTGTCCGCCTCCAGCCAATCCACTGTGCACAGACGCCTTGGCCAGCGGAGGGTGTCGGGGTGTTCCCAGTCAACAACAAAGTGCGTCGGGCCGCGCGTGTGTTGGTGCACGCTGCGCGCCGCACGCAGCTGATGACTGCGCAGGAACCGATAGCAGCTTGTTTGCCAGTGATACAGTGATAGCGGCCGGGAGACAGAATACAGAAATGCGGCACTCGGCGGGCCGTGCCTGGCCGTGCCGGACAGAAGGCGAAAAAGGTTGGCAAACTGCAGTTGTGCCAACCAACAATATTCACGCAAAAAAATTGCAAGTTATTATAAAAGCGAAAAAAAGAGAAGTAAATTTTTGTCATTTTTTAAAAATTGCAGCTGCGATTTAAGCCCTGAAGACAAGCGCATCCGTCAAAGTTTGACTGCCTCGCCTCGTCTTCGAGAGTCGCGCGTCGTAGATCCTACTCGCGCCAATCACTGGGAGGAGCGGTTACCCTCCCCTCCCCCTCCCCCCTTTCCACCCTTCCAGACCAAACCTGACGAACAGGGTCTACATGACCTTCATGCCAGACGATGACATCGCCCCCCCCCCCTCTCCACCTGTCTCCGGGGCCCCGGAGGCGAACCTGCGCGGCGGCGCGGCTGAGCGGCGAACGTAGAGAACCTGTTTCGCGTATCGCAGCAATTTCCAGCGGCAACGCGTCCGCACAGCGATTCCGCGCACAGCCGCCTCGTCGCGCCGTCTCTCTCGCACCGCTGCGGGTCGCTGCGGGTCGCGCCGTGAGTGCGACAGAGACAGAGCGACGCCGTCGGGACGCGGCAGCCTCCGCTAGCGCCAACGACGTCACAGGCCGCGTCTGACGCGCTCGGTGGTATTCGAACCCAAGACCCCCCGCCCGGCCCGTGAGGACGGAACGCGCACGCCCGCCGTGCGTGCGTTGGTTTCCCTTCCCGAAGCGAGGCCCTCAATCGCAGAAACCGAAAACTTCTGTCAACTTGCGAGTCTGTCCGTCCGTCCGTCCGTCCGCTTTTCCACGGGTACACAGTCAGGCCGCCGCTCCGTGGCCTTCCCTGCCCCGTGCACGGCGTGTCGCCGAGATGGAGGGGAGACACTGCAAGAACGTGGCTTGGAGTCCCCGAGTCCCCACTCGCTTTTTCTCTCTCTCTCTCTCTCTCTCTCTCTCTCTCTCTCTCTCTCTCTCTCTCTCTCTCTCTCTCTCTGTGTGTGAGTCTGTGTGTGTGTGTGTGTTGTTTTTTTTTTCGATAGCGATTGTCAGTTTGGCACGCGGACATGGTGACGCCGTGGAGTGTATGGCGACCGGAGAGGCATGGTGTTATCAGGGCGCCACTACGTCCACAAGGAGACCCGAGTTCAATTCCCAGCAAGTCCGCACTTAAAAAAAATTCTGAAAGCTATTTATTGAAACTGTTGACAGGAAATATTTGAATTTTGGAATTTGCTCAGAATGCACTTGGGAATCACGAGGGGCTCATGTGAGCAAGTACCCGGTGCGACAAGACTCCGCGGGGGAAGGCTGAGGGGCAGCGAACAACCAGACAGGTCCATGGACTGGAGGCAAACAGTCGGGTCATCAGTCCGACGCAGTCGACGAACCATTTCCCACAAAAATAAATACTTCGACCCCTCCTAAGAAAACCATCCTTACTCGCCCGGGCGCTAGGAGACCATCCTAGTTCGCCGCGGCGCTACACTGCAAGAAAAAGTGTGGATAGTACAACAAAAGTACAACAAAAACTGTACAATAAAAGTACAACAGGGATTGTAGAAAGTACAACGAGAATTGTACAAACCACAACGAGCCCTGGACGGCACAGCACTCATCATGCCGGCTCCATTGTACTTTGTACAACAATTGTTGTACTTGAAAAGTACACAAAATTCCTGATAAAAAATTTGCCAGAAATTTGTGTACTTTTGTTGTGGTTATTTCCTGCAGTGTAGGAAACCATCCTACCTCGCCCGGGCGCGGGGAGACTATCCTAACTGGAAAGGATTTGTGTAGAAGTTAGGATAGTCTCCCCGCGCCCGGGCGAGGTAGGATGGTTTCCTAGCGCCCCGGCGAACTGGGATGGTGCCCTAGCGCCCGGGCGAGTAACGATGGTTCTCTTAGGAGGGGTCGACTTGAAAAAAATGAGTGGTCATCGGACGGAACAACCTATTTTCAGTCGGTTTCCCATCTGACTTACGCCCTTGTGCCCAAACTGCCGCTGGAACTATTTTTGAAAAAATAAATAGCAAACATGAAATGTGCTGTTAAAATTTTGATTGGGACCCGTGGTGGATGCAAAACAGCAAAGAATCCAACGCGTCCTAGTGGCCGCTCCCTGCCGCAGGCTCCGCAGGCCTGCCCCGAAGTGCCACCGAGTTTCGCCGGGGCGGGGGTCAGGGTAGAGTAGTGGCCTATCAGTCGGGGATCGCTCTGAGAAGCCGGCCGGACACACGCCCGTCTCACACGAGGCTTCACCAAGGCTGCCGCGAGCTTCGTCGCTCCGTCTCTCTCGCACCCTGACGGAACGCGCGGAAAGCCCCGTGAGTGCGAGAGAGACAGAGAGAGAGCGCCACGAAAGCGCCGTTGGGAATCAGCCCCACGGCCACCGCGGCCAACGACCGGCGCGGGCCCAAATATTGAGCCAGGAGGCCGTGGCCGAGATGGGGCGATAACAACAACAACATCGAGTACCGAGACGGCAGCAACAACAACAAGTAACCCGCTTCAATGACAAGGCGATAGTGCCAAAGCACAGCCACATTGCGGCCCCTCAGCTGTTTGGAAAATTCCCAGTGCAGCTGCAACTAGTGGCGGATTTTTCGCCGGGCCGAATGATACGCGACGAGAGAGGCTTTATTCCCCGACCCATTCATAATCTCGCTTCGATTAATCGAACGCGCGGAGCGGCTCGGCGGCTGGCCGTGTCTGTCTGGAGACTCGGAAAGACAAACGCAAACGCACCGGGATTCGAACCCGAGCCGTCCGCACTTTCCGTCCAAACATGTGGGCTCCGCGAGCTCCGCGTGACGACGCCTTGCTGCGCCTTGCCCGCCAAGGCGGCGTCCTCGTCCTCCGTGCGCAGGCTGATTCCGAAAGCCGTTTTCGTCGCTCCGTCTCTCTCGCACTCATGGGGCGTCGCGTATGGGTGCGAGAGAGACGGAGCGAGAGTCTCGGAATTGGTCTGCTGCCGCGGCCCCGGGACGACGGGGACGAGGAGGTCACCGAGGCCGTCCCGGAGGCGGAGGGGCCTAGGGGGGCCGGGCGGGGCGCGGCCAATGCCGGCCAATGCACACCGCGCCGCCGAAACGATAAGCCGCCGAGGACGAGAGGCAATGCTCCGCATGCGTCCGCATGGCGCACAGTGGATTTGCCTGAAGACCGGTGCAGGCGGCCAAAGTCCCGGACGCGTTTTGCGCTCCAGAGTCGCTAAATGGGACTCGAACCGAACGTGTGACCCCACCAATGGACTCCTCGTTCGGAGAGCCATCCATTGGTGGGGTCACACGTTCGGTTCGAGCCCCATTTAGCGACTCTGGAGCGCCAAACGCGTCCGGAATTTTGGCCGCCTCCACCGGCATTCTGGCAAATCCACTGTGTTGGCAGCTGTGTCCACAAACCACAACAGCCTCACGCGTCGTTTCGGTACCAAGTGACCCAGTAACGCACTGGCGGCGTGGTCCACAGATAACAACTCTGACGCGGATAGTCAGTCCCCTCCAAAGCAATCAGAAAGTAAAACCTAATTTTGTATTTTTTTTTAAAGGCTAGTCGTTTTGATTTTGGTGCTTACCTGTATCCAGTGAGGATGTTGAGCAGGGTGGACTTGCCGGCCCCCGACGGGCCCATGATGGCGGTGAGCTCCCCGGACCGCAGACGTCCCGACACGGACTTGAGGATCGTCTTGGCATCTGCGGATAGAGAGAGAGAAATGAATTAATATCCTAGTGGGTTTTAAAAGCACGCGCGTCACGACAAAAACTAAAGGAAAAGCAATAAAAATGGCTGACTGACTACGTCACAGCCACAGCCCCAATGCATCGGCAATGAGTGAACTGAAGAAGAGGCGATGAACGCGGACGCCATTTACATAATCATAAAACAAGCCGACAGGGGAGGGAGGGAGAGAGGGAGGGAGGGAGAGGGAGAGGGAGAGGGAGAGAGAGAGAGAGAGAGAGAGAGAGAGAGAGAGAGAGAGAGAGAGAGAGACAGACAGACAGACAGACAGACAGACAGACAGACAGACAGACAGACAGACAGACAGACAGACAGAGAGAGAGAGAGAGAGACGGCCCCTGGTCACCCCCAGAGCGTCCCCAGTCATTGCAAGGTACATCGCCCTCCTCCCGGCACAGCCAGCGGCAAGTGCAATTTTTACTTTCCTCCCACTTCCCGCCCGTGACATCTAACTGACGTGGTCGCGGCCGCTCTGTCTCTCTCGCACCTCCTTCGGAACGCCCCGCGAGTGCGAGAGAGACAGAGCGAAGACACGAAGAAACGCGTGCCGCGGGTCGTCTGCAAGGCAAATGCCCGCGACGGATGACCACTGAGTGGCCCAGAGTCGCTCTGTCTCTGTCACGCTCGTGAAGGGTTTGCGCGGGTGCGAGAGAGAGAGGGAGAGGGAGAAAGAGCAACCGTTCACACCAACAACAGTCTCGAGAAGCCATCAAGTACGCCATGTCTGACGTAAGGGCAGGTTTAAGGTTTAAGGATGGAGGAGGCCCCCGTAACCACCCCCCCCCCCCCAACTTGGCCAAACCTCGACTAGCCGCCCCCACTAGAATCTCCCTCAGGGTTCCTCTCCAGCGGAATCACGCAAACCGGCGGCGAGCCGACCGCCTCTCTGTCTCTCTCGCACTCATGGGGCGTTGGGGGTGCGGGAGAGAGACGGAGCGCTCCGCCGGGCAACACCTGTTGTTCTTGCCACACTCAGACGGGGTACGTACTCCTTTTACAATTACCGGGCTTTTTTGTTTTCGTGGCTTTACTCTCTCTCTCTCTCTCTCTCTCTCTCTCTCTCTCTCTCTCTCTCTCTCTCTCTCTCTCTCTCCCTCTCCCGCGGCCCCGAGACGGCGCCGACAGGGACAGACAGGTTCAACGACCGCGCGGCGCGATTGGCTGCCGGTGGGGTCATTCCCAGCCAGCGGCGGCCAATCAGAGCCGAGCTTTCCGTCACGTGGCGTCTCGTGCGAGAAGAAAGAGAGAGCAAGAGAGAGAAAAAGAGAGAGAGAGAGAGAGAGAGAGAGAGAGAGAGAGAGAGAGAGAGAGAGAGAGAGAGAAGAGAGAGAGAGAGGAGAGAGAGAGAGAGAGAAGAGAGGGCGAGAGAGCCCCCGGCGACCCAGGCCAGCCCGCCACACTGCGGTGCGCGCGGTGCGTCCGAGCGGCCTACCTCGCAGGCGCTCCGACGGACCCATTCGCTTCGTCGCTCTGCCTCTCTCGCTCCCAATGACCCGTAGGGGTGCGACAGAGACAGAGCGACGACTCTTTCGGAATCAGCCCTGCCGGCACAGTCACGCACAGAAGATAGCAGTCTCTGTACATACAATTTTTGTCTTTTTCAAAAGTGCTTTTGAAAGTTAAGGTTGTGTTTTTGTTGTAACGTTGGCCATGCTACGCGCTTCGCCGCGCCCAGTGCTCCGGTGCGCAGCCTTTACACCGACCCCTGCCGGGGCACGGCCGGTCTCTTGTGGCGACACAGCGCGGCTGACTCAGGCAGCGCGCCCAGCGCGGCACAGCGGCACAGCGCGCGGAGCACGCCGCCAATAATCTAATCGAGAGCAGTGCAGCCGAAGCGTGCCAAGCCAAGCGACTCATTCCGAGAGCCGTTTTTGGTCGCTCCGTCTCTCTCGCACCCATACGGCACGCCCCTTGAGTGCGAGAGAGACAGGGCGACTTTTGGAATCAGTCAGTCTGCAGTGCGAAGCGCAGCGCAGCGCGACGACGGATGACGCGTCGCACCGCCGAGCGTGCTGCCTGCAGCCACTGCAGCTGCCCGCAGCACCCAGTCCACCCAGCACACTGGTTCGTCGCTCTGTCTCTCTCGCACTCACGGGGCGTCCCCTAGGGGTGCGAGAGACGGAGCGACCAAAAACGACTCTCTGAATCAGCCTGCTGGCCCCCGCATCCAGCAGGCCAGCTTATCGACACGCGCATCGCTCATCGCACGGACACCGACCAAAAAAAAAAAACTTTTGAACGCAAGTTTGATGATTACAGCAGGCTTCGTTAAAGTGAGGCATTCACGATGCACTTTAGGGGTTTGTCGTCACGGTCTAATAATGGCACCCCTGGGCTGAGATGCAGCCAACGAGAAAGAGGGGTGAGGGGAGGGGAGAGAGGAGGGAGGGGGAGGGGGAGAGGGCACCTGCAGTCTGCAGGCACGGCCTACGACACGGCCTAGCGGCTAGGCTATGCGGCTATGCACTGCTATAGGCATAGTGCTGGGCAGGACGCCTTTGCGCAACCCAGCAGCCCAGCGGCAGCAGCAGTGGCCACCGCGGCAGAGACGCGGACCACGGCGTGTCGACATCGCGTGCCACACTCACACACTCACACACGTACGTCCAAATTACTAGACGAGCAGGCAAGCCAGCAAGCCCGCAACTCCAGATGGCATCAATTCGTGGCAAGTGCAGAGGCACACTGGACACTGGACGCCCCCCCAAAAAACACACACAGACAGTCACACAGTCACACACACACACAGTCGGACCGAAACGCCTGATTCGCCTTTTTATCCGCCATAAAAACAGAGGAAGAGGACGCGACTCTGGGCACGTCGGGCTGTCAGGCTGCACGCCAGCCACGCCGGCAGCGGAGTCGTCGCTCTGTCTCTCTCGCACTCGCGGGGCGCGCGGGGCGTCGCGTGGGGGTGCGAGAGAGACAGAGCGACGACTCTCGGAATGAGTCCGCAGCGGGCACGCCGGCAGGCCGCGGCTGCTTCTGCATGCGAGTGAGTAGTCAGTGGCGCGGACGCCCTTGGAGGCCGCCAGGCCCGACAGGCCGCCCCCCCCTCCCCTCCATCCGTCCGTCTCTCTCCCTCCCCTGCGGTTTCCGCGGTCACCCGGCGGCGCCTCAGATCCAGCAGGACTCCGGCGGAGAGACTCCAGCAGGAAGCGAGCGCCACATTTCTCCAAATCCATCCGTCAGTTCAGTCGCGCCGTCCAGTGTCCGGCCGGCAGCAGCCTGCGCGCCTGCTTTTCGCGCCAAACGACAGAGGCATTTATTTTTCGGCAACATCGACCGGTAGCGCGCCGCCGCCGTCCAAACCGCGGTTGGGATTGCACACACACACACACACACACACACACACACACACACACACACACACACACACACACACGCACACGCAGACACGCACGCACCCACCCACACACACACAGTGTCGCACGGAAGAGTTTCAAGTTCAAGGTTCGATCGCCGCTGCCCGCCCCCCGACGACGACCGCAACCGGGCGACATGGGCCACGGGCCAACAATGCGGCGGCACGGCCAAAAATGAAATAAAAGAAAAAACTTTTTATTTCAAAAAACATTAAAGGGCAATTGCGGAAACAATAAAGATTCGCCATCGTCGCCGCTGCGTGTGTGCGCCGCGGATGGGTGGCAGATTTCACACGTGTGTGAGAGAAAGAGAGAGAGAGCGTGAGTGCTGCGTGCGTGCGGCCAATGGACCACGGCTCACGCTAAAAGCCGAAAGGTAGTCCTACACGCATACCCCGCCCAAGGCAACAGAGTGAGCAATCTCCTGCGAGAGATGCGTAACACACACACACATGCACACTAACACGCCTTCCGCCCCACAGTGGGCCAGAAGACCGGTAGAGGCGGACGAAATTCTAACGCGTTTTCATCTCCAGAGTCGCTACATGGGACTCGAACCGAACGTGTGACCCCACCAATGGATGGCTCTCCGAACGAGGCATCCGTTGGTGGGGTCACCACACATTCGTTTCGAGTCCCGTTTAGCGACTCTGGAGCCCAAAACGCGTCTAGAGATTTGGCCGCCACCGCCGGTCTTCTGTGGGCCCCAGCTTGGCAGTGTAGGCCAAAAAAGATCTCGCCTCGCCACCCCCTGCTTGGCGCTTGGTCGCTCTGCTCGTTGCACTGTACAAGTACCATCCGACAGGTTCCAAGCCAACTCACTTAAAAGCGGACCGGCCCGACCACTCGGCAGGATGGTCGCCAAGCCGATCCCGAGGAAAATAAAATCAAGCGCGCGAGTGTGTGTGTGTGTGTGTAGTGCGTATCCAACTATGCTAGAGTGAGTGGCGGCCTGTTCGCGTGGAAGCCGTTAAATTCCAATCGAAAAGAAATTTAGCCAATTGCTGTTGCATTCTGCTTTTGTCCGGGAGGAGACGGCCGCCGGGAGGACACCGCTCCGTATGCAGGACATGCGGGGCCACGCGTGCGACGCGCACCTTGCCTCTCTCTCTCCATTCCGGACACGGGCGGCACACCAGGAAAATAACCTGGAATACGACACTTGCCCCGCCATTGGCAAGCGTTCTCGGCTTCCAAAGCAGCCGACCCCCCCAGCAGGCACTGCCAGGCAGGGCGCGCCGCCGCCTCTCTGGCCGCTGCACCACACCGACAAAACAGCGCCGGAAATTTCCAGCAGCGACCGGCGCAGCACGGCAGCACAGCCACCGCCGGGCGCAACCCGCCGCCGGCCGACCCAAAACCTTCGCCACCGAGTCGACCTTCTGCGTGCGCATGTGAGGCCCGCAGCCCCGCGGGCAGCAGACGACGCGTAGCGCGTAGCCTCGCGAGCCGACTGCACACAGCCGTGCCACGGAGTGCTGAAGCTCGCCTCGGCTTTCGCACGCCACTTTGATGGCGCATCGGTGCATTCATCAAAGCGAAATCACACACAAAGCATGCGAAAAAAAAATTACGGGACGCAAACGGCTGCTAAAAATTGCTTGACATAATAAATTTTGAAAATTCTTGTCAAAATTTTAATTTTTTGCAGTGTATTGGACAGTTTGCAAGGCAGGGCAGGACCTTTATCCTTGGCACATAACAGGCGTAAGAACAAAAGTCGCAAAAAATTATTTTTTTTTAATTGTCAAAATATCAACATTTTTAAAAATTTTGTTTCTTTTTTGAAGTGTTGGACAGTTCGCGAGGCAGGCCCCCTCTCCTCGGCAAAATGACTGGCGTAATGATACCGCATGCAGAGCGGCCGCGCAAATTACAGGTGGACGGCATTTCTTCACATATCTGGCCCAAAACAACCGCCTCGTTTCCACCCTGCGCCTCCCCGATCGGCTCTGCTTATGCTCCTCCGGAAATTTCGCAGCAAAGCCTGTTCATTTTTTTTTCAGGGGGTATTTTAGAGTTCTAACTAGGGCTCCTCTTGACGCCCGGTTCCAAAGAGGATTGCAAAAGCGACCTTCGCGACAAAAGCTGCGGTCGAGATCGGACGACAATGGGACGAGCTTTCTCTAGCTTCATTACTTCTTTAGTTTTGGAAGTAATTTCTCAGCGTCCCCAGCGGTCGAGGCGCAACGTTCCCACGCCATGACACGGAATGGCGCGCGCACTCTAAAAAAAAAAGGCGCGTCAAGTTGACGAAAATTCAGCCGATTTTCTTAGTGACATTGATTCAGACTCAGAGAGCATACTTTTTGAAATCTTGACCAGAGCTTGCCAATTTGAATTATTTCGACAAAACATTTTTTTTCAGAGTGGTCACACCAACTGCCCCCTGCCCCCTCCCCAAAACGGAAAAGAGTTGAAACTTAACCACCAATATTGAGAAGAATTCAATTGCAATCAGTAACCCTAGAAAAATCACGAAAATTTTGCCCAGTAGACAAGCAGGCGGCTACGAAAGGACCTAAAAAGACCGTCACTACTCGGATCCCAACCGATGTCGAGGTGGCTGCTGCAGCGACAATGGCAATGGCCCGTGCTTTTTGAGCGTGCTCTGCGCAGTGCCGCGCCGTGCCGCGTCGTGTGACAGTGTCGTGACGAGGCCCGTGACAAGGTGACGTGTTGCGTGACTGTGTCACGTGGGACCGTGGACTCTATTGTCTGACGCTGATATCACACGGGCGGGTCGGTCAGCTAAAAAGAGACCAAGACAATTATGGCCAAAGTTGTTGGCGGCTCGCGCGGCAGCCGCGGCAGCGCACACGGAACTGGCTTTTGGGACGTTTTTCGAAGAAACCGGTCCGATCTGCTGATCAGGCCAAAACGGTCCCACAATTCGAAATTTAAAAAAAAATCTCAAAAAAATTCCCTCACTAAAACAAACTCGAAAAAATGCATTAAAATCCCCCTACTGATACTGAAAAAAACCTGAAAAAACCTGATACTGGAAAAAAAAAACGCGAAAAAAATTGCAGCTTCCTTCGACTATCTATCATCAGCGGGTACCTCGAGCAAGTGCTCAGAAGGAGCAGGAAAAAAAGAACAAACTACGGAACACGAGGCGTTTATAGCGCTGCCAGGAAAATACCGGCTCCAGACGCAGAAAACAACTAACACACACACACACATTCACGGCAGTCTGACAGCGAGTCATCAACCAGCCTCACGGCCGGGGCAAACGGCGAACGGCGCTGCAATCCGAGTCACTTAGCCGAAAAGCCATTTTCCGCAAACTAAAAGTCGCGCACAGAGTCCAACTCCGATGGGTGCGTCAACTCCGTCAACTCGGAGCGTTCGGCTGACGTCTGCAGCCGCCTCGCCGCCGGCCACTGCCCAGGACTGCAAACAGCAGAGTCGTTTTCGTCGCTCCGTCTCTCTCGCACTCACGGGGCGACCCGTACGGGTGCGAGAGAGACAGAGTGACGAAAACGACTCTCGGAATCGGTCTGCAGGCCGATCTCACCGTCGCCTTGACGAGGTAAGGCGATTTCGATCGGCCGTCGCTACGCACGCAGATCGGGCCGCGCGCTCCGCCGAAACTAAAGCCCCGCCATTCCGAACAAAACTAATCCACGTTAATTTCGGATTTTTTCGATGAAATTTCGGAGTTTATTTGGACTTTTTTGGATTTTTGTTATGACGACTCTTCAGTGTGCCTCTTGGGTGAGACAAAGAGCTCAACACTTGTGCGGCGAGGCACGTGGGTGGCCGCCTCGTCACACCCGGCAACGTCACGCACTCTTCGATCAATCGACAAGTCGTCGATCCGGCCCCCTATTTTCAGCTCCTTCAGCGAGGGCCCTGCACTCGAGTGCGCATCAAGGCTGAGCACCGCGAAACAGGATTTTACTCCCGCAATGGGCGGTGCAGGGCTGCCGGGCCGTGGATGGTCATTACCCAGGAAAGAACCTGTTGCAATAAAACTTAGGGCGGGACGCGGCGCGAGGCGCGCGGTGCGGTGAGCAGACGAGTCCGGCCGCCGTCCGCCCGCCGGTCGGCCCCCCGGCCCCGGTCCGGCTGCCGGCTCAGGGCGTGGTGTCAAAATACTCGAATAGATTACGCGATCAAGGCCAGTCAATCAAGAAGCCCGTTTTGGGTACAGTGCGGGGGAAAGGATACGCAGTGGCTCTGCTCTCCGCCCTTGACACCCCAAGGCACAGTGGGCCAGAAGACCGGTGGAGGCGGCCAAAATCCCGGACGCGTTTTGAGCTCCAGAGTCGCTAAACGGGACGCGAACCGAGCGAGTGACCCCACCAATGGATTGCTCTTCGAACGAGGAATCCATTGGTGGGGTCACACGTTCGGTTCGCGTCCCGTTTAGCGACTCTGGAGCTCAAAACGCGTCCGGGATTTTGGCCGCCTCCACCGGACTTCCGGCCCACTGCGCTCCGCCCTTGACACCCCAACGCCCTACTCTGCACCCCGCCCTTGACACCCAAGGCCTTCCGACCTACGCCACGACCCGTTTCCACCGTTGCCACTCGGACGCCTCCTCCTGCCCGCTTCTTCAACCGCTCCGCCGCACGCTCGTCGTCTGCTGACGCGCGACGGCGCGGGGCTTCCAGCCACGGCGGTGACGTCGCTCGCGCCATCAGTGCCGCCAAAGAAGTACGTGACGGTGCAGTCAGCCTCGCCGGCGATACCCCCTGCACCGTGACACTGCGGCACGCCCCACAGTGGATTTGCCAGAAGACCGGTGTAGGCGGCCAAAACTCTAGACGCGTTTAGAGCTCCAAAGTCGCTACATGGGACTCGAACCGAACGTGTGACCCCACAGCAATCCATTGGTGGGGTCACACGTTCGGTTCGAGGCCCATTTAGCGACTCTGGAGCTCAAAACGCGTCTAGAGTTTTGGCCGTCTCCACCGGTCTTCTGGCAAATCCACTGTGCTGCGGTTCCGCAGGGGTTGTCTCGCGCGCGCGGGGTAGCGACAGTCCGTCGTGACCGCCATCGTCGAGTTGCTTGACGCACTCGTCCAGCAGACTCATTCCGTCGCTCTGTCTCTCTCGCACTCGCGGGGCGTCCCGTATGGGTGCGAGAGGGACAGAGCGACGAAAACGACTCTCGGAATCAGTCCACGGCACGGCGACGCGCGGCGCCTGCGTGATGGCGGTGTGGTTAATGACGGCGGAGCGAGCCTGCCGCGACCTTTGGCCCTGGGGGAGGGGAGGGGGGGGCAGCACGCGAACACTCCTCGCAGACACACACAAAAAAAGAACCGCGCGCTTCGCCTTTTGCCGACGCCGCGGTGCCAAGGAAGGCAGTCCCATACTGCCGGCCAATTATATCGCACTCGTTGTTACTCGCATTAGCATTCTCCCGGCTTGTTCCTGGTTACGACGCGACGACCAGTGGCGCCGCCAAGCGCTGCCATCGGGATAGCGACCCCGTCGACAGTCGCACCGACAGCACCGTCTGTCGATAGCCCTGTCTAGCCCTGTCTAGCCCTGTCCATAGCCCTATCCATAGCCCTATCCATAGCCCTGTCTATCCCAATCTAGCTCTGTCTAGCCAGTCCCTGGACGACACTTAGACTGTCTGTCTCTGTCTCTTTTCCGTTTTTCCCTCTCCCTCTCTCTCTCTCTCTCTCTCTCTCTCTCTCTCTCTCTCTCAGGCGGAAACACAGCATTGCGAGGCGCACATGCACGTTCGATAAGCCCGCGACCCGTCCGTCGCTCCGTCCGCGTCGGCGGCCGCGGCGGCACACGCGCAAACGCGCGCCAGAGACAAAGGTTTCCGAGCAACAGTTTTGCAGGGCCGACCAGGGGTCGCGGTGGGTCGCACGCGACTGGCTTTCCAGGCGGCAGGTCGCGGGTTCAAGCCCCGGCAGGGCTTCCCTCGTTTTCGGGACCAGAGAGGCCCGGGACTTCCCTCCCCGCCCCGCGGCAAGCGCTGGCCCGCCGGGCCGCCTGCCGGGTAGGCCCTACCCCAACACCGCGGCCAGCGCTTCCGTCGCTTTGTCCCCGCCGCGTCGGCCCGCGAGCCGACGGCGAGCCGCGGGGTGCGAGAGAGACAGACAAGGCGGAAAGTTGTGCAGTCACGGTGTACTCACTCTTCTTGCGGCCCTCGGTGACGGAGTACGTGAGGTCGGAGAAGGCGATGTCCACGGGCGGCCTCTTGGGCAGGTGCGACAGCGTCTTGGGCTGCGCCGGGGTGGCCGGCGCGATGGTCACCTTCACCGACGACGACTTCCTGCGGCCAGAGAGCAGGCCGTCAGCGTCGCCCGCGGCCACGTCCTCGTCCACCGTCAGCTTCATGGCGCGCACGCTCTCACGCTCACGCTCACACTCACGCACACACACACACACACACTCGCGTACGTCGAGCGTCCGTCCGTCACGCTCGCACGGCGCACGATTACTGAAAGCCACACAGGGGCCGCGAGTCATCGCGGAGCAGCAAAGCAGCGAAGCAGCGCCAACGGCAGCTTGGCCGCGCCGCCGCCAGGGAGCGCCACCAGGCAGCGCCGCCAGCACACTCATTTCGAGAGTCGCCCTCGTCGCTCCGTCTCCCTCCCACCCATACGGGACGACCCACGGGTGCGAGAGAGACAGCGCGACCGCTCCCGGACTCAGCCTGCAGCCCCACGAGGTCAACTTGAGCCAGGCAACGCGGGTGGGGCCTGCAGGCCGGCGGTGCGGCGATCCAGGGGGCAAGGACTTGGCGATGATGACGGCGTTCAGACAAAAACAAGAACGCAAAAGAATCGGGTCACCGACACAAAGTTGGGCGCCATCTAGGAGGACGACGGCGAGGGGCACGGCGTGGGCACGGCGTGCACCAGCGACACGCGGACCGTCAGGCCGTCGAGGCGTTGGCACAAACACAGAAAAGCCAAAACCATGGAGGCACCGACTTGAAGTTTGACACCGACTGGGGTTTGGGGAAGCAACGTGCAGGGCAAGGAAAACACACCCTGGAGCTGGTAGTCTTGCCTTTGAACACTCCCTCGACTAGTTATTTCAACTAAACGCGACAATCTGCGTGTGAAGTCAGTGTGCAAGGGATGTCGGTGCCGCTGAAGTGCAGGCGACAGCAGGGGTGAGTCCTTTCTTTACCCTGCACCTTTCCTCCCCGAACTTACTCCTAGGAGCAGGACAGCCCACAGTGAGCTAGAAGACCGGCGGGAGCGGCCAAAATTCAAGACGTGTTTTGAGCTCCAGAGTCGCTGAGCAGGACTAGAACTGAGCGAGTGACCCCACCAATGGATTCCTCGTTCGGAGAGCAATCCATTGGTGGCGTCACACGTTCGGTTCGAGTTCCATTAAGCGACTCTAGAGCTGAAAACGCGTCCGGGATTTGGGCCGCCTCCACCGGTCTTCTGGCAAATCCATTGTGCAGCCTAGGGCTCCGCGTGCGCCAGCGAAACGAGGCGTGCGGACAGTCTGGCCGTTTTTCGACCTTACCGCCACCAATTAAAACGGAAACTGATAACGAGGACGAATTGCCACGTGGCTTGCTGAACCGGAGAGGTAACCTCTTGCGACAAGTGGCTCACAGAGAGCGTGACAGCTCTTCTTCGCCGCCAAACTTCCTCCAAATGACTGCCGCCCAGGAACAGACTCTCAACAAGTGCCCCCATTTTTATTTCCGACGTTGCATGTTCGTTGTGAGTGCAATTAGACCGACCGGCCTCACTCCCGGCCGGACTGGCCCCGACGGTCGATTTTCGTCGCTCTGTCTCGCTCGCACCTATACGGGACGCCCCACGAGTGCGAGAGAGACAGAGCGACGAGAATGACTCTCGCATCAGTCTGCAGCCGAACCGACCAACGCGTGGCACAAGGCCAATTCCACCGCCCGGCACGAAGCGTCCAGAAAACGACCGGGAACTTGTCAACGGACGCGGGTTCAAATCCCGACAAGAATTTTTTTTTGACACCTGTTGAAGGTGGGCACATGAGGTGGAGCCGAAGAGATGACAAAGACGAAGACCACCAACACCACCAAGGCGATGACGTCGTCATGTTTACTTTTCGACCGAGCATAAAGACATCTGATGATAATATTTACACGCTGTTTGTCTGCCGGGCCGTCTGACGAGCAGGTCACCCAGCTTGCCCAGCTTCTGAAGAAGAAGGACAACAACAACAACAACCACCATCACCACATGGCCGCGGGCACGGAACTTCAACTGAAACGGCGATTTTGGCGGGAAACTGCAATCCGCACGAGTAAACGACCGCAGTCGTCGCTACTCCTCGCTCGAGCGAGAGACACTACGGTGACCCCGCGCGGACACGTGCGGCAATTGAAACGGCGATTTTGGCGGGAGACTGCAACCCACGTGACCGCCGTCGTCGCCACTCCTCGCTCGAGAGACTCTACGGTGACCCCACGTAGGCAAGCAGCCCGACGCAGGCCCTGAGACGCACGGCTACGACCAGCGGACTGATTCCGAGATTCATTTCCATTCACTCATGGGGCGTGCCGGCGTGCCCTGTGGGTGCGAGAGAGACAGAGCGACTCCGCCGGTCATGGCCGCCGCCACGCCGTGCCGCCACGCATGGCCCCCTGCTGGGCATTCACTCTCTCCCCAAGGCTGGCCTAGGTTGCTAACCCGCGAACCTCGGATTCGACAAAACCGCGGCCGAGAACTTTATACTCGACATGAAGGGAGCCCGCTCGGCAAATAACCACCAAAAGAGAAAAAGAGAAAAACTTCCGCCAATGATAAACGCAGCGGACTTTGGACCCCTACACTGCAGCACGCCGACCACGGGGCGCGGCTCAGCGTCCGCGTGGTGCATGCGTCATGGAGGCCCCGCGGACCCCACCGAGCCCCACCGGGCCCCACCGAGCCCCACCGGGCCCCACCGAGCCCCACCGAGCCCCACCGGGCCCCACTGGGCCCCACCGGCAGTGGCGGATCCAGAGGCGGCCTTTGGGGAGCAAAGTAGCACTTATTGCCAACTTTCAGGGACAAAGCAGCACTTTTTGCCTCACTCACCCCCCCCCCCCCCTTGTATCCGCGCCTGCCCACCGGACCGCGCCCAGGCTGTGTCAGTGTTCGAAACTCGTCGCAAAATTTTTATTTTTAGCAGATGATACCTTCACTACTTAAAAACATACCTAGACAGTACAAGACAGTACAATACACTTAAAGGTGTCAGCTGGCCTTTACTCGAGAGTCCATAAACCAACCTAATAGTAATGAAATATGGCTTGGTTGAGTTTTCTTTTACTTTTATCGTTTAAAAGTTTTAATTTGTTGTTGCTTTCCTTTTTTTTTGAAAGTCGTATGTTTTTTTCCTAAATTAGTTGTTAAATTTTCTTAACAACCATTCCTCAACTTTCATTCAGGGCGCCTTCGCGGTCCGAGACGCCGAACAAGTCCAGGTCTTCTTTCCGTCTCCGCGCCGCGTGTAGTCCAGCCATTAATGGCAATGGCAATGGCAAGGGGCAAGGTAGGCCGGCCCGTCGAACTCGCACGCGCACTCCCAGCGGTGTTGCCTACCTGCCAGGCTGACTGTCGGCCCGTGTCGGCCAGCCTCACAGTGGGCCAGAACACGGGTGGAGGCGGCCTGACCTCTGCAACCGCTTTGAGCTCCAAGAGTCGCTAAATGGGACTCGAACCGAACGTGTGACCCCACCAATGGATTGCTCTCCGAACGAGGAATCCATTGGTGGGGTCACAAGCTCGGTTCGAGTCCCAATTAGCGACTGAGGGGCTCAAAACGCGTCTCGAGTTTTGGCCAGCTGCTCCGGTCTTCTGGCCCACTGTGCAGCCTGCTTGCCTCTTTGCCGTTCCAAAGTCCGGGGCATGGCACTTGGGGCGTGTCTGTGTGTGGGTGTGTGCAATACTCGAAGACAAAGTGCGATGCAAAGGAGTGTCGTCAGATTCGGCCGAAGCGCAGCTTAAGCCAATCGGAGAAATCTTATCTCGGAAATCGAGAGGACTCGTGTCGCCGTGCTGCTGTCGAGCGGCTGGCTACCGTCGAGCAGGCTGCCCTTGAACCGTTCAACCGAAGACCGTTTTGCCGTTTGGTCGGCGCGAGGCGGCGCGAGGCGGCGCGAGGCGGCGCGAGGCGGCGCGAGGCGAAGCAAGGCGGGGCCAAAGACTAAGCCACCCGCGCAGTCGCGGACAGTACGTGGTGCCGATAAAGAAACCCGCGGTGCAGCGCAGGCTGCGAATATGGGGCGCTAATGTGGCTGTCACCGTGCGCCACTCCACAGTGGGCCAGAGGACCGGTGGAGGCGGACGAAATTCTAGATGCGTTTTGAAGCTCCAGAGTCGCCAAATGGGACTCGAACCGAACGTGTGACCCCACCGATGGATTGCTCTCCGAACGAGGAGTCCATTGGTGGGGTCACACGTTCGGTTCGAGTCCTGTTTAGCGACTCTGGAGCTCAAAACGCGTCTAGAGTTTTGGCCGCCTCCACCGGTCTTCTGAATCACTATGTGGACTCCCGGTGTGGTGCGCAGTGGCGGATCCAGAGCCAGCCTGGGGGGGGCTAAAAAGGGGGGGAATGAGAGAAAAGAGTCATCTGATTCATCGGTGGGACAAAAAAAAAAACACAGGCGCCAAGTGCTCCTCTGAGCGGTTGAACCTGGGACTCCCCCAGTACAGCCCGCCCCTTCCCCAACCTTTGCACCTGCCACGCCTGCCTAGCCAGCGCTTGGCAGTGCTTGGCAGCGCTTGGCATGGCAGCCTCGCCGGTATTGACCCTCGCGGAGTGCAGGCCGAGATTGGCGCACTAGTCGCTCTGTCTCTCTCGCACCCATACGGGACGCCCCATGGGTGCGAGAGAGGCGGAGCGGGGTGGCCGGCCACTTGGACGGTAATCAGCAACCCGCAGAAGAGGAGCGTTCTGAGCGGTGTACAGTCGCCCCCCGCGGAGCCCTCGAGCCGAAGGAAGGCGAGAGCGAGCCCTCCTAGCGACACACCTGTCGCACAGTAGATGGAGGCGGCTAAAAGTCTGGAGACGTTTTGAGCCCCAGAGTCGCTAAGCGGGACTCGAACCGCACGTGTGACCCCACCAATGGATTCCTCCTCCGGAGAGCAATCCATCGGTGGGGTCACAGTTTCGGTTCGAGTCCTGTTTAGCGACTCTGGGGCTCAAAACGCGCCTAGGGTTTTTACCGTCTGCGCCCGTCTTCTGGCAAATCCACTGTGCGCCGTGCCGCCCCTGGATCCGGCGTTTCGGTGTGTACCGCAGCCCCTACCCCCTGCTGCCACCTTGGCTGCCACAGCCGAGCGATCCCGAGGGTCGGTTCGTCGCTCTGTCTCCCTCGCGCCCTCATGGAGAAGCCCATGAGTGCGACAGAGACAGAGCGATGCTCGACAGAAGCCACTCGCCATTTATCTAGGCACGTGCCAGCGCGTACACCGCGAGTCCATCTCCACACTCTCGGAATCGCAGAGTCAAATCAGACCGTTATGTCACTATCGGCGCCTCGGACCCCTTGAATCAACACCACACACACACATACACACACGCGCGAGTCGATACACAGACAGACAGACAGACGGCCTAACCTAGCCTCTGATTGCGAGAGCCCGCGACTTGTGGCGGGGAAGTCCTAGGTACGTACGAGGCTAAGGCTGGCGATACCCCACGCGCATAGGTGGCCCGTCCGAAGGCAGGCGTAGCGAGTCCCTCACGCAAGGAGTAGCGACGAGGTGATTCTTGCCCCGTTGAACTGTGTGCTCCACGGATCAGGACAGGCTTTGCCGTGACCCCGTCATTTCGTTTTTGTCTCTTTGGGCGGCGGAATAACGGAAGACGGCGAGGCCGGGCCACGACGAAGACAAACAAACCAAGGGCGATACCCCTCGCTGCGGACTCGAAGGCGAAGAGTATCGACGCGGACTGTAGAAAGCGACAAGACGAGAAAGCAGCGTGGCCGAACGCGGCAACGCGGCCCTCTCGCTGGAAGAGGTCCCCATTATCGCCTCCATTACCAAACTCCAGCGCTCCAGCGCCAGTCGCTGCTCTCCTCTCGCTCGCTCCGCCGCTCCGGCAACTCGTTGGCACTCACTCGCACTCGCGCGTCCGCTCCACCCCGGCTGCACTAAGTTACCTAGTTATGTAAGACTGGCAGCGGTCGGAGCATGGCGCTGCCCTGGCGTTGCCACTGCGGGATGCGGGCCGGCATTGGACCAAGAGGAAAACAAAATGTGACAACATGAAAAAGGCAGACGGGAACGGCAAAGAAACCTCAATGCAGAAATAAAAGAGGAGGATTTGTTTGGCTCCCTTATCTTGCCGCACTCCACTTGGGCTTGATCGCCTTCATGGATCGGTGGGATGAGGTAAACAAACACACGGTGGGATTTTGACAACGGCACGTCTTGGAAGCCAGTTGGCCTGGAAAGCGAACAATCTCTAAGTTTAACCATCAGACGAGACACTACGGCATAAAACCATCAACAAAAATCAGATTTTTCAATCTGCGGTTACAACGGAGGAGATCCATATCACACATACAATTGACAAGCTGGAAGTCGGAGACCATGCCACGGAACCATCAAAAAGCACATTTAAGCCCTGTCACCAACAACAATCCAAACGTTTACAAACAACAATTTGAACCGGTGATAAAGAACAAACAAACAATTTACACAAGGAATGGAAGAAAGCTTGGAAAATGACCTTAAAAGTCAAAGTGCCAGGAAAGTATTGCCATTTCAATAAATGATCTGTGCCTCCACCAGAATTTCATAACTTCATAACCCAGTGTGCCTGACAGAAATGGGGGCAATGCTGAGTGACACAATACATGAGCTAGACATGAGGTTAAAGAATTTGATGGAAAATTTAATAGATTCAAAAAAGCTAGATCCACAGGGGTTCGAAACTGATGCACATGGATCATAAAGTTACTGATGACAAAACTTAGTTGAAAGAACAGGAAAGGTTGCCATCAGCTGTTGCTTACAAGACAACATTGCAAGACGAGACGAGAACTTACCGATTGTTGTTCAGGAGGTAGGTCTCCATCTTGAGTGGTGATCACACAACCACCCTATGTATGTCAACAGTGACACGTACCCAGGACGAAGGGCTCGAAATTACAGCACAAATAGGCCCATATCGGACAAAGAAGAGAAAGGCAAAACAACAGACTGAAGACTGAAGTTTGTCCAGACAGGATGTGGCTGTGGGATGTGTGTTGCAAGTTGCAAGGAAGAGTGGGGGTAAGAGGATATTGGAAAGATGAGAACTTTATTGCTCGTAAAAATGCTCACAAACTGGAAAAAAGTTAGAGAACTTCAAAGAGGCGGTTTCATTTTATTTCGCACGTTTGAACACATCTTCTGTATACTATTTTTTTTTCATTTGCTGCGCTGCCATGTGAAAATACTTTTGCTTGTCTCTTTGTTTTTTTTTTATATGACTCAGAAGATTTTTCATCTTAAGTAGAACTGGTGTTCTGTTGCAAGGTTGCTCTATTTTGACTTTGTGTGCCAGTTGCAGGCAGCATCCAACAACCGATCTTCACGAAGTGGTCTGCTGGAAATTTATGGTTGACAGAAATCAAATATGCACCTGCTCCCATTGACGTCTGTCGGGAGAATTCGGCGCTCTCTCCTCTACCCGCGGTGTTCACTTTCAATGCAGCCAAGAAGATTCTTAATGTCGTGCTAGTGAGAACTTGGAGGCGGGTGCGGCTGCAGTGAAAAGACAAGGGAGGACATGTTTTTGTGGACCGACTGAAGTGTCAAGCAGACAAATTGGAGTGATGCGTCATCGGTCGCAGTGTGGAGAATGAGCCGAAGCAGCGATTGCTTTCACTCCCCTTGCTTCTGTCCTGTCGCCTTGCCCTGTAAGTATCGGATCGGATTCGTGCTCCATGATGTGGCTCTTGTTGTTGTTCTGGGCAGCTTCCTGAGAGGAAGGTTATTAGTATGCAGTGCCGAGTCTGTTATGAACTTTGATTTTGTTCTCATGCAGACCCCATTCTCTAGAAATCAGTTATGATAGGTGTCACAACTTTTAATCTTTAAACCAAAATGAAAATCTAACTGATTTAGCAGATTCGACCCTGCAAACCAAAATTTATTCTGAGTGCCTGCTTCATCTCGTTTGAAGTACCTTTATTAATTTATTAATTTATTGTCTTGGTTTATTTACAGGTCATTTCTTATTTCAGAACTAATGTGAGCTTCCGTTATGGGTTGTGTGTCCAGTAAAAGAAATATTAACAGTTTACATCCAAATATATATGAGGTACTTTTGTGTTTATTCGGAACTGATGTTTGTGATTATCTGAAACATTTACTGTTTCATCCTCAAGTCTGCTTGTTTTTTGTGCAGGTTGTTAATGTTGACGATGATGGGAATAAGATAAGTGATGGTCTGTTAGAAGTGACCGACACTGAATTAATCCATCGTCAAAAAAATAAGCCTGCAATTGTGTGGCCACTAAAAAGTTTGCGTCGGTATGGAGCAGACTCACAACTTTTCAGCTTTGAATCAGGTCGAAGAGCGCCCACAGGTATAAATTTTTCCTTTTTAACAACAACAATTTAAAATTTAAAAGACGTAGTATAATTTTGTTTCATTTTGATTCTTTGCGATCATTTACCAGAATGCTTTTCTTTTTTAGGGGAAGGCATTTATGCATTTCGTTGTCAGAGAGCAGAAGAACTATTCAACCACCTTCAAGCACATTTTACTGCAGAGGAAAATGCCACCTCCAATGTCTTGGCACGCACACCTGATTCAACTGAACCAAGTGGGTACCTGGAACCAACACATCCAAGGAATGTGGTGATTCGCCAGAGGCAGTGGAATTCGAATGGCCGCATGGATAGCATCAATAGCTGTGGCCCAGTGAGTCCTCCACCTGTCTCCCCATCCCCAACAAGCTCTGTTCCGGTGCCTAGCACACCAGCCACTCCCGGAAGTGAGATTGTACCCTCGCCTGGAGATGCTATCTCTCTTGTCCCTGAAGAGCCTGAAGAGCCTGATAGAACTTTGTGTGATGACAGCAACAATAATCAACATCATCCCTACCTCAACTATGAAATAATTGAAGTTGTGCAGCTAAACAAATATGAAGCCGCTTCTGAGCCTGCACCTCCTTCCTATCCTGTAGCACCTTCCTATATGAATGTAGAAATTGCCAATAGTGGTGACGTTTCTTCCTCCTTCGGCAGTGAAGCTTTGCCTAACTCTGCATGTAATGGAGATGGTTATGACAGCACCGGAGAAGTACTCAGAGATCATTTGTACATGAACGTAGTTCCTGGTTATGAAAATGTAGCGTCGGTACCTGCAGAAAATCGTGTCCCACCGGAAGGTGTTTCCATCATCGCCAAGCCTGTCTCTGGTGTTGCGCTGCCATACCTTCCATCCTCCCAAAGCTTGACTTGTGGGCCTCTCTTGCGTGGAAAGGCCATAGCAAAGCTGCTTATTGGGCAAGACAGTGAGGACGATGGCTACCCCTCTTATAGTAACTTAAGCCCTTCGGAGAGAGAAGGCCTTGGTCTATACCCTTTTAAAAATACAGCCACTGTCAATTATGCTGTGCTGGACTTGAATCAGCCACCTTCTTCTCCTGCAATTAGTCTGACCCCTACCGGGACACATCCTGACTCTCCCCATGGAATCTCTTCAAGAGGGTATGCCACAATAGATTTTAATAAAACGGAGGCTCTGTCACATTCTGTGAATCCAAACCTAATGGATGTTGACCATGAAGGGTGCCGCAAGACAAGGCATAATTCGACAATTAGTGACCTTCCAACACCTATTGACTAATACAAACCTTGACAATTTTGAGTAATGTTTTCTATTTTGAAATTAGTTATAAATAAGTCCAAATCAGTATTGTTAGTAATGTTTTAGAAGGACTCATCTTAAATGAGCTGTAAGGCTAAGGCAAACCAAATAAGACCTGGTTTTCCTTTTGGTAATAGTACAAAGGATATCTGAAATATAAGAAAAGCCACCAGGTCACCATCATAGTTCATGGTTATTTACAGCTATTTGTGCATGAGTACTGAGCGTGAAAATGAAAGTCAAATGGATTGGACTGGTCTGTGCCTCTTACTTCTCTATTCATCTCCTCTAACATATAAGGAGACTACTCACTATGAATCTCTCCATTGTATTTATCTTATGTTTTATTCTCCTGGAGACAACATCTGTTCAGAATATCTTAGTCGTTGTTACAATTCTTATAGAGTAGGTTTTCAGTATTATTTGTGTGAATGTTATTTGCATGGTGCTCAAAATTTTTTTAGAATACCTGTATTTGATTGGTCTTTTAAAATAAGCACATTTTTATACGAAAAGAATTTAAACAAATTTCATTTTGCTTTTTTGTTTTTTTTTTTCTGAAGAAAATTTAATGCTAAGCTGTTGTAAATATTCAGTAATAGCAAATGCTCATATGTTGGTTCATTTTTCTTCTAATACTGTATGCTCAAATGTCTATTACCGAACCGTTTTGAGGACTTCCATTTTGAGTGTTTGTATTTTGCATTATTTTGTTACATTTGTTCCCTTGCATCATAATGTAACGTCTATAATCCGCCAACTCTCGTACTGGACATCAAATCACTGTTTTTGCTGTGAGTTTGATTGAAGCTCTGTTATTGACTTGTCTCAAGGAGGACTAATTTTTGTTGATTTAGCTTGAATTCAAGTAAATTGTTACTTTGAATGGTTTGCCTGACTGACTGACATTGTTGTATGTATAGAAGCCTGATGCTTTGGAAAGGTACATTTGTCTACAAGGTCCTTTTAATGTTACCTCTCTCAAGTTTTTGTTGTATTGTTGATATCCCCCTCCAATATTTTATATTTTGCATTCTTTTGTAAGTACCTGTACTGCAGAGGAAACTTCCTAATATTAAACGAATCTTAATTGTTCTGCATGCTCCTCATTCTCTTATGTTTTTTTTTCTTCATTTTTTTATTTTCTTTGTCTTATTATGCTGTGCATCACTTAAAACTTGCCCAGTCCATTGTTTGATTTTTCTGCTGTTTTACATTTGTAAAATTGATTTAAAGGTTACTTTGAGCATAGTATAAGTTGTTGTAACAGTTGAAGAGAGTCATTAATGGGACCAATTAATGAAAAACAGTGTTTTCTGATCTATGTTTGCCAGTAAACATTCCATTTTCTTGGCTTGATATCTCTGAAATGTTACCTTGTTCTGGCATTCAAATTAAACCTCTAAAAAATTGTGATGAGGCATGAATTTGCCATTGTCAGCTAATTTGATTCATTTTCACCACAGATGAAATATATGAAGAAAGGGTCTTGCTCACTTTTCTATTTATGTTTTTATGTTAAAGGCACTCCATACATTCAGAGTGCCAAATGGTTTATGGAACATTATGTATCAAACATGAAATGCCTTAGTGAACATTTCTGTTTATATGTATTTCTTTTAATGACACATTATAAAATTGAAAGACCATATTTGAACTATTGGTATTATTGCGTTTTGTCAAAATATTTTTAAGAGTTTGACAATACTTGCTTGTAGATGTAATTTGATTGTTGCTTACAATGAGAGAGATTTATCCATTGATTTTATATTGTTTAAGACGCACTGGCATGTATACCATTATGATGAATTTCAATGTGACTCATTAATTCATGTCTGTGTCTCATTGCAGCTTGTTAGTTTATTTACAAACATGTGTGATATTTGTGCATATTTTAAGTTTCTTATCAGACATTGAGATAGGTGCAGATGGAATGCTCTCTGAGGACTCTGCTTGGGAGTTTGCTTTAAACTTGTATATTATTTTCAGGTTGCACGTCTGTGGAATATTTTCAAATTTGTTGTTTTTATTCCTCCTTGAGTTTTGTTTATTGATCTCAAGGATTTATGTTTTATTTTACGCATTTAGTGACTGTGAGTAAATGCAATGCAGCTTGAAGCATAGACACAAGTCTTGAGACACTAAAGTAGAGTTTTTGATACCAATAAATGCAGATTATCAGAATCTCCAGCAATATAGATTTGCTCATTAATTCGATAGACCGGCCGCATTTCTTTCACTCAGTTCATATGGTACTGACAAAAGAACTTCCTTAAACTAAAATTTTAGGAAACTGTAGCAAATTTTAGATGAAGAAGGCAGTTTTTTATTCTTTACCTGCAACCTTGGGGCCTCTACCCATATTTTTTCTAAGTGCATTATTGGAACAAGGCTCTCTCTATTTTTGTCATATCATAGGATGCAGTCTGCATGTTCGTAGCTATTCTAATGATGTAAAAAGAGTGTACATTTCAGTGCAAGGCATAATTGTCACATTTACTAAGCAAGTCTGTGTAATTTTTCACCTATCTCATGATAGTCAATGTCTTAGAATGTCAATGTGAAAGACAATTTTTAATGTTATAAACAGATGAACACCCACCGTTCAAAGTAGAGAAACTAGCTTGTAAGTGCATCTGTAGTTTTAATCGTCCCTTTGTTTAGATGGGTTGTACATATAACAGTGTATGTGGAAGACTTTTATTTTTAGTTCTGACCCTGATTTGATGCTCATCTTACCGGACATTTTTTAAAGGTTCGAGAGTTTAAAACTTTTAGTTGCCAATTTCTTGCTGGAATTGAGAAATTGTTAAATTTTCCTAATTACTTCTCCCATTGACTTAAAGACTAGATATTTTTGTATTCAGTAGGTTGCTCATTTTTTGGCATCTGAAATGCGACTAGAGCATCACAATATGGGCCATGTTCATGCCAAAGCAATTCCGTGCCACCTTGCTTGCTTCATGCCAAAGAAATGCTGAGGTGTTAGTTAAATTGGGATGGAAAAGTAGGGCTCTGACACGTTTTGGGAACTCTGTTTTGGTCTCAAGCTGTCAAGATCACAGTAGATCGGTATATGTCAATCCTTCCTCCATGTTTGTACTCTGACTAAGACATGTTGTCTGGAATCTAATGCAATTTTAAATTTAATTTTGTAATATTCAGGCAATTGGGAGAAAATAGGATTTTAAAATCCAACCCACTTTCTATTCCTTACTTTAGTTTCCTCCTTTTTGTTTTTTAAAATTGAAATGAGAGGGTTACTGTGATTGTATACATATAACAATGAAATAAAGTAAAGTTTGAAAGTGTTGGTATTAACTCAAATTGTATTGATTCCATTTGTCAATTTACTTAATTTGCACAGAACGATTGCTAAACACATCACCCACACACAAAAACATTTGCCATTATATATTATAACATTTACGAGAACATATACACATGGTAATATTGCACATCATCAGTAATTCTAAATGACAGAATCCCCCTGCCAAGTACTGGACAAGTACCAAAATAAGACACATTTGACTGTGACTCACAAACTAGGAAAAACACTCAGGTGCATTGTTGTTCAGTTATCCATAAAATGAATGAAAATATAACAGTGAGTGCAAGAACTCAACATTAAAAACAAAACAAAAAGAAGTCTTGCCCACTATCACAAAGACATCATTCAGCACTGCCATTTTCCTGCTGAGGAGATGGGGAGGTTTTTGACCTGCAACACAAATTAGGAGATCAAAAAGTGGTTAGGATTGTGTCACAAAAAAGCGGAAAAAGAAAATTCACAAGTGAAATGGGTACTTACTTGGATGCAGACCTGGATCTAGACCTAGATTTAGATCTAGACTTCGAACGGGACTTGGATCTAGACTTGGAACGGGACTTGGATCTTGATTTTGATCTGGACTTGGATCTGGACTTGGATCGAGACTTGGATCTAGACTTAGACCTGGACTTGGAACGTGATTTGGACCGGGACTTGGACTTGGCTTTAGGAGACTTGGACCGAGACCTGGAATGGGACTTGGATTTGGACTTGGCCTTGGTCTTGGGGGACTTGGACCTGGAGCGAGATCTGGAATGGGACTTGGAGCGTGCCTTCTTGGCACCGCGGGACTTGGAGCGGGACCGAGATCTGGAATGGGACCGGGACCTCTTCTTGCTTCGGGAGATGGAGCGGGAGCGGGAGGAGCGCTTGTTGCGGGAGGGGGAGCGGGACTTGGACCTGGAGCGCTTTATGTTCCTGGACCTGGACCTGGAGCGGGAGCGCCTCCTGCTGCGCGACCTGGAGCGCGACCGCGACCGGGATCTGGAGTCGCTGCGAGACCGGGAACGCTTGTCGCGGGACCTGGACCCAGACCTGCCGAAAAGCAAACGCTCACGTCAGTCCAAATGGAGCAAACAAGCGACTGAAGACTCCCAAACAGGAGAGAAATGGAGCCTGAGCGGCCCAGAGGACACTGCAGGCAGTGCATTTCTCCACAGCAATGTCATGTCCTATCTTGACATTCGGGTAACTTCCATCCACTAAGTTACGACAACACATGAAGCAATGTGCAAGGAGGCAATTTTGTTAAATGCAATTAGTTGCAACTAAAGGGTCTCTCCACCTGAAATTCGAATTGTAACTACTTGAAATAATTAGAGGTAGGCCATAGCATGGTAGAGCACAATTTAACCACATTTGGCAAAGCAGAACTTAAAGCAGCAGTGCCTTAGTAAAAATTCTCTGCTTATTTCAAGAGTGTCACAATCAAGGCCTGTTACTACACTCAGCCAAACTTATCGCAGCAGATGAAATGAAAGAAGACAAAGGCTTGAAGAAAAATTATTGATGGCATTCTCTAAACAGGAGTAACATGCAAGATTCTTAATGCATTCCCTTACACCATAGTGAAAAGAACAGGTCCCCCAATAATTTGCATATTAAATGACAGGTAAATTTGGAGACAGAAAAATACTAATTGCATAGTAGCTCAAGGGTAAGCAGACCATTTAAAGTCCATGTAACCCACGCTGTTGATTTTACACCAGTACTTTGCTTACAAGACCTCATGCAAGCTCAAGGTCGTTACGAACAAGAAGAGGATGTAAAGGGCTACATTATACTCATGCAACATGAGTAGGCATTCCAGCTACAAGTAACTATAAACCTAAATATTGTTTTGAAACCAGCATTGACTGCCACCCTTACAGAACCACACCATAACTCTTATCTTTCCTAAAGAGAGAAGAAACTCTTCCCACAATGCAAGACAAGACAAGCTGAAATTCGAGCCTTTGCTGAAATTGTAGCAGCTGATACTACACATAAGTACAAGAACTACACATTTGAGTTTACAGATTAAAAAAGCCAGGGGAAGGGAAAATTTAATTTGAAACTTTCAAAACCTTGAAGACTTTACCTTTTTTGCCCAGAATGTGGCATTAAATAAAATTAACTCAATACCCATTTGATTTTGAGAACCAGACCCAAAAAGAAAAAATTTCAAAGAATCTAGGGTAGAACTCATTCCTGGACTCAAGTCAGGTCAAAAGTGATAGTTTGCATTGCACCTTGCTAAATGAAAGAAATTATTTCAATTTCAATTGAGAAAAGAGGTTTTTTCTACTCAACTTTGTCACATTTGACTTCGGTTTGTGGTACATGAGTTGAGGAGTGAAGAAATATTAAACTCAAGATAAGGTGCCTCACAAACCATACTTTCTTAAGAAATATCTTCAGTTGGAGCTTTGGGACTTAAAAGGAAGAAGTTAAGAGACATTACCAGCTCATTAGACCAGCATGCAAGGGAAAGGTCAGCCATTATGATTACAAGGATTAATCAATTTCTTTAAAGAAGAAAGATCACCTTTGTGGCAACATTTAAAGAAGAATAAAGAAATTTAACCGAATAATCAAGATGGCTGTAGTTTTAAGTAACCAGCACACCTAAACTATGCATGTTAATATTTTAGATACAGCACTCACTCATGACTTGAGAAATGACTCGACGAATGGATACGCAGAATCAACAAGTCGTGGGTGCGTGCATGCTGGCTTGCTTGCTTGCTTCATTGAGTGCAAGATCAAATCACATCTAGACGAGACGATTCGGAGAGTAACTCGAAGATCAACTTGTAGTTTGACTTGGAGGGCGACTCGTTGAGCAGAGAAGTGGTGTTGGGCAAGGGGCGGGAAGGTACTAGCCAAACCGAACCCGGCGTGAAAGATTGCATCTCGTCGACCAGCACGCAGTGCAGAAACGAGGAGCTTGTCTAATCGTTAAGTCAGGCGCAGCTCAGTGGCCGGAGTCGAGGAAAGGCATATCACGCCATGTAACTTGGAGTAGGGTTCATGTTTTGTCAATGAAGAACAAATCTTTTGCTCAGCCGAATTTCCTACAAAAATGTTAGGAAGACATTTGAGTCAGTGCCAATACCATTGTCAGCATCCTAAACTTGTGCCCAAGACATTTCTCTCTTAAATAAAACGCCAAAAGTGGGCAAAAATAACTGTCTGAAGTTAAACTAAAGTTAAGAAAAATGGTAAAAAGCAATTTGAAAACAAAACAGATGTATATCATTTCATCTTATCTGAGACAAGTAAAATTTAATTTGGCACCATATGAAAACCTGGAAAACCGTAACTCACAAATGATTGTAAGACATGACTGGTTGGAACCATAGAGAAATATATTCAATTTCTTTAAGAAACCAACACCCTGACTTCCAACAGCTTCCCGATGTATGGATATTGATGGTGAGTTACTATAGTCAAGAACATCAAACCTCCCTCAATATAGTTTAAAAGCGGAAAAATAGATCACCCACTGCAAGCAACTGAGTTACTTGAAAACGCCGATTTCAGAGAAAACAGCATTGCCAGGAAATTTAAATAATATCAGAGGCCCAAGGAGCCAGAAAAATTTGATCTCACTTTCCACTCTTTTTTGGACATCTCTTTCAACACTGGCAATGAAAGTATGTTACCTGGCACTGCATGAGAGGAATTTCCTCCCTGAAAGGCCCATAAAAGCTATGCAAACAGCCACTGCCCCCACTTCCAAAATGCAAACACTAAACAGCTCATCTAGCACTGATAGGTCAGATAGACAACCATTCAAATAATATGTAGCAAAAACAGTCAGAAAAAAAAAAGGAAAAAACTTTGGTAAATTCAGAAGACTTTAAAGTGATGGTGGATGATGGGAAAAAGAAGCCCTGATTAAATGACAGAATCATAGCATACCTTCGACTTCCTCTCCGGAACCTTGTACAATCTCTGGCATAGTGCCCTCGATCACCACACTCGTAACAGCGATCTTCAGGATGGAATGGACGATTTCTACTTCCTCTAGATGGAGGGCCAAAGCCACCAAAGCGACCTGTCCTTGTTCCAGAAGATGGTTCAACTCTTACACGGCGTCCACAGACCATCCTGTGGAAAACAAATAAACAATTAGAGATTGTGCCATCATTTAAGGAAAGCGGCAATGAAAAAAAAATACACAAGGTAACAAACCTTCCATCAAGGCCCCTCACAGCATCATCAGCGTCTCGGGGATCTTCAAATTCAACAAATGCAAAGCCAGGTGGGTTACGAGCAACCCACACATTGCGGAGAGTCCCGTAGTAAGAGAAAGCATCTTCTAAATCAGCTTTAGAAGCAGAGGAACCTACAGGGACACACAATGATTAGGAAATAAACAACAAACGTGGAAGGAATCACTATGAAATAAAAATGAAAATGGATATAACTGTGAAAACAGTGCCGAGTCAAGGGTCTCAATCAAGGAGTCCTCAGAAAACTATTTATACATACCTAAATCTCCTACATACACCTTACAATCAGATGGACCGTCCCGATGCGAAGAACGTCCCGACATTTTGCGACAGGATACTCCGCGAGTCTGAAACAAAACAAAATTGGGTTAGCGGGGGAAAACGCAAAATAACGGAACGGCAAAGGTAAACCTGGCAAGATGCCATAACCTTTAAGAGGCTGACGTTTTAATGCGAATTAGAGGCACATACAAAAACTAAACACGCCCCGTGACGAAGAAACGAAGTTAATAGGTCACGATGACGTCAATGAACAAAAAGGGAATTCCTTGGCAACATATCGACAGCAATAATTGCCGAGGACGACGGGAGGCTTGAGACGACTCGACTAGACATTCCTGATGCGTAAATGGAGGCACTCAAAACTAGGCCTCTAGATCGGGCGCAGGAGCAATGCCGCACGTATCTTACCAAGTGAAGAACACTTCCGTCATCAAAGTGGAGTAAACTGCATCAAATTCAGGGGAAAAGTGGACGCCGGTGCATCGGAAAATAACAAAAATGGCGAAAGGATCTCGGAATTGCAGACGAGGCGTGCCGTGCCGTGGCTGCGTGTACACCGTAAACCGGATAAGGAAATACGTAACATTGTCTTACTGCAAATAAGCCTATCCTGCCCTGCGGATAGCGGAGCAGCGAGCAGCCGATCCTGCGTCAAGATGGCGGCCAAACAATGCAGACGACGTTAAGTGCCCATCCGTCAAAGTTCCATTCCCTTCCATGTATCGAGAAGAATGAGTTCGAAGTCGTCGACGGAGGAATCTATTGGTGACAACGATTCAGAATGTTCCGAAGAAGGTGTCGATCCGCGCGTCCAGGTGAGCCAATCTGGGGCGGACTGCCCCACGTCCACGACACAACCTCCAATTCGACCGCCCCCTTCGGACAGCTTAAGATAACATCAGCGCAGATAAGATCTACGTCAAGTTTCGGAGCTGCAGACGGGGAAATCTAGTTTTATCTAGACGGCAGAAGGAGAAAGATTCCTCTCTGTGAAGAGTGGGCTGTTTCAGTCACGAAAATGGTGCTGGGATTCTGTGTGAAAGGTCAAAGGTTACCAAGTCCAGCTCTGGTAATTACAGTTTGTGCTTTAACATTTTATTTATCCCACGTGTTTTTTTAAATCTTAGAAAAAATAGCAGCTTTAATGACCAGTGGCTGGATTTTATCGGATTTGAGCCGGAATTCATTAAGCCTTGACCTGTTGTTGCCTGCACTTTACAGCAGCACTACTGCCTCTGCCAATAGATTAAATTTGAATTTTGGGTGGAAAATCTGTTTTAAATCTTAAAATGCCAGTTTTTACCTTCATTTTAATTTTTTACAGGTGGAGTTAGAAAAGCTGAATTCTTCCACAAATGAAATTAATAGACTTGAAGTTGATTTAGATGTAAGTAACTACTTCTACTTGGGTAAGAAAATTTAGATGACTATGTCCTCTAATTGGTTTTGTAATGTTGCAGGATGCCAGAGCAAAATTTAGGCAGTTGCTTTGTGATACCACTCTTCAAATAGATGCACTTGGCAAGAAATTAGGATCTTGTGTCGAGCGAGCAAGACCTTATTATGAGGCTAGAATGAAGTCAAAAGAGGTAGTCTTATTTGTCACTGCTATTATGCGTCTGTCCTTTCAAGGAACTTTTTTAAAAGAACTATTATCTACTTCAGGCTTTGATTGAGACTCAGAAGGCAGCAGTTAAATTTGAACGAGCTAACTCTGCTCACACAGCAGCAAAAGAAATGGTGTTTTTAGCAGAGGAAGGATTGAAGACCGAAGGACGCACTTTTGACCACGCTTGGCAGGAAATGTTGAATCATGCTACTATGAGAGTAAGTATCGTTGTAAAAGCTAAAGAATCGAGCTCTGGATGAAATCACCATTATTTTTTTCTATCTTTAACTTCTTTCAGGTCAACGAATCTGAAATGGAACGTACTACAACCGAACAAGAGCACCGCAGAACGTCTCTATTATACCATGAATCAGAGAAAAAAGTTCAACAACTCCAGAAAGATTTGAAGCGATCTATCAATAAATCAAGGTAGTTAATTTTTGAGATGCATTGTATCCCAACTTAGCTCCCTTGTAGTTTTTATTTAACTATTTTTCCTAAATTTTAGACATAGACAATGTCTAATGTTAATCCATTTATGAATGCACAGAGTAGTGAAAGTCCTATTTGTGCACACTATGGAGTGAAGCCTTTGCTTTTCTTAAGTGGCATGTTGGATTTGTCAGCAGTGTATTTCCTGCCAAAAGTGATTACTATGTATTTGCCTATTTGCATACTTAGCAACATAGCAGCACAAACGCTTTGATGAGCCCAAGGTTCGTTCAATATTGGTTCTTTGCATGCATGCTTACATTTTCACTGTGGAATGTGACTTCAATTTTTGGTACAATTTTCTATGCATGACTCCAATTTGCATTTGAAACATTTTCAAAACTCCTGCATGCTTTGTAATTTTATTATTATTTTTTTTAACATGTTTGTTTTTTGCTTGAATTGTGAATTGTGTATTTCAACAGCAGGAATGTACGGCGCAACCTCCTTTTTATAAATAGTATTGCTATCGAGCATCGCTTGAAACTGTTGTAAGTAGTCATGACTTGACCTTTTTCTTTTTCACATGCCACTCTTAAGTCCTTAATTATTTTTTTGTGTTGGCATCTTTGCAACTTTGTTAATTTTATTTTGTAAAATGTTGTTGACACGCAGCTGTTAATAGACTGTAAATGTATCTGAAACTCTTTCTTTCACAGACCATATTTTGAATTGAAATCCCAGTACAACCATCAGATGGAAGAACAGAAACAAAGGGTAAAAAGACTAGAAAGCCAAGTTTCTCAAGCAAAAGCAAGTTATGCAGAAGCATTACGCAACCTGGAGCAAATAAGTGACGAGATTCACAAGGTGCCTTATTTTCTATATTTTATTACAATGTGTATCTGAATTTTTTTAGTTCTGCCTTGTGACTTAACATTGTTTATTACTTGAAGATACGCAACCATGAAATGTTTGGCTTCACTGACCCGCTTGGAGTAAGGGGGCTGGGAGTAGGGGCTGAGTCACCACTTCAATCTTCAAAAAACATACGAGAAAAGCCCAAGTCAACTCAAGCATCAAAGAGAAAGAAGGCTTCAAAGCGACAGAGCACTAACGAGAATCAGAGTAGAGGTTATTATTTTTAATTTACTTTTGCCTGAATTGAGCCTTTGTTTGACAAATTTTTGATTAAATTTTGTGTGCTTATATTCCAGATTCATGGTTTGACTCAACTTTCCAAGAATCAGACTCAGGCGATGAATATCTTTCAATTCCTAATAAATTGGGACCTGCTGCTAGTCCAGTTATGCCACAGAAAAGCAAAGACTCTGGCGATTTATCTCAGTATTTGGGACTATCATCGCTACCTGGAGACAGTGAAACTCGAATGCAAGCTGTTGCAAAGCTGGAAGAGGAAGTGCTGAAGGATGCCAAGACTACTAGACTCGAAGCTGAAAGAAGGCCAAGTTTGGCAACATCCACTCCAAGCTGTAACACCACTCCAAAGAAAACTCCAAGAAACCCTTTTCTGCCACTAACTAATCCTTTCCAACCACAAAATGGTCAGCATAATTCATTAAACAACGGCATTGATTCTGAGAGCAATCAAACATGGACCGCGATCAATTTAGGAGAATCTTCTTCAGACAACTCTCCTTCTCCTGTGAAAAGTATGTCAAATGGCACAGACCAGGCTGGGAAAGGGAAAGGGATAGACATTCCCTACCGACCACTTGTTGACCATCCTGGAGACGACAAGGGGAGCGGATCCCACATTATAACTCCCCTCAATGACGAGAAGGGAAAATGTGATGATTGGTTGGCAAAAAATGAAGGCACTGTCCCAGACGGTGGAGAGGAGGTTTGGACTGAAGTGAGCTTGAACGATGACCCAGAGACACCAACAACTTCAAGCCTTTTTAAGAAGGTGTCATTTTTCAACACCAACTTTACCTGTGGCAGACCGAGAAATTCATCAACTGATGATGAACGTCAGAGCTCTGTTGAGCTTAATACTCCTCCTCAGTCAGCAAGGGGTTCAGTTAGCTTGCAAGGCACCCCTTTGAAGCAACGCATGAAACTAGACACTGGTCTTGTGAACTGGATCTCTCGATCATCTGCAGCTGAAGAGCAGCCTACAAACATTCAGTACCGGCGCCCTCCTCTTGGAAACAGACGGCAGAGTTTGGACACGCTTCTTTGGAATCCGACTTCAGAGCGAATGAAGGACTTCTTAAACCAAGGCATTATGATGCTAAATATTTCATCTCTTACTGAGAGAAGGTAATATTTTTCCCTTATGAAGACACTTGCCCAATTCTAATAATCCTGTTTAAATGACATCCTATTGACTTCTCAGGTCAAGTGAACCACGAACGGAAAAGCCAATCAATGTGCCTCGCAGCACATTGAATCCCATAACAGGGATAGAGACGACAATTGTCCCACGGCACCTGAAGAAAATACCATCTCCATTGGAGAAGTCTCTGACCTACTTGAACGCAGAGGATGATTCTGCTTCTGACACTGACAGTTTACATAGGTACAGTATCTGTGGTTCAATCTGTTTTAGTTTCTTACTGGCTGTTTTCCTCAAATCAGCCATCCTGAACCCTTTTGTTTCTTTTCCTTTGTAAGCTATTACATTGATTTCATTTTTTCTATGCCTTTGATTTTCAGCATGGATATGCTTACGGATGATCAGGTTTCATCTCTGATGCGTGAGCCAAATCTGCAAGAAGTCTGTCAAGATGTTCTCGGCACTCCAATTACTGAGGTTCTCCCTGGGTATCCTTCAAGTAAGCCCTAGAAGGAGGTCTACCTAACATTTCCTTATGTAGTGCTTTACATGAGACCTTTGTCTGCAATGTTTCAATTAATACCAACTTTGAAGGCGCTAGTGTCTTGTTCCTATCAAGTTTTGTGTTTATAATTATTATTTATGGTCTGCTGGATCTCTTCATCAAAATTATATATGAAATCTTATAATGCTGTAAAATTTAATAACTTGCAATTAATGTGTGTTAATCTAGGACCCATGTATCACTTTTGTCTGTCTGGAATTTATAATCTTCCCCATATCGCATACAGTGAAATCTACCTAAGTGAGTCATGTAAACTTTTGTATTGAACTTTTATGTTAGCCTGCTAGTAGTTGAGGCACTACTTCACTCCAGGTGAAAGAGCGAGAATGATATTCTAGTCCTTTTTTCTTAATTTTAGTATGTTAACATGCCTTTATCGTAAACTGTCATTTAAGTGTCAATCTGTAGTCCATGTATGTAGAAGCTTTGCCAGAAGGAAAATCAGCTTTAATTAATATTTATTTTTATTTATCATGTGTACCTTTTCAATAGTCTAGTCTACTTGTGCTAGTGCAATACAGTATTCTCCAAGCTCTTAAGGTTATGAAACCACAAATGGTAACAACATGAATTGGCAAGAAGAATGCTTGAGAATTGAAAGATAATAAGGTATGAGCTTCAGCAAATTAAATGGTTTGTGCACTAAGATTGGCAGTCATTCATAATCTGTGATCCAATGCCAATGATTATTTCTTTGGTGTTGAAGTCTGCCTCAAAGGCTCCTATGTGCCTAATATATTTATCAAATTTGTAATAAGTGTGAAAATCTTGGGAAAAAAAAGAATGTTTGTCTCACATGTATGTTGGTTCCTGTCTTGAAATGATGAGTAGCCCTGGTTGTTACTTCGAGCTTTACTTCTATTGACTTCTTTTATATAAATTAGCTTCAAGTGACAAATGCCTCTAGGGGAAAGTTGTCATTCAAGATAAATAGAGTATTAAACTGTAAATTTGAATTGTAGAGCTGTAAATCGTGTTGATATAGAAAAATATTTTTGTGTTATTATGAAACTCCTTGAAAATGATGTCATGAAAGGGCTGACGATGTTGCTGGTTTTTGTGAACATCACTTCATGTTTCCAATATGCTGCTGTGATACTGTTTTACAAATATGCAATATGTGTTAACAATAAGTATGGAAACTTTTATCCATGTTTTGAATAACCTCATGTCTGTGAATTTTAGATACATATCTATTCCAAAAGATTGATAATTTTATTGTTTAATTTGCTATTATTTTTTTTCTAGTGGATTCTGCATTTATTTACTTTTTTGTTTGTTTGTTGTATTGATTTTACTTTTATATTCTATTTGCTGTTGATGGTTTCTGACACTGAGTCTTACTGTTTCAGCAGTTTATGCCATCCATGTATTTTTAAGCTATCCTATGCTCTTAATGTATGCTGTGCTATTCATTATCATTGGACGGGAGTTGTGGAATCCAAACGGAGTGGTGGCACTTTCTGTGCTTTTTTAAAGTCTGGTTCATTTGAGCCATTAGGGCTCTAATTTAAGTCAGCATTCATCAATGTTTTTATTGTTTTGTTTTTGTTACAATGTTGTATTGTGTGTTCAATAATCTATTATATATTTTGTTTCTTATGCTTTTAATTCACTGCTAGAAAGGGCCCAAATTTGATTTAAGATTTGTTTAAGCCTAAATATTGGAAAAATCAGCCATGATGCTTTGTAAGGAGTAACAAACTGCAGCACTATTTTTCTTGTAGTTGTTTTTCTCATGACACACACTTAACCAACTGCCCAGATGTCTACCCCATTGGAAAATAAACACTCTCTATCGAATGTTGCTGCTGTTGTAGATTCTGAATTCGGAGCACATTTATCATACCTTTTGCTGTAGGCCTCTCGAAGCTTTTTTGGTTTATGAACCAATCTTTCAAATGCCTTCTTCTTTAATTTAGTGTTTCCTCAATGCTCTGGTGAGTGATTTCCTGTTCTCTCTTCAATGTGGCATATATTGCAATAGTCAGAAATTTCATTAAGATATTTCAGTTGTGTGTGCATCTTAACAAGTGCTTTTACAGTTCTAATGTTTACTCTTATTAACCATCCTATAAGAATTTACGCTTGTATCTGTCTCTTCTCATCTTCTTGTAGATTATTGTGAAAAGAATAAGTGCAATATCTTTGCACTGTTTTAGAGAAACTAGTAAAGTGTAAAACAACACAGTCATTTTCAAAAGAAATGACCAACACGACCCATGCATCTGCAAGTATTGTTATGGTCATTTCATTTGACTTTGATTGTGAATTGTTATGACTCTGTTAATTGTTATTCTCTTATTTGTGAGAATGTGGTCGGACTTGTATGAAATAAAACACAAATATCGAAATTTTGTTTTTTTTCTATTTATTAGTGCATCTTCAGTCAAGTCTTCTCTTTTTCAAGCATCCAAAGTAGGTAGCAGTTTTCCTTTACATTCGCCAAAACCAATACGGTATGAGTCTCCTTCACAAAAACCTGAAAGGGAAAAAAGGCAAAACGTTCAACCTGACTCTTCTGAAACAAAATAAGCTATGCATTGATTACATACCTCTCAAAATAACTTCATCATTGTCCTGCAGAAATTTGCGGGTGCTTCCATCATTGAGGCGAATGGGCTTGGTTCCTTTCCAGCTAAGTTCCAGCATTGATCCAAATGAATCGGATGCCTATTCTCAAACAGCATGAATATAAGATGCATGTCATATAAGAAAGTTCAGGTGGAAATAAAATACTTACCATTCCACTAATTGTTCCCGAAGCCATTAAATCTCCAGGGTTAATATTACAGCCAGTGACGGTATGATGTGCTAGCTGTTGCTTGGCAGTCCAGTACATGTACCTATAATTGGAACGGCTGATTGTTGACGGCGTTCCATTTTCAGCTGGAAATGACCAAACCTTGCTTAAATAAAAAATTGAGCATTGTTGGCGGTTGCCTTATATCCAAAGGAGGCCCAGACCATTTCAAATAAAAATAAAATTGACTCACGTTTTAAATCCACAATGAGGTTGATATCAAAGTTATATTTATCCTCGTGCTGCAGGTAAGGGAAAGGCTTGGGGTCTTGAGGGAAGTTGTCAATTGCAAAAGGTGACAGTGCCTCCATTGTGACCACCCAAGGAGAAATAGTGGTACCCAAATTCTTGGCTCCGAAAGGTCCAAGAGGTACATACTCCCACTTTTGGATGTCTCGTGCTGCAAAAGGCCCCATGGTTACCCTTGACGTCCACGAAGAGACACCCAAAGCTCCAAATTTAATCGCAGAGTGTACCCACCGCTCCAGTCGTTCATGAGCACCATGCCAAAAATGTGGTCCTGCGCCTTGCTGGCGGGCACTGAGGTGCCTAGCTGTGTGGGGGCGCCCCCGACGAAGAACGCCACCTCCAGCTCGAAGTCCATGAGGCGGCACGGCCCGAAGACGGGGTCCGCGCCCTCCACGGGCTGCGTCTGGCCCTTGGGCCGCCGGATGGGGGTCCCGGACACCACCACCGAGGAGGCGCGGCCGTGGTAGCCGACGGGGAGGTGTTTCCTGCGCACCAGGGCCGTGGCTCAAGCACCGACACCGTTCCATGTTTACTCCAAACCCCCTGTGTCCATTTTGCCGCATTTTGCCTACCAGTTGGGCATGAGGGCGTTCTCCTTGCTCCTGAACATGATGCCCACGTTGGTGGCGTGGTAGATGGACGAGTAGAAGTCCGTGTAGTCCCCGATGTGCGCGGGCAGGTGCATCTTCGCGTCGGCTTGGGCTACAAACGCTCTGAAAATTAAAGGACATTATTTTAAAAACACACATATTTTCAAAAAAAAATAATTCCTGAGCTAGCACTGAGCGGCAATTGCTTACCTCGATCTGAGCTCGCTGTTTCCTTGCAGCGTGTCGTCATCCTGGCTCAAAATTTTCTGCAGGGTCTGGCGCGCCTCCTGCCAGTAGGGTCGGCCCAGGCCCATGAAGGCGTTCAGCGTCGCCTGGAACGCACAAAAACACACAGCCTAGGTAAAAAGGCAACACGAGCGCCTGCCGGGTAGGCAATGCAGCGGGCCGGGGCGCGTCGCCGTCAAGCGGGTTGCCTATCACCCGACAAAAAAGAGGCAGACACACACAGCCAGAGGGTACGGCGTTGTTTTCTCACGAGTTTCAAAAAGATCTCCCTTTCTACAGGGAAATAACGAATCGTTGACGTTAGTTTTATCCTACGGGCGTGCGTCCAGCCAAAAAGGTAGAGAATTGCCTTTGTGGACAGTAACCGCGGGTAAGGTACCTACAGTGTCGGGGGAAGTCCAAGTGAGGGAAGACGAAGAAGAGAAAAGAGGAAAGCAATATTTTTTTCTGAATGTAAAAGCATGCCGGATGCACCAAGCTGCAAAACTCCCCCTCCCCCATTCCCCCTCGGTGAAGGTGCCTCCACGGCGGCCAGTGACAACCACAACGGACACCGTGATGTCGTGTTGTTTTGTTGTTTGCTCCAGCTGTTTACGCGAAACAGCTTGGCGCTGCTGGAGTCAAATATTCAATCCGGAGGCCTCAAGGCTGCCCCGGCTTGGCCGGCAGCCAGTAATGCAAAGTGGGCGCGCTGTTAGCTGGAGTCTACGCGTGCAGGGGCAAGCCCAGGCAAGAGGCGAGCCCCCGGGACGGGATTGGCTAGCAACGACGGCTCCAGCTACTCCAGCTAGTCCAGCCGTTGTCACCGGGGAAGCACTACTGTGCAGTCGTGGTGTACTAAGTAGTATGCAAAACCAGGGGGCGAGGCAGAAACTCGTGAGGAATCGTCGGAACATGCAGAATCAAGCAAGGGGGCCCGCGGGGAAGACAAGCAAAACAAATAGAGTCCAGACATTTTTGTTTTCCATTCCTAGCTCTATTTTTGAATCGTTGTGTTGGACTCGGTCGGACTGCAGGCGTACCGCGAAGGAACCAGACGACGCCCGGTGACCCGAGTCGACCGCTCGGTCGACCGGGGGTCAGCGGGGCGGGACCGGGCGGGACACGGGCAGGTGCGGGGAGTTGGGGACACGACCATAGAGACACACTCACTAACCAGTGTGGGTCCCCCAGGTTCCCCCCCCCCCTCCCCCTTTCCACGACTCGTCGTCCTTGGCGCCAGAAACGTAAATCTGATTGGTCGGCGCCAGCCGAGCCCCCGCCGCCGTCAAGGAATCCCAGGCCGTGGTACCGTGATACCACGCGAGAGACTCGACTGATAAACAAGGGGCCGTGCGGGCCGCTATAGCACGCTAGGGCAGGAGCAGGGGAAACCGGCCCGACGCACAGTGGGCCAGAGGACCGGTGGAAGCCGTCAAAATCCCGGACGCGTTTTGAACTCCAGAGTCGCTAAATGGGGCTCGAACCGAACGTGTGACTCCACCAAGGGATTGCTCTCCGAACGAGGAATCCATCGGTGGGGTTTGAGCCCTGTTCAGCTACTCTGGAGCTCAAAACGCGTCCAGAGTTTTGGCCGCCTGCGCCGTTCGTCTGGCCCACTGTGCGACGCTAGACTGACTCAGCCCGACTTACCTCGGCGAACACCTCCTGCTGGCCCTTCATGAGCGGGCCGGTGAACAAGTGCCGGACCGCTTTCAAGTCCAGGATCTGGTTGCCGATCGCCACGCCGATTCTGGGATTGGCCTGGGGACAACACTCATTATAACAAACTCAAAAGCAAAAACAAGAAACACTTCTTGAAAAACAAATTATTTGCGCTGCAGCGCAGTGAGTGGGGTTGTTAGGTTATGACACCTGTTGTACCCCCGCCCCGGTGGCATTCCCTGCCGCCCACATGGAGGCCACTCACATCGCCGGGCGTCGAGAAAACGCCGTAAGGCAGATTCTGGATCGGGAAGTCGCAGCTGCTGTCGTAGGGAATGAAGCTCTTCATGTTGTCGGCTGCTTTGCTGGTCCCGGAGTAGAAAAAGAGGGCCGCTGGAGCCGCGATCAGGACGAGGAGTCTCTCCGAGGGAAGCAGGGCGTCTTGCAGTCCTGCTGTGCTCTCCCGCCTGCCTGGACGTGCCTGGTACCCGGCTACTCGCCGACTGACACTTGCTGACCGGCTGTGTCTTTTCGTCTGCTGCGCCGGGTAGACAGACGGACGGACAGACAGGCAGGCAGATAGACAAACAGACAACACGCGATGTCGCGCACTGGCGCCGTAGTTCCGGCAGCGACCGTGGGAGCGCGCCACACGCAGCAGCGCGCGCGCTCGTCGCTACCCCGCGCGAGCAGAGACACCGGCGTCCGCAGGGAAGGACCGACAGGCCGACAGGGCAAAGGGAAAACCAGGAAAAACACTCAGAGACGCTTTTTGGGTATTTTATTGTTTTTATTTTTGCAGCGTACATTCTTTTCACAACAGGATAACGACAACACCAAGGTGGTTTACCACACCATCATGCCCTCCGATGTGACAGAGCGACCGCCACACAACTCTCAAATCAGGACGCCACTTTTGTTGAATTTTAAGGATTATTTGTATATGGTTTGGTATAGCGATATATACACATATTGCGTGATATGTTACAACATACATTTTGAAAGTTTCTATGCGTTTCGAAGGACACTCTTTTTTTTTCAATTCCGAATAATTTTTATTTCAATTGACCTATATAATTGAATCGAACCGGACAGCAAAATCGCGTACCCGCGAATTTTTTAATTGATACTTGGAATTGACTGAAGCGACAACGCGGCGGACCTGTGCAGTCCACCTGCTATAGCAGCACTGCTTTGCCCAACATCACAATCTACTTTGAAATAAAATATACATCAATATGTACACAAAACGTCACAAAAATATATGTACAAGTGTTGCCACCTTATACGTCTCTACGATTAGCTAATATCGGCTAATACGCATCCGAGGCAAGTGTCTTCAACATTCTGCATGTCTTACCTCACCCTTACCCACCGGTTTCAATTCGTGTAAATCGTCATTTTCGGCAATCTCGACCAATGAGAAGCGAGCATTCACGGTGTGGCGGGTCGGACAGTGCCTGCTTAGGACCCAACGCACGCAAACTAGCTTAACGGGAGGCTGAACCAAACGCCAGAAGCCAACAGGTAGTTTTAGTCCTCTTTCGACCAAATTTAACGTTCGGACGGCATTAGCCAATCGTACGAGTGGGGCTGGCGCACTGGGAAAAAGACACACGTAAAGTTATTGCATACTACACTTGTGCCTCGCATTATAGGCAGCCTGATACACAGTAAATATTAAGATATATATTCTAGACACAGAAACAAAAAACAGAACAACAAATCGATAAATATCTGGAAGCCAACACTGCGCGAAAATAAAGTGCATAGATTTTAGGAGCCTGCCCTTCTTCGAATCCAAATCAATCTTTTTTCCACTCTAGAAGGATAAAATATCTGACTCGATCAACATGACATAGATTGTTTACACATAACATAAATATCACGTTAGGAAAGATTCAAACAGTAAATGTGAGGCGTGATGACCTACAGATGAAGTAGAATAAGAGAAAAACATGACACAGCTTCTTCTTCCTCACCCCTTTCCCCACCATTCCAACACATATTTTAAGTTTCCTACCCAGCTGGGAGCAACGAAAGCCTTCAGCACACGCCTTTGGAGGACGTCCATGGGTCGACCGCCTGCCAGGTGGGCAACACATCGCGACCCACCTCCCCATTCAGACGTGAGCCTCTGCAACATGTCGCCTCTCCATCACTCTCACTCAGTTCTTGAGAACAGCGCGTGACGCGCAGAGTGTCACAAAATACTGCTGGTCTGTTCCAAAACCTACAAGCAACATCCTGGACTAAGGGCCCTCCAGCTTGAAGCCCGGCGAGACGCTGGTGGGTTGTCTGTCGAAAGGGATGTTCGCCCAACCGAAGAGCGTCCGGGTGGTATAGAATACAAGGAAAACAGAGACAAGATCAAACCCGTCACCCTCATTTGGATTTTGTTTGAATAAATTTGAAATAATGTGCCTTAACATTTGGAGGGCCCGTACTTTGCTCGCTCGGTGCCTACCCTGAGCCCACATGAGTGTGGGTTCAGATACCTTGATTTTGCATACACTTTGGCAAGTGCTTGCTAAGAAATTCTCTACCTCATTTACAATTTGACATAATGGGAGCTTTTCATAATATCCACGTATTCCTTCCACAGGTCACTTGCGGCCCTCATACGCATTTTATCTTAAATAATATATACGTTTAACAATAAATAGTTAAGGAACTGGCAAATCTCTTCAAGAGTCAGAATAGTGAAGAAAATAAATAATTGTTTGCTTTCCTCAAAATACACGTTACACGTTCACAAAATAGAAGCAATACTATAAATTTGAACAAAAGGATAAAAATAAACAGCAGTACACATATTTTAGATGCTTTGCTTGTTTTGTACTCCATGTACAGTAAATATCACCTGCAGTCTTCCTCTTCTATCCGGCCCACACAGAGAGATACATAATTATAAAGGATTCTGGAAGTAATTGAGACGCCACGGTTTGAGACGCAAGGGCGCTCTAAGCGACTTGACCTAGCCTAGACCTAGAACACAAGGCAGACTACGACATCCATTTCCCTACTCTAACTCCTAATGCTGCGGGTATCCGCTTGGCCGTACACGACAACTTACTTTGTAATTTAATTAATTTTTTTTTGCGAATTTTAAGAAGCCCCAGAGTACGGGGGACTAGCACGTGCTCAGCACGCGCGGAATCCAAACAAAAAATGAAACTGGGGGCAGAGGGACTCGAACCCGCGCCACCTGCTCGTCGACTTTGCGAAGATTCCCGCTGTTAGAGATCCGCCGGCAAGCAAGACAGGCTGGTCGCGCCCGCCTCTCAACTGGACCTACTCGCCTCGACTAAAAATGAAAAACAAAAGAGTTTCCCACAGCCATTGCACTGCAACGAGCGTGCAGTGCGGACTTCCCCGGACAGCCGGACGCGTCGGCGCCCCGTCCTCGGCCCCGTCCCAGTTTGGTGCCAGCCTACAGGTCGTGGCCCAGGCGGTCCATCTCGTTGAGCAGGAAGTCGATGTCGGCGTGGGTGACGGCGGCCGAGGAGATGATGTTGCGGAAGAAGTTGGGTCTGTCGTCCAGGGGCTGGTAGCCCACCATCAGGGTGCCGCTCTGCATCATGCGGCTCTTCAGCACTGGGGCGATCTGGAAAGAAGAGGAAAACAATCAGCCCTCGTCGGGATTCGAACCCAGATCCGACGCACAGTGGGCCAGAAGACTGGCGGAGGCGGAGTTTGGCCGCCTCCACCGATCTCGACCGATCTACTGGCAACTCCACTGCGCGACGGTCAAAGCGAGCACTCACCTGCCCGCAGAGGTTCTCCCGCTCCCTCGACTTCTCCATGCCGCGCAGCCTGGTGGGGATGTACCAGAAGCTGACGTTGACCAGTTCCGGCTCCATCATCAGCTCGAACTTGTCGGGCTGCTCCTTGATGCGGCGCACCATGTACTCGCTCATCTCCATCAGGTGATCCATGTGCTTCTCGAAGCCCTCGTCTCCCTGTCGTCATAGCAGAGCGGTGCCGGGCGTCAGTTTCCAAGTCACAGGTCGTGGTTCAAACCCTCGTAGTATTTTGTGTATTTTTTTGGTATAGTTACCCTCGTAGTACAGGGTGAGTTTCCTCAATGTGTCAATAATTTGCAGGCAGTTTGGGCATCCCTAGGGGACCATTTTTCGCCAATGAACTAGTGGGCGCAAACGTCTAGGTACGGAGATAATTGGTGTTTTGTAATTGGATTTTGCGCCTTCGAGGTAGGCACCCGGTGCCACTGAGGGCGGCAGGACCTGTCGAGGGGGTGTCGCGGGACTAGCAGTACTCGCGGGAGTGCCACTGACCTCGCGGAAGTATCTGAGGAATCCCGCCACCCTCGCAAAGACAGCCGTGAGATCCACTGTAACGGGGGCCACCATGACAGCCTCTTCAGACCCGCGGCAACCCCTCCCAAAAGACATTTGCAAGGTCCGCCGCACCCCTGCGAGACTCGAAGCACCCCTCCTAGACCCGCGACACCCCCACGCGGGGTCCTGCGACCATCAGTGACTGAGGGTGCCTACCTCGCAGGCGCGAAGGCCAATTACAAAACACCAATTATCTCCGTACTTAGACGTTTGCGCCCACTAGTTCATTGGTAGAAAATGATCGCCTTGGGGTGCCCAAACTACCTACAAATTATTGACACATTGAGAAAACTCACCCTGTATTTTGTGTATTTTTTTGGTATAGTTTTGTATATTTTTGCATAGTTTTGTATATTTTTGTATAGTTTTGTATATTTTTCCACTTTTTTTGTATTTTTTGTATTTTTCCTGCATTGTAGCACTCACCTTGGCCCTCCACTGCAGCCACAGCTTGAAGATGTCGTTGTGGCGCCCGCACTGGATGACCTTGTCGCCAGTGTCGTAGCGCACGTCGTACAGCTTGTCCTGCATGAACAGGTACTCGGCGCTCATCTGGTTGCAGCTGATCAGGAGGCCCTGCAGGCGAACAGAAACCGTCTTTGTAACAAAACACCCGTTGTTATGCTGGAAACTCTACCGCGGTGACCAGCCCCACGGTACTGAGTTTCGCTGCGTTCACTTTGGCGGGGCTCGGCAGGCTGATTCTGGACAGAGTCGCTCTGTCTCTCTCGCACCCCAAAAGCTGTCTCTAGATCTCTAAACGGGAGGACCAGTGAGCGCGAGAGAGACAGAGCGACAGCGTTCGGCCTGCAGCTGCCGCCACACTGTCTGAGGGCCTGTCTCGATGGAAGTTCAGGGTCGAGGGGAGGAAAGGGAGGGGAGGGGAGAGGGAGGTTAGGGAAAGGAGGGGAGGGGAGGCGGGGAACGCAAGCTGTCGCAAGGCCTCCCCTCGCCGCTCGCGCCGCCACGGCGGAATGCTGCTTATTGCATTCCTCCGCGGGGGTGAACGCGCAGCAACGCGCACCGCCGCTGGAAAAACTACCCCTAAAAAACGCGCAACATTTCACTCGACTCGGGACTCGGGCCGCAAAAAACAGAAACTACGTACCACTACGCTGCACAGTGCAGGTGGCCAAAACCCTAGACACGTTTCGAACTTCAGACTCGCCAAATAGTACTCGAACCGAAAGTGTGACCCTACCAATGGATTCCACCTTCGGAGAGCAATCCATTGGTGGGGTCACACGCTCGATTCGAGGCCCATTTGGCGAGTCTGGAGCTCAAAACGCGTCCGGACTTTTGACCGCCTCCACCGGTCACACGCTGCGAAATACTTACGTCCTCCTTGAAGTGGATGGTGGAGCACTGCAGCAGGGTGCCCATCAGCTTGTGCGGGTTCCACGTGACCGAGTCGGCCCTGCGGAAGGACGAACAGAGTCAGCAGACTGAGAGTCGTTTTCGTCGCTCTGTCTCTCGCGCTCTCGTGTGGCGTGAAAACGACTCTCTGTCTACAGGCTAGGTGCATACGGCGCGCGGATCAGCGAAGTCGGTTTGCGGTGGCCGGGCCGGGCCGGGCCGGGCCGGGCGATAAGGCAGAGGGGGAGCAAGGGTTGCGCATTAATATGGAACAGGAGCGGGCTGCCGCGCTGCCGGCCAGGCGGTGTTGTTTGATGTTGTCTTTCAATCTGCTCCGCACAGATTACTCGCGCCGGGGTGCAGCGGCGGCAGCGGCGGACCGATTCCGAGAGTTGTTCTCACTGCGCTGTCTCTCTCGCACTCGTGTGGCGTCCCGTGGGGGTGTGAGAGAGACAGCGCGACGAAGGCGACTCTCGGCCTCGGCATCGGTCTGCAGTGCAGTGGCAGTGCAGCACTGCCGTGGCGATGAAGGGGGCGTCCCGAGGTGTCTTCAACAAGTGCCGCGCGCTGGGGGACAAAACTCGGTCACACCCGCGGAAAAATAATTAAGATAAATTCCCGAGTATCTGAACCCGGGCCCATGGCGCGCGGGACTAAGCGTCTTGTCGCACGCGGCTACGAAGGCGTCTGTCAAACGTGTCACTCGCAGCGTGCCACTCCACGGTGTGCACACCGCGAGCCGCCACGGCACACACGCAAAACAAACTCTCCGCCGTGAAGGTCCTCGTGCCGAAGTGTAACTACACCGGGAGTCGCGACGAGGGCCGGCGGCGGTGAAGTGCCGAGTGTGAGAGTGAGTGAGAGTGAGTGAGAGAGAGCGCGCGAGAGAGAGAGAGAGAGAGAGAGAGAGAGAGAGAGAGAGAGAGAGAGAGAGAGAGAGAGAGAGAGGGAGGGAGAAAGAAAGAGAGAGAGAGAGGTTGTGTGTGTTATTGACACGTGCTGGCCGCCCTCTTTGTCGCACGTGTCGCCTTTTCATGTGCGGTGCGCGGAGCAGCGCGAGCCAACCCTCCCCCTCCCACCCCTATCGCGGCTACCCTCATCCCGTCTGCGTCATCCTACCGCCGCCTCTCTCTCTCTCTCTCTGTCTCTCTCTCTCTCTCTCTCTCTCTCTCTCTCTCTCTCTCTCTCTCTCTCTCTCTCTCTCTCCCTCTCTCTCTACCGCGGTGGCCTCCACTAATTGTTAGGCTCAGGCGGGCCCCGCGACTTTAATTGTGAGCCATCATTTATCAATCCCAGCCCTGCCCGCCTCTTTGCCCGCCCGCCTGCCTGCCTGCCTGTCTGTCTGTCTGTCTGTCTGTCTGTCTGTCTGTCTGTCTGTCTGTCTGCCCGTCTGTCCGCCCCTTGGCGCTGCAATCTGCGCCATTCAGAGCGACCTGGCTGCTGCGCTGCTGCTGCCCCTCCGACGCGCTCCCCACCCCTGTCTATTATCCCGGCCCAAAGCAGCCCATTGTGGTCCGTAGTTGGTTTGGCTTATGTGGGATTAAAATTCTGCGGCGCATCCAGAAGGCCAACCTGTCTCCGGGGCGGGCAGGCAGAGGGGCGGGGCGGCGGGGGCGGCGCAGAGCGGGGGCGGGGAAGAGAGGTTATGTTGACCTGCAGACTGACTCCGAGAGTCTTTTTCGTCGGTCTGTCTGTCGAACTACGCGGGACGCCCCATGAGTGCGAGAGAGACAGAGCGACGAAAGCGACTCTCGGAATCGGTCTGCTTTCGGTGTCCGTCGTCGCTTCTACTTTGGCGCAGCATAGGTACGCACTATTCGACTATGTCCTGCCGAAGCTATAGGCCCACTGACTTCCCCGCTGTGGGGCCCGGACGGCCCGGGGGGTGTGTCTCGCCGCGGGCACGCCGTCTCCATGCCGGCACGCCGCGCGGGGTTCGTTCGAGTAATCGCATTTTTACGACACCGACCCTGGCTTACGGCCGGCCGGCCGATTCCGAGGGGCCGCTTCGTCGCCCTGTCTCTCTCGCACCCCACGGGACTGCGCGGGACGCCCCGCGAGTGCGACAGAGACAGAGCGACACCCCTCCGGCCCTTCGGTCGGCCGAGGGGCGGCGGGAGTCTGCACGGGATCATGCGTACTTGACTGAGCACGAGGGTGGCCGCGCGCCGCGCAGCGGGGGCCGCCTGGCCTGGGCCTGCAGTCGTCCGTCTCTCTCGCACTCAGGAGGCGCCGCCGAGGGGTGCGAGAGAGACAGAGCGACAGAGAGGCAGGGGCCGGGCGTGGCTCTGACGGGGCTAATATGAGGCTATAAACTGGCGCATCCGCGCGTGATTTAATCCGCTTGTATTATTAAAATTAGCCACTTGGAGCCACACGGGGCGGGGCGGGGCGGGCCCCAGCCGGTGGGGCGTCGCAGTGACCTGAACGCCCGAGCAGTGAAGCGACCCGCTTAGCCCGTCGAAACAACCACCAACCTGTCTCACCAGCGGCAATCACAAAACCACAAAAAAAAACAACAACCAATAACGAAGTTTGCGGCCGTCGGTTGGAATCGAACCCGCGCACCCCACGTACGATTCCGAAGCGCTACCGACTGCACCACTCAAAGTCAAATTACCCGGGCGGCGATCCACCTATAAAAGTGCGCCGCCGTGCCGCCAGCCCCTGCTCCCGGCCTTCACAAGCAGGCACGGCCACAGCTGTGGACGATTTATGGATTCGGACCCCCGAGCCGACCCACCCCTCCCCCACCCCTCCAGCCGCCGCCCTCATAGCCATCCAGGAGAAGCCAACCTGGATCCAACTCGCCCTACTACCCCTATCTCTATCCTTCATAAATTCCCCATCGGAGGTCCCCGGGTCATGTCGTTGGGCCGGGACGCAGGCCTGTTATGCAGGCTGGCATATTTCGTGAACTTAAGGGGACTGCGTCGTCGGACAGCCGCCCGCTTCTCTCCGCGAACGCACAGTGGGCCAGAAGACCGGTGGAGGCGGACAAAACTCTAGACGCGTTTTGAGCTACAGAGTCGCTAAATGGGACTCGAGCCGAACGTGTGACCCCACCAATGGATTGCTCTCCGGGAGGAATCCATTGGTGGGGTCACACGTTCGATTCGAGTCCTGTTTAGCGACTCCGCAGCTCAAAGAGCGTCCGGGATTTTGGCCGCCTCCACCGGTCTTCTGGCCCACTGTGGAACGGAGACTGAAGTTTCTACACCGAAACATCAGCCACCAGAGGAAAAGACGGCCGCCCTGGGCGAAAGGGTGACAGTGTGGTGACGACGGCGGTCAAAATCACTTCCGCAAATCCGGGGCTTGCTTTTTTTTTGTGGCGGTGGCAATCCTTTTATGCAGGACCCGTGTCCTCGACGGCGAGGCTCGACGGCGAGGCTCGAGGGGAGAGCGACGCGGGCGACGCGGGCGACGCGGGCGATGGGGACGCGAGAGGCCCAACCGCCGAGCGCCGAGCTGAGTGAGCCCCGTGATGGATCGAGGCGATGAAAAGCGGCCTAATTGAGGTGGAGGGGTTTCGAACCCGGGAACCGGCCCGTTTGGCTCGGTTGGGCCCTTTTGCATATGATGAATGGTGTACTCACTTCTCGATGCCGGTGAGGCGGGGGTGGCGGTACTTCTTGGACAGCATGAGGCCGCCGCCCCAAGCGGCCTGTCGACAGGAAGGTGGCAGTCAGTCTCGGTTGCGCACAGTTCACAAAGTTACCAAATCGAACTCGAATCGACCTCATGAGGGTATCTCTGGCTTCGCCTTCGAACGAGGAATTCAGAGGTACCCTCGTATGTTAGATTCGGTTAATTTTTCGGCACTGTCCTAAAAAAGTCCTCGAATCGAACATATGAGGGTACCAAGGGGTTCGCCTTCGAACGAGGAATCGATAGGTACCCTCATGCGTTCGATTCGAGTCCTATTTCGAGCGCTGGCGATGCGGTTCCACACTCACGTCCACGTGCATCCAGCACTTGTACTTCTGGCAGATGGCGGCGATGTCCTCGATGGGGTCGAAGGCGCCCAGCACGGTGGTGCCGGCGGTGCAGTTGACGAAGAACGGGATGTCGCCGCGGGCCTTGCGCTCCAGGATGAGGCGCTCCAGCTCGGACGGGATCATGCGGCCCCTGGGGGCGGGAGAGGCAGTGTCCATTTCACAGTGGGCCAGAAGGCCGGCGGAGGCGGTCAAACCGGACGCGTTTTGAGCCCCCAGAGTTGCTAAATGGGACTCGAAACAAACGTGTGACCGTGTGACCCTACCAGTGGATTGCTCTCCGAACGAGGAATCCATTGGTGGGGTCACACGTTCGGTTCGAGTCCTTTTTAGCGACTCTGGAGCTCAAAACGCGTCTCAGGTTTTGGCCGCGGCAGGGACTGTGTCAGTGCGGTGGTGCTGGCGACCTTGACGGCGATCGCACTTACAGCTCATCACTTGGGACCTCCACGCAGTGGTCAGTGCCGAGGCCGCACACAGAGGCGCAGCTCTTGACGGAGTAGTGGCACTGTAAAAATAGACATCGGGGAAAAGGGAATTAGCAAACTGACTAGAAGTAGCCTAAAACAAAGAAGCAGGAGTGTGCCGACCTGGTTCGAGGTGTACATCACCAGCTGGCCCTTGATGGAGCTCAGGCCCTTTTCTTTGTACTGGGGGAACATCTTGTGGCGGGCAGCCAGGAAGGCGTACAGGTTTGAGATGGAGCCACCTACAAAAAAGTAAATAGGTAAACTTCCAAGTTTGTTTTTGCCTGTTTTGGAGACTGCTTCGTAGAGGCGCACAGTGGGCTAGAAAGACCAGTGGAGGCGGCCAAAACTCTAGACACGTTTTGAGTTCCAGAGTCACTAAGTGGGACTCGAACCGAACGTGTGACCCCACCAATGGCTCTCCGAACGAGGAATCCATTGGTGGGGTCACACGTTCTGTTCGAGTCCCATTTAGCGACTCTGGAGCTCAAAACGCGTCCGGGATTTTGGCCGCCTCCACCGGCCTCCTGACAAATCCACTGTGAGGCGTGGCGGATGGAACGCACCCGGAGCGAGGATGGAGTCCCCGGCGCCGTTCTCCCAGCCGATGATCTCCCGCATGTGCTGCATCACCACGTTCTCCATGAGGATGAAGACGGGCGCGATCTCGTAGGTGAACATGTTGGTGTTGGCGGTGGCGGTCAGCCACTCGCCGGCCATGGACACCAAGTCCAGGCCGCAGGACAGCTGGTTGAAGAAGCGGGGATGTCCTGCAGGCAGGCCGTTCAAGGCGCGTTTAATGACCTTCAAGACTCGTTTAATGACCTTCAAGACTCGTTTAATGACCTTCAAGACTCATTTAATGACCTTCAAGACTCATTTAATGACCTTCAAGACTCGTTTAATGACCTTCAAGACTCGTTTAATGACCTTCAAGACTCGTTTAATGACCTTCAAGACTTGTTTAATGACCTTCAAGACTCGTTTAATGACCTTCAAGACTCGTTTAATGACCTTCAAGACTCGTTTAATGACCTTCAAGACTCGTTTAATGACCTTCAAAACTCTTTTAATAGTCTCCAAGACTCGTTTAGTTCAAGACGCGCTTAAAGACCACTCTGCCCACCCCGAGTCGCCCCAGCCCGCCTCGACGGAGACTGTTGCTCCCTTGGCTGCGGTCAAAGTCCAAAGTCCCCGTCGGGCAAATCCCCACATGGCTGCGCGCACGGCACGGCACGGCGCTGCACGGCGCTGCACGGCGCTGCACGGCGCGGCACGGCACGGCGCTGTACGGCACGGCACGCAGCCCCGCGCCAAATGCAGCAGAAAATGGAGACCGAGCGCTGCTGGCGCTGCTTGGCGCTGTTTGCCGCGCCCTCTGGTGACGCAAATCCGAGCTTACTTCCGCCCCGCCGGCCACCCCACGCGGACCTTTTAATTTCAGTTGGCAGCAGTGCTGTCGGATTAGACGCGCTAGCTGCTCTACGTGCCATCAAACGTCCGCGCCGAGCCGAGCCAAACTCCTGCGGGTTCAGCTTCCAACTCAATTTTATTTTCAAACGAAAATTGCTTTGGTATTTGGTCGGTGCACTTGCTGGTGACCAATCGTTAGGTTGGTACGAGAGGCCGACACAAAGTAGGCCAGAAGATAGGAGCAGGCGGCCGAAACTCTTGAAGCGTTTTGAGCTCCAGAGTCGCTAAACAGGACTCGACTCGAACCGACCGTGTGACCGCACCAATGGATTGCTCTCTGAACGAGGAATCCATTAGTGGGGTTACACGGTCGGTTCGAGTCCCTTTTATTAGCGACTCTGGAGCTCAAAACGGCCGCCTCTGCCGGTCCTCTGGCTGTGCGGCAGTGGCAGTCCCTCGCGAGCGCCGTGCAGGTAGGCCACCACAGCCCGCGCGACGCACGGGTGCGTTCGTGCTGCCTACCCCGCAGGCTGTGCTCGCTGCCGACTCGCTTTCAGGCGTCCGCGTTTTTGCTGCGAGGACGTCAACTCACTGTCCTTTTTTTTGCAGCTTGCTCTCTGTTTTTCGCTTTGCATGCCGCTTCGCGGTTTCGCTCTCCTCGGCCACGGCCGCGCCGTCGCCCTCCTTTGTCTCCAGCCGGAGGGGCGGTCCGGAAATCTGTCCGAAATTGCAACTTGTTAACGCTACACTGGCGCGCGCCCCTATACCCTGATGCAGCACCCATCGCATCTCAGCGACGTGTCCGCCTGGCTGGCACACAACAGCGGCCCGGCCAAGGGAGGGACCCGGAGGGACCACACTGCCAACATTAGCCCGCACAGCGGCCCAGAAGACCGGTAAGCGGTCAAGATCCCGGACGTGTTTTGAGCTCCAGAGTCGCTATATGGGACTCCAACCGAGCGGTGGGGTCACGCGTTCGGTTCGAGTCCCATATAGGGACTCTGGAGCTCAAAACGCGTCCGGTTAGACCGCCTCCACCTGTCTACTGGGCGTACTGCCCGTCCCTCGTGCGTCCCTGCCAAGTCCGGCCACGTCGGACTTGGAAGCACCCTGCGTCCCAATGTCTCATAGCACTGCTCTCAAAGGCGCAGTTGACAAGTCACATTTTGAGACAAATTTCGTAACAATAAACATCGAGTCTTTTTTTTGTGGGTGTTGTGGCAGGACACACGTCCAGCCCGCAGCAAAGCGGCAAAGCGCGGGAAGCAGCGAGAGGCATCATCATCCCCTTTGCCGGCCCATTTGACGCCATGATTGGGGACAAGGACCTCCGAGGACTTCCTGCGTGGAACCCCGCCGGGAAACCCAGACAGGAAAGCAGTGGGTGGCGTGGATGCCGCGGCACCCCTGATACCTATCCGGAAACAAGCAAGCAGCCAATAAAATTAAATAAAAATAATTATTAAAGTATTAGTGGTGGGTAGGATTTGAACCCACAGTCTACCCACGTCGAGCTAAGCACGCTACCGATGTTGCCACCGCGAGAGACGAGCGTCGAGCGTCAGGCTTGCATTCGGTCAGGGGTTCAACTCCCAGCAGCGCTGCATGCCGTTTGGAATTCACTGAACTGAATCTTTTCCCCGTTTTCTCCTGGCTGCCAATCTCTCCCCCCCCCCCCCCCCCTTTTCCACCCTCCTCTCCAAATCCAACTGTTCTCCATCCATTTCCCTTGTAATCCCTGGATTCCGACACACTCCCTCGCTGCCTCCCTCCACACCCTCCATCCCGGCTCCGGCCCTCCAGCCCGCCGGCGGCATTCTTGGCGCTCCTACACTGGAGAGGAATGTTGTTCGCCGTATATGAGTTTGCGCTTTTAGCGGCGCCCCGTCGGTCCGGTCGCCCCGGAATGCGATCGGCCGAACGGCCGATTGGGCATTTCGGAGATGACAGTGCAACAATAGGCTCTGCTAATCTAAAAAAACTTTTCATATTTATTTTTTAAAAATTAGAGTTGCATTAATTTAATGTCAATAATGCGAATTTTATCTCGCGGTTATGCTCTATTTGACGTGCGTCAGAGATTTAGAGCGCGGCTGCGAAGGTGAGTCGCAAAATCTGCGGGAGGAAAGGTGCACCATGGCTGCCCGTGAGACTGGGCGCAACTTACTACTGTCTTTCGCAGACAGACAGACGGCGGGACGGACAGACAGACAGTGCCTTCTTGTTTTTGAAGCTTAGCGCCCTCCATTTCGGGCGGGAAAAAATAACACCTCCATCTTGTGGCTTAGAGGAGCCAGTGAAAGTAAATCATCCCTTCCCGGCCGGAGCCTCGGGAGCCTCGCGAGTACGACGGTGGTCTTTCCAGCTCCAGAGGCAATTACTCCGTCCCGAGCAGCCACCTGCACTGGAAAGCCCGGCATTCGTGGCTTGCACTGTCGAGTAACCACGAGGTCCTCCACCTGGAGTTAACCTGGAGGCCCATGGTACTCCACGAGGTGCTCCATCTGGAAGTCCATCTGGAACTCCACGAGGGACTCCATCTAGAAGTCCATCTGATACTCCACGAGGTACTCGACTCCATCCGGAACTCCACAAGGTGCTCCATCTGGGAAGTCAATCTGGAAGTCCATCGCTGGCACTCCCACGAGGTACTCCATCCGGAACTCCACAAGGTGCTCTATCTGGAAGTCAATCTGGAAGTCTATCTGGTACTCCACGAGATACTCAGTCTGGAAGTCCATCTCTAGTATGTACTCCATGAGGTACTCCATCCGGTCCTCCATCGAGAACTCCGCCAAACCCACAAACGGCGTGCCGCCACAGTGGAGTGGCGCTCCTTGAAGTAGAGGGCCACCTTGTTGTGGCGACGGGTAATTCAATCGGAGGGCCGACTGGAGGGCCCGCTGGAGGGGACAAGGACAGACAAGGGGCCAATCCGCGAATCCTGAATGCGGCCCTTATCACCACTCGCCAGCATTAATACACACCGCTATCACAACGGGGTGAGGGAGGCTGCGCGCTTCCTTTCAGAGTGTCTGTCTCTCTCGCTCGCACGCGGAGAGGCGCCTAGCCCTGGGGGTGCGACAGAGACAACCGCACTGTTCGGTCCGCGGCTCGTGTCGTCGGAATAGAATTATTATACGGACCACAGAGCTTTACCAGCCGGGGCGGGGCGGTACGTGGTGGGGCGGGGCAGGGCGGGGCGGCTCACAGAATGAATGCGGTTCGTTTCGCGCAGAATGCGGTGTGGTGGACGCGAAAAAATAAACTTTGTCGTTCCTAGAAGTTCCTCGCGGTGTTCCCCGGCACTGGGAACTAGGGCGGGGAACTGCGCGGCCTGGCTTCCCCGATGCGGGCGGGCTTCAAGTTTGGCTGCAGGAAAGGGAGTGTTTGACGAGACCGCATCGGTATCCGGAAACCCTGGAACCTCTCCAGGCCGGTTCCTGGTTGGTGGGGCGGTAGGGCGACAGCTGGCCGCGTCCCCAGGCCCAGCCTCGCGCAGCCTCGCGCAGCCTCGCGCAGCCTCGCGCAGCCTCGCCCAGCCTCGCGCAGCCTCGCGCCACGTCGAGCATCGAAAGGCAATCAGACCCGCATTCGCCCCAGCCTGTCGTTCCCAAGATGAAAACTCGGCCAAGCGCACCAAGCGGAGGTTCGGCGCGGGACTCACCGGTCTTGACCTGGTACTTGAGGGTGGTGTGGCAGTCCTGCACCAGCTGCTGCAGGGTGACGCCCTTGTCCTGGATGTCCAGGTCCAGGAGCTTCTTCATGTCCTCGGGGTGGTGGAACTCGAGGATCTTGCAGTTCCGGTCGTTGGTGTCCTTGACGTGGTCCATCAGGATGTCGATCACCTTCTGCAGGAACTCCCTGGTAACGGGGTAGCCCTGTTGGTTGTGGGGCAGCAGATCTGCAACGCAATCAGAGCGGTTCATTAGCCGAGCTCGTTGAGAGTCAGCTAGGGAACTCTGGAGTCCGTGGTTCGAGTCCTGAAAACTTCAAAACTTTTCCTCCAACTAACCAAGTTGGAGTTTTTATTGTTATTATTTTAAATATTTTAACGGCGCACGTCGCCACTTTTGGCACAGCCTGCTTGCCTGACTCAGGTTTACTCTCGTTCATCTCGACACGTCGCGCGGGGAATATTGAATCCCCCCCCCCTTTTCCCTCGGCCGGTTCCTCCTCCAAGTTGGTCGTCGTCGGAATGGGAGTCCTCCCTGACGGCCTAGATGGCGGAGATAGAGGCGGACTGTGTGCCACCTCCGCTGCCTCCGCACGGAACGAGGCCCCACCCCCACCCCCCAAATTAGCGCCAAGTCTGTGGCGCGCTGCTGGAAGCATGCTCGAGGCCCGTTCCTCTGTCAGTTCCCGTCACCAGTTTCAAAGTCCAGTCACAAGTTTTCAAAACTGAAGCATCCGACACAGTTTCGAACATTTTCCGGCGTCGACCCCGACAGCGCGGATTCCTTGGTGTAGCGCTGCACCCAGAAAAAGGGTTTCTTAGTTTTAAATTTTCTCGGTTTTTAAATTTAAAAAAAATTTCTTTTCCCGGGAAAATTTTTCTTGAAAGAAAATGAAAACAAGGCGAGTTAATTTTTTCTTGATCCAAGAAGTCCGAAGAAGTCCTTATTTCGGGTGTGGCGGCCGGCCAGAAAGTCCCAAATCTCGAACCCCAAAATATTAACCTCATAAAACGGTTCCAGATTTATTATTTTTTTGACAGTGTGCTTGGCATTACTTTTTGCGACGGGCGTGCGAGATGCCGCGATAGGGTGCATCCTCGGCCAAATTGAATCGGATGCCGCTGTTGGTGTGCCATCATTCACATGCCGAGCATATGCCTCTCTGCTTATCAGCGACGCTTGCCCGCGCTTGCCCCCGCTCTCTCTCTCTCTCCCTCTCTCTCTCTCTCTCTCTCTCTCTCTCTCTCTCTCTCTCTCCTCTCTCTCTCTCCTCTCTCTCTCTCTCCCTCTCCCTCTCTCACTCTCTCTCTCTCGCTCGCACACTCTCTCTCGCACTTCCTCGGTCCGGCCCGTGAGTGCGAGAGAGACAGGCCGAGCCTATTCGGAGGCGGCTCGCAGCCACCACTTCGCGGCAGATTAGGGGTTTGCGTTGAAAGCCTCTGCGGGGGCGCCGGCGAGAGATAAGCCTGCATAAACTGAAGCCGCCTCTCTCTCTCTCTCTCTCTCTGTCCCTCCGCCCTCCGGAATCCATCGGGTGAGGCTATTGATGGCTTCAATGAGGCTATTTGCAAGCAGCGTCGAGATGCACTTCCAGTTTCCAGAGGTCGCGCCTGCTTCAGGGTTTTAGAGGCGTCATTTGACTTTTCTATTCTCTTTTCTACAGTGTATCCGTGTCCATCCGCTTTGGCAGGTCGACTGCAACAGCACGTCCCGGACAACAGTGGCACTGTCGAGAGCAGCGGTCCTTGTGGACAAGGCCGAGAAGGGCGAGGCGGACTGGTTCCGAGAGTCGTCGCTCTACCTCTCTCTCCTCACTCCTGGGGCAGTCCCGTGTGGGTGCGAGAGAGACAGCGACGAAAACGACTCCCGGAATCAGTCTGCTGCCTGCAGCAGCCTGCAACCTCCTCCCACCGCCAACCTCCGCGAACCTCCGGGAACACGGTCCTCGACAAAAGGATTCATTTCCTGCCACAAGCCGCAAGTCAGATAGAGTGAAGCGCAAACAGGGGCCACCCCTCCCCACCCCTCCACGGCACCCCGCCCCACCCCGTCCCCGCCATGGTCGCCATACCCCTCCTCTATCTCTATTTCTTTCAGTTCCTGAAGTATTTTGTTTTCGAAGTTTTCTAAACTTTCAATGATATTCGGAGAAAATTGAATGAAAATTTCGGGGTTTGTCATGGGAAGATACGCGACAATTTTGGCGCCAAAAAAAAGACGGTGGCCGTGCTGCTTAGAGGCATCTCCATCATCTTTATCCATTTTCCTGTCTCGCGGCGTGCGCCCCGCCCCGCCCCGCCCCGCCACTCCACGCCATATCCGATCGGGAGTCTGGCGGGCGCACGGCCGAGCGCGTGGCCGGGGGTGAGATACGTAGGAAGAGGAAGGCCTTAACGGCACCATTTACATGCACGCCCACGCACCTACACATACACACACACACACACACACACTCACGCACACACACGGTGCCCCCTTCCACCCCTAAAACACACTCCCCCCTCCCCCCCCAGACGTCACCTCAAAAGACCCTCTCTCTGTCAGCTTCCACGTACCCCCACCCCTTCCCTTTCCCCCATGAGAAATTTCCGCCTAATCACCGCTGCTATTTTGAATGACGCTCGACCCGGCCGGATTAGCCCGCTGCCCGTGTAACGCGTTAAAAGCGTGGGGAGAGCCGGCCGATTCGGCACCCATCGCTCTGTCTCTCTCGCACTCGCCCGGGCCACCCCATGAGTGCGAGAGAGACAGTGTTCTTCGAGCGCCCCGTGTACAGTCACGGAGTTGGGGGCGGAAATTCCGCCGAAATGCTCGCCGGACCGGTCTCCCGGATGCGATCCTCAAAAGCTCCTAGGTTGGTGAGGCTGGAGGCTTTCCATGCACGTCACTGAACCCGAGGGGGCAACCACATTGCATGTTTGGGGACACAAGATTTCTTGAGGCTAAAGATTTCGTCGGATTTCACAAGATTTCAATCGATATTACGCTCATAATTTGCTTGTTTTTGGCCTTTTTTGGGGCAGGATTTCCAGAGATTTCTATAGCGCTCAAGCGGACACAAGATTTCTAGAGTGGTTGCTACCTCGTCCGAACCTCGCTTGCGGACGGCCCCCCCTAGGGGTACGAACGTTTATCGTTTCAATTCATTAAAAATTTAAGGACGCGAAAAAAAGCGGGAATAATCTGTTTGAGTTGGCGGCCCTGCGGTCCTGCGGGGGAGGAGGGCTAGCCCTGGGTTGCTGGCTTGGCTGGCGTGGAAATTAAATTCTGACTTGTTTTCCGAAGGCCGAGGCCACTGCTTGGTTATAAGCCGGCGCCAAGCTGGAAAACGCTGGAAAATACTGGAAAATGCAAACTGCGCTTGGCTCGCCGTGCCGCCGGCTTTGTCTCATGTTTTCTGTCTGCCAAACGGCGGAGCAGGGAGCACTGCCTTTGTCCGAAAGGCGAAAAGGATGCGATAAAAGTGCTTGCAGGAGAGAGAGAGAGAGAGAGAGAGAGAGAGAGAGAGAGAGAGAGAGAGAGAGAGAGAGAGAGAGAGAGAGAGAGAGAGAGGTGGTGGTGGTGATGATGACAACAAAGGCAAGGACGGAAAAAAGGAAGGGATGAAAGAATGATAGTCAAGGGAAGATGAAGGGCGGTGCAGCAGGGTGGGCAACAGATGTGGCGCCAGCAGACCGGTTCCGGGAGTCGTTTTCGTCGCTCTGTCTCCCTCGCACTCACGGGGCGTGCCGTGTAGGTGCGAGAGAGACAGAGCGACGAAAGCAACTCCCGGAATCGGTCTGCCAGGCCAGGGATATTGAAAAATGAAAGTGTCGCGCACGCCAGACCGTCAGGCCGTCCGGGCCATCGGAAGTCGCTCCACTGCCAAAAAAGGCGCCACTGGACGCGCGCGGGAATCCTCGTCTTCGTTTTTAACGACAAGAAAACAACAAAATCAACGAAAACAAGCGGTCCATTAGGAAGCGGCACTGCGTCCTTTCCGGATCAAGGCCGACTGCAGCGGACGGGACATTAATCCGAAGATCCGCATGTCCGGCGCAACGGCCGTCTGAAGGACGTCGCCGTAGCCGCAGGGTTAAAAGGGGTGAAAACTGGGCCGCGAGACACAAGTTCGAATCTCACACAAGGATTGTAATTTTTCCCGCTTAATTGTGTTCTTTTCCCTTCGGTACTTTGGCAACATTAGGCAGACTGCGAGGTTACAAACACATTGACAAACACAAAAAATAAGACAAACAACAACAAAACAACACATAAACACAGCAACACACGAGGGTTAGGGTCGGCTGCCCCGGGCTGGATTAGGCCCTCGATCAGGCACAGCCAAGGCATTTCCGTGGCACAGCCGCGGCCGCGCTCTCTTTACGATCACATGTCTATAACCTGAATGCCCAAATCCCGGCAGTCCCTTAACCTGACAGGCCGGGCGGGCGGGGCGGGCGGGGCGGCCAGGACCGCCACCCTCGCGGCGCTACACTGCGTCACACTTACGCAGTGCTGCCAACGCCGCAAACCCATCAATTTTACATTCAATCTGTCTGGGAAATAAATGAAGGGATCATGTTGGCGAAAAGGGCGAGGTTGGGGGATCGGAGGGGGTAGCATAGCCAGGCCCCGCCACGCGCGTCGCCTCGGTATTGTTTTTATTGCGCAAAGTTTTCTCGATACTGGCAGAGAGACAAGTTGAGGGTAAAGGGGAGGGGGTCGTGGAAAGAATAAAGCAAAGAAAATAAGGTGACGCCCGTCGCCATGTGTTGAAACTCGAAACGCGCGGCTTCGCGAAGTTATTCCGTTATTCCGTTTATGAGACTGCGGGGTTGGCAATACTCGGTGACCTGGGTGGCCGCGTTATAGTGGGCTAGAAGACCGGGAGAGGCGGTCAAAATCCCTGAAGCGTTTTGAGCTCCAGAGTCGCTAAACAGGACTCCAACCGAAAGTGCGACCCCACCAATGGATTTCTCGTTCGGAGGGCAATCCATTGGTGGGGTCACACATTCGGTTCGAGTCCCATTTAGCGACTCTGGGGCTCAAAACGCGTCCGTGATTGGCACCGCCTCCACCGGTCTTCTGGCCCACTGTGCTTGCCTGACCCCCTCCCCCTCCCCGTTGGCGTCGCATGGCGGCCATTCGTTCCACGTTAGCTCGCGCCGCCCGCATTCCGGAGTGGAACGCGAAGCACGGAACGCGAAGCACGCCGCGCTCGCCGCGTTTAGCCACTGCTGGAATTTGAATTCCGCGACGCGATGGCTTCGGCGCACTTCGGCTGCGTCCGGAAAAAGCCGAACGCGTCCCGAGGGGAGGGCGAGCGCAACGCGGCCCGTTTGCCGCTCGGCCGAGCGTGTAACGACGGAGAATGGCGCCGCGGGGGTCGCTGTCTCTCTCGCACCCACGGTGTACCAGCGGCCCGGCCCGGAGGGGTGCGAGAGAGACAGCGCGGCGCCAGCCGACACCGGGAATTAAAACACGCGCTCTGAAGTTGGCGCGCAAAAGTTGGGCGAAACACAGCCAAACAAAGTCCCCGTTCGGCGGGTGGTCGAGTCGGCTGGCTCCACCGATTCAAAACAAAACAGCGGCGGTCCAAGGAGCCCCCGAAGGCCCGAACCCGAAGGCCCAAACCCGAAGACCCGAAGGCCCGAACCCAAAGGCCCGAAGGCCCTAACCCGAAGATCTGAGCCCGAAGGCCGATGAGCCCTCTGGGAGTTGACTCGTAATGGTCCGCGCGTTTGGCCGCACCTGTGGCTCCACTCTCCACAGCGAGGGTGCGAACGGGCCGGCGGGGGAGCGCGCCATGTGGGCCAGGCTTTAATTAAAAGCAACAATAGTTTGTTGGCATGCACGGAGGCAAGGCGGAGGCAAGGCGGAGGCGGGAAGAGAGGAGGACGAAGGACACTGGGCCGGAAGACCGGCGGAGGCGGCCCACACTCTAGACGCGTTTTGAGCTCCAGTGTCGCTAAATGTGACTCGAACCGAACGTGTGACCCCACCAACGTATTGCTCTTCAAACAAGGAATCCATTGGTGGGGTCACGCGTTCTGTTCGAATCACATTTATCGACTCCGGAGCTCAAAACGCGTCCAGAGTTTTGGCCGCCTCCGCCGGTCTTCTGGCGCACTGTGCGAGGGCGAGCGGGAGAGTTAAAACACGCGCTTCTTTATGGATGGGAAGTGGAATCTGAGCCGCGGGGACGATAGCGGTGGAGATTGTTTATGGCCGGTCATTGATTAACGCCTATCCCCGTCGCCCCGCGGTCCCGCCGAGGGTCCCGCGGTCCCGGAGTCCCAGGAGAGGGCTTGGCGGCGGCCCGGCTTGGCGGCGGCCCGGCTTGGCGGCGAGGGAAGGACCCTGCAAGGACCCTCGCCCCTATTTACTCCATCAAAATCCGCTTAATCCTGTCCCTGGGGACCCCCGCCCACGTCCTTGCCAGAAGAAAACAAAACCTCGCCTCTTTTTTTTCTTTCCTCCTTTTTTTTGTTGTTGAGGTGAGAGGCCGCCGCTTCGCCACTGCAAAAACGGCAACTCTCGCGAAATTTGCCACGTTTTTGAACAGTGAGGAACCCACCCGACCCGCGTCCGTCGAATTGGGCTTTGTTTGGAACCTATTTTCGCGAAGTACTGGCGCGTTTAAAGCTCGTCACAGCGACTCCTGAGCTGCCAATTAGTGTCGGAGATCGCCTTGATTGTCCTGATGGCCGTAAGATCGGAATGTCTCTGTCTCCCTCGCACCACGGCGCGTCCCGTTGGGGCGAGAGAGACGGCACTGACCGCCACCCTCCGCAGCAGCTGTTGCCGCGGCCCGGCGGTGCTCGGCGGTGCCCGGCGGCCCCAAGCTGTCTGCCTGCCTGCCAGCCGCCTCCCCTTCCCTTTTGTTGTGCCCCAGATTGGCTGCATGTCTGTGCGGGGCTCGCGCCGAGGCTAGCCCAGGCCGGCCCACCCACGGCTGGGGGTTGCTTGGCCCGTCCACTGCACTGCTAACGGGGTTGTGCTTCCCACCGAAGGACAAACTGCTGCCCCTTGTTCGGCAGGCCGAAGCTCTGTCTGTCTGTCTGTCTGTCTGTCTGTCTGTCTGTCTGTCTGTCTGTCCGCCTGTCCGTCCGTCCGCCTGTCCGTGTTTGCATGCCGATTGCTCGAGTTGATGGCGCCCCGGGGACCGCCCGTACAGTTCATTCCAAACGTGGCTTTTTGTTGTGCTGCATTCGGAATAAAAGAGAGAGAGGGGAGCGAGAGAGACGCGACGGGCTTTTGACGCGATGCGGCGCAACGCGGAGTGACGGGATATGAACATTCGAGGGATTACAGCGGACGGGGGAGGCTGGCGAGGCTGCCCCGATGGCCCGAAGGGTGTGAGTGAGAGACACATCAAGGCGTTTGACAGGCACAGCTGCTGCCGGTCTGACAAGGATGACAGAGGTTTGCTCCCACTGCTCACACGGCAAAAAAAAAAAAAAAAAAAAAAACGCGGCAGCACGTATTGCCATTCGATGATTCGAAATGGGCACAACATTTCTCATTAGGCTTTCAGTTTTGATAATATTTTAATTTAGTATGAAAAGTTCCCTTTCCACTTTAATCATAAAAGCTTAATTTAATCTAATTGTTTAAAAAAATTGTTTGTTTTTAGTGCAAACTGTAGAGATGATTCCTACCTTCATAGTGAAGATTAGCTATCTCCTTGGGCAGCTGATGGGGGCTAGCCATGATGCTTTGTTGTCCAAACAAACTGAAACACGAAAAATTCATGAAATTAAGGAACACAAATAAGAAAGGCATACAATGTAATGGGACTGTGTTGAATGGGCTTGTCGGCACTGAAAGAGACAAGTCTTTGGTGTCTGCTATGCTACGGCAACTCTCTGCGGTGGCTCTACGTCATACAACAGTCTACTTTGAATGGGCTACATTCATACAGTATGCCATTTGTGTGTGTGAGCCCATTTACTACGTGAAGATGTGGCAACAATGTACGTAGCACGGTGGGCCAGAAGACCGGTGGAGTCGGCCAAAACTCCAGACGCGTTTTGAGCTCCAGAGTCGCTAAATGGGGCTCTAACTGAACGTGTGACCCCACCAACGAATTCCTCTTTGAACGAGGAATCCATTGAGGGGGTCACACGTTCCATTCGAGTCCCATTTGGCGACTCTGGAGCTCAAAACGCGTCTAGAGCTTTGGATGCTTCCACCAGTCTTCTGGCCCACTGTGCGTAGCAGCAGTCGAACGCGATGGCGACAGCGCAGGCGACAACTACACCACCAATTCACCTCTTAAAGTCAAGTCACCCTCCTGGGACTCCACAGCTCTGCCACAGGACCTTCGTCTACCACACTGCAAGTCAAACAGTTGACAGTATGACGAGAATGTCAGAGCGAACTCGCAGAAGAGTGTAACACGTTATTTTTTTAGAGCATGGTTGTCTTACTCTTTTTGGCGTGTCATACTCTCTTTCTCTCTCTTTCCTTCGCAGAGTACGTAGAGGCGTTCGTCTACCATGACCACCAAAAGAAGTAAGCCATCGGAATGTGTCAGTGTCCAGAAAAGTGTTGCCACTTGGTTTTCAAAATGTGTGGAATGAAAAGAAATTGCCAACTATACTGACTAAGCGTAAATTAGAAGGAAAAATAAACTGTAAGAAGGTCGATGATGTGGAAAGAGATATATAAAAACCGAACAACAAAAACGTGAAAAAAATATAGATTTGAATCATGTTTGCAAATACTTCTTTTGATGCATTCATAGAACACGAATACCAACCTCATCATCTTACTGCCGCTTGTCCAAATTGAATTTATGTTGACGAGTTCTCTGGCCTTGATGACAGCCTCCTCCTTGGCTCGCTTCAAGGCGTCCATCTGAACAAGTAGGGACAATTTTAGCGTCTAACTCACTACAAGGCTGAACGCCTCACTAGCCCAAAGTGTACCATGCGTAGCTACGCTAGCGTGTGGCAAAGGAAGAGTTGCTCAGAACGTCGGCCGTTCGTCCGGGGACCTAAACGAACGGGGCACCCCAAAACTGCGCAGAGACTTCCGGATCGATCTGGTTTGCCGGTGGTGGGGGTGGGAGGGGGAGGGGTGGGGGTACCCTACCCCGGGGCCCCATCCCTTGAGTACGGTCATCTCTCTGGTGAAGACAGAGTGCTTGCGAATAACTTAAAAGCCTAGCAAGACTACGCCAGCCACGCCTGCTAAGCGAGACGAGGTTTTTCTTTGTACACACTTCGACAAAACCACGACTGACTGTCTGTCCGTCCGTCCGTCTGTCTGTCTGTCTGTCTGTCTGTCTGTCTGTCTGTCTGTCTGTCTGTCTGTCTGTCTGTCTGACTGCCTGTGAGGCCCAGACCGGGGCGGATCACGGTCCACCCATTTCCACTGAGTGCTGGATGCATTGGAATTCCATCAATCGAAATGCAAGACGAAAACACACACACTGCCACTGAGTTGCACAACCCATCAAACTCGTTAGCGTCATTCGCGTCGAAATATTGAAGTCTCGGGAGCACAGCAAAACTGGAGGACCGGACAGAAACTGATGACATTCAACTTGAGCGGACGAGTGGTCTAATCTCAGTGCAAAGTGCGACCCGGTGGTTCCGCGAATTTCACTCTCGAACGCGCTTCGCCCCGCCACCCCCTTTCCCTGACCCAGTTCCGCGGCACAGCTGAAGTCCGCTTCCCCGCAGCCCCGCAGCCCCGCATGACACTTGCCTCTCGGCGAGGAAGTGTCGAAAAGTGACGCCCAGTTCGTTTAGCTGCCAAGGGGACCCGTGGAACGCCTGGCGGCTGGGCCTGCCCGCTGTGCAGGCGTGTCCCCGCGTTGCCTGCGCGCCAGGCGCTGAGTCACCAGAGCGGCGCGCAGCGGGCAACCCAGCTGCGCGGCGGGCCAGGGGGGATTGCCTGCACTGTGGACGGCTGGCTCGGCGTGGCGCAAGCAAGCCAGGCAGCAGCTACGCCAGTGAGCAGGCACCGTTCGGGGGAGGTACTCACAGTGTGGCTGGCTGGCCTCGGGGCTGGCGGGCGACGCTTGCGAGGCCTGCGACAGCTGGGGCTCGACTGTGGGGCGCCCCTCTGGCGAGGGCCCCACCGGGCCTAACCCAACCCCCACCTCGTGGGCGGGGCCATGTACCAACCCCCCGCCCCACGGCCCCGCGCGGGGGGAGGGTGACCCCCCGGACCCCCGGAAACTCTGGCGGCTGGATGCCACCCCCGCCGTCTTGCCGCCGCCCCCCTGCACTACCCCACTGCCCCTGAAGGTCACGCCGGGGGCGGGGGGCGGCTAGCGACCCAGCATCGCCCAGCATCCGGGCCAGGCCCCGCGGCCCCGCGACCCCGCGGCCCCACAACACGGCTGCCCACGTGACTTCCTCTCTCTCTCTCTCTCTCTCTCTCTCTCTCCTCTCTCTCTCTCTCTCTCTCTCTCTCTCTCTCTAGCCCCCTTTTCCAGCCCCTGCCATCTCACGTGGCAATTCTAGGGTGGCGAAATGGAGGTCAAAGAGTTGCCAGACTGCGTAAACTGCGTGCAGTGCTCCCCCCCCCCCCCCCCCCCCCCCGGCCCTTCCCTCCCCATGGACCTCGCCCGTCGTCCCCAGTCCTCCTCTCCTCACCGGAAGAACATAAATCACTGGGAAGCCCGTCTTCACGGCCACGCGCAGTGCAACGCGCTGGGCTCGGCCGTTTTCAGAACCAGGTCAAGGAGGCTGCGTGGCTGGTGGCAGTCGTTCCCAGCCCGGAGCGTCGGAGCGTCAGCACAGCGTAGGTGAGGCCCCTTCGGTGACGTCACCGAAACTTGGCCGCTGTTCAGCAGGAGCGTGACTGACTGGCCCGCCCTCGGCCGATGACGTCAGGGTGACGTCAGCCCCGCCTCCGGATTGGTCGACGCGGGGTGCGCGGGCGTCGCTGGCGCTGGCGTGGGCCCCGGGATGGCCGCGCGCCCCCACAAGCGGGCCCACCGTGTCCGGGCCCCGCTCCAGCGCACCGATTCCGAGTGTGGTCTCTCTCTCGCACTCATGGGGCGTCTCCTGTAGGCGCGAGAGAGACAGAGCGACGAAAACGACTCTCGGAATCAGTCTGCAGGCCCGATGACGTCGACAGACGTCACGGTGGTGTGTGGGCTGGCGGGTTCCTCCGGGGGTAGCTGCTGGAGTTGGAGTTTGCTGGGGTTGCGGTGCCGAGGAAAAGTTGCTGGGGGAAAGGGGGTGGGAGGGGGAAGGGGAAGGGGGAGGGGGAAGGGGTGAGTCCAGAACGCGGACCGTAAACAAAAGCGGTTCCCATATTTCACATTAAATTCGGTCTTTATTGGCCCCCATTCCATTCCATTGACAGAGGGGAAAACAACTCCCTGCATTGCTCATTGCTGGACTAGCCGCACCGGTGTCTGTAATGGCGGCGGGTTTAATTCACATATTACGTGGCGTCCTCTGTCTCTCGCGCACTCGCTGGCAGTTCGTAAGGAGCAAGAAGGACGGAGCACGATAAGCTTTACTGAACGATATAAAATAAAATGAAATGGGGAGGGAAAGGCGTTGTCCAAAGTTCAACGAAAACCTCCTGCCAACGGTACCTGGTTTTCCCAGGGAGCCTATGGCAGAGACATAGGCGATTTCCAGGGAGTTCCTGGGATAACCAGGAACCAATTTTTGCCGTGGATTGCGCAATAGGTAAATCTGTTTTTATTGGTCCATTTTTTTTTTGCCTGTTTAATAGTCAAAATGCAGTCGCTGTGCGTATTTGGTCGAAGCAACCTGGATGTCAGTGTGTGAGTGTGTACGAGTAGCAGTGAACCGCTGTGGAGGCTGGCTGGCTGGCTGGCTGCTGGAGTCTGATGCCAGCCGGCGGCTCGTCGCTCTGTCTCTCTCGCACCGACACGGAACATCCCCCGAGTGCGAGAGAGACAGAGCTGCCTGCCGGACCTGCCGGAGCGGAGTATTGATCTTCTCCGGATGCGGGGCATGTCGGGGGCATGGGAGGGACGGCACTGTCCCGAGCCAGGGGCCAAAGGGCCAAAGGGCCTCCAGGGGGCGAGGCGGCAGCCCTCTGTCTCTCTCGCACCTATAGGGGACGCTCCTTGAGTGCGAGAGAGACAGAGCGACGAAAACGACTCTCGGAATCAGTCTGGAGGGCGAGGCCAAACGACCGAGCTGATACGTCGATACGACGTCTAGGCTGGGTATTGTCCTCATCCCTGCATCTCCTTCTTCGAGAAGAACATCCTGAAAGAGAAAAAAACGACCACAGCTTCGTAGATAGGTAAAACACACCGAAAGTCATCAAATTTTGCGACTTTCGGGGTCTTGACCCAATTAGACACATTGTGTCCACACTGCAAATCCAAAAGCATAAATTGGACGCTCTACATGGAGCATGCCTGCAAGCACGCTTTATATAGGTAGCTAGCGCATGCCTGCCAGTATGCACTTACTTGTGCATGCATGCCATACTGTACACGCTGATGCAGGCAATTCTCTATCCCTCATGCACTAGATGTATGCTTCAGTTAGCGTGTACTTGGCATGTATGCGCCAGTAGTGAATGCTTAGCAGGCATGCGCTAGCTAGAGCAGCGGTTCCCAACCTTGGGGTCGCGAAAAAATTTCGAGGGGTCGCGGCGAGGTGGCTGGGGTCGCCTGGGGTCGCGGTGGTTTCCCGCGGTGGTCACAAAAGTCTGTGAAAAATCGTGTTATGGACCGACTTTAAGCATCCACTGCGTCTGATCCGAGGCGGTATTTCGTCCTCCCTCAACGGGCAATTGGTCTTCGGACCTTCCTTTAGCATGCCTTTGTTACGGAGTGCGATTATCTGCCTTAGTTTGGGAGCAGTATTGCCGCAAAGTTGATCAAAACACGATTTTTCAGACATTTGTGACCGTTTTGATCAACTTTGCGGCAATACTGCTCCCAAACTAAGGCAGATAATCGCACTCCGTAACAAAGGCATGCTAAAGGAAGGTTCAAAGACCGATTGCCCGTTGAGGGAGGACGAAATACCGCCTCGGATCAGACGCAGTGGATGCTTAAAGTCGGCCCAAGACACGACTTTTCGCAGACATTTGTGATCGTTTTGATCAACTTTGAGGCAATACTGCTCGCAAACTAAGGCAGATAATCGCTTTCCGTATCAAAGGCATGCAAAAGGAAGGTCTAAAGACCAATTGCCCGTTGGGGGAGGACGAAATACCGCCTCGGATCAGATGCAGTGGATGCTCAAAGTCGGCCCAAAACACGATTTTTCAGACATTGTGCCCGTTTTGATCAACTTTGAGACAATACTACTTCCAAACTAAGGCGGATTATCGCACTTTGTATCAAAGGCATGCTAAAAGAGGGGTCGCGTGGGGTCGCGAAATTTTTCCTGGGGGTCGCGTAACTTTTTGGCTACAAATTTGGGGTCGCGAGCCGAAAAAGGTTGGGAACCGCTGAGCTAGAGCGTGCTTGCAGGTACGATCCAGGTAGAGCAAGAGCATACAATGTGCGCTTTTGGATTTGTAGAGCAAATTAGACACATTTAAAATTTTGAATTACTCAGAATTTGAAAAACTTAAGTAGCACGTCTATTTGGCGGCGTCTCTCTCACAACCGACTGCGACACGCGACTTGGCGCTGGCATGGCTTGGCATGGCATCGCATGGCACTGGGCTGACGGTCCCGGCGTCTCCGGGAAGCTGATAAGGCCAAGTCGAGTGAAGGCTGAAGGCTCGCCAGACGAGCATGTCCTGTCCTTGTCTGACCACGCCGCGCGCTATCTCCAACAACGCCAATGACGTCTGCGGAGCTTCATGCCTGGGTTCAAAAACCCAATGTACTTTTCTTTTATTTCTTGTTCTTCAATGGGAAGGAGTATATCGGTCCGCGTCCCAGCTTTCACGGAGAATGAAATAGTCTTGATCAATGCCAAATTTTGGGTAGAAATGTGCGAACATGTTCGCATTCGAACGAACTCGAACGAACAACGAACTGTTCGGTTCGTTCGAAACTATACTCACGACCCCGAACTGTTCGAAAAAATGAACAGATAGAGGTCAATGTTCGTGCACGAACACAGAACCCTTTATGGCATTACTTTTATGATTTTGTTCGATCGGATCTGAACTTAAATCTTCTTCGTTCGGTTCGTTCGAGAAATTTTTTAAATTGTTCAGGTCGGTTCGTTCGAAGGCTTTGGAAGTTGGAAGTGTTCGTGTTCGTTCAAATTCGAACTTGGCTGTTTACACATCTCTAATTTTGGGTCGAGGTGTACTTTATCAACTAAATTTGAGAGATGCAGTGTCGTGCAGTGTTATCTAACCAAAATAGAAATCCTGGTTCTGTCTGCCCCTTTCCCTCCCAGCCTTCCCAGGCTCCGGGATCCAGCACTGGCCCACCGCTGAGAGCCAGCAGCAGCCAGCAGCAGCGCAGCCGTCTGGATTGTTATTGTTGCTACTAATCGACTAATCGAAAGTAGCAGCGAGGGTGTGGCGCGTGCGCGCGTGCGTGCGAGAGAGACGGTGCTTTTGGGACGAGGCGGGGACCGAGTTAGTTCGGACCGCGGCCCAGCGCGCCCCTAGCGGGGCCTCGCCCCGCCCCGCCCCCGGAACGCCCCCGGAACGCCCCGGAGCGGGACCAATGGGTGGCCGCGCCCCGCGCACGCGCACCCCGCCCCGCCCTCGCGAGTCAATATTAAATTTCCGGCCGCCACACCCCACCCCACCCCGCCCCTCCCTGCCCCGCCCCGGCCAGCCCCGGCCAGCTCTAATTCGTATTCACGCCGCATGCGGGCGCCACCGCTCCTGTTTGTCGTAGCCCCTCTCTCTCTCTCTCTCTCTCTCCCGGGCCTCTCTCTCCCTCTCCCTGGACCACCAAAAGTATGACGCGCTCGCCCGGAAAATTTGTTCTTCCGCGCGAAATTTTCCGGATAACAAATCCTCATCTCCGGCGGCGCGCTCTGTCTCTCTCTTTCTCTCTCTCTCGCACTACTGCTGCTCCTGCGGACCGCCCCGTGAGTGTGTGTGAGAGAGAGCGCTGCCGGGCCGTAATTGGTTCGGTCTTTGCTTTTTTTCCTTCGCGATTTCAGAC